ATAGTTGTTGTGGCTGTTGTGGTGTTGTGGTGTTCCTCCTGTTGTTTATTGAAGTGCGCGACTGCGCGTTATGTTTCTTCCCCCTTTGTTGTTGCTTTGGGGCGCATTCGCAATTTACAACACAAATAAACACGGCCGCGAAGAAGTGGCAGAAGCAGCCGTCGAGGTGGCAAGACGGCCAAGGTTTACTTCCGCCGGATAGCTACGTAAAAATCATATAAATTAGAATTGTAAGAAACCAAACTTGGAAACCGAAGGAGCCTTCCTAAAAATGAAACATGGAAAACCTGCTTACACATCCACTTCTTTGTTGGTTTGGGTTCTTGAATCCACAAATACTATATATATCTGGGCATTTCCGTTAGTCGCTGCCCTTTTATGATTGATTGTTGGGCAGGCGGATCCCAGACAGGGCTTAATCATCATTAGGTAACCTCCAGAAACGAAGAAAAGGGTGACCAAGGCAGTCGGCAGTTAGTCAAATCAACGGAGCGTCTAAAAAAAGGTCACCAGCACTTGTAATTAGAGTTGACTGCCTCTCCTGCATTGAATTAAATCGACTGCAATTTACCTTTCTAATGGCCAGCTCCATTTATGGCCGCCTCGCTGTTGGTGGACTGTACTCCCCAGATCGTGTGTGTCCATTTATGGCCAGGCCGGCCCAACTCCATCGGCTCCTCCATCTCCATCTCGGCCAGACTCTTTCACCCGGCGTAGGCGAAAATTGTGCAGTTTGGAAAGCCGTCGAAGGCGCCACAGGCTCTCTGTCGATTGGAGGTCAGGTCTGCTTGCTGCACGCTGCATGCCGCAAAAACACACAAAAACCCACAAAATCGGGCACATGTGGGCCGTGGTCGGTACACTCCAAGAAAGTGTGTCAGCCAGGAATCAGTGCAGGCATTGTTCACCCCTGAGAGCGTAATTGGAAATGGGAATAAATTACGGATTATCTGGACTTTATGGCTGGCATTTATTCAATTTGTATAATAGCTATGCACTACGTGCAATAAAAGATTGATCATTTTTTTGTATTAGGAAAATACTTTTTGGTAATTGGGTTGTGTAAGCTATATAATTCACCTAGCCGGGAAACAACATTTTCTGATCAGATATTATTAGCAAAAAAATATAAATTAAGAGCCCATTAGAAACCAGAGGTAACGGCGATTTTGTAATTATGAATTTAATCACACATTCTGATGTGAGAGGCCTAAACATTGACTCCACTTGAAAGCAATAGAAAAACCAGTTTGAAGACCTCTTCGTACCTCTTCGTAAATATAAAAGACCTTGTCCTTGGCTTTTACACGTACCAATATTTGCCTCAGTGTGGGCCACAATTTACGGCGGACTGGACATTTACGAGGCTCGGCTTAGACACATTGTGGCGCAAATTGTGGCCGCAATCCAGAATCCCAGTCGGAGGCCAGCCTTTTCAATTAAAAACTGGAAATAAATTGCGACCGCAGCGGCGTAAATAAATATTGACATTTATGTTTAGCGAGAGGGCCCCCGAAGATTGCTTTGCCAATAATGTGGCACAGAGATTCGAAGGCTATAAAAAGCCTAATTAACACCTCCCCCCTCCTCCTTCCCCTCCGACGATCCTCGTCTTTTGTGGTAAGTCAGTTGAAGGTGCAGCCACTACAGATCGGTGGGTTAGCGGCTAATTTCTGGGTTAAATATGGGGAAAAAGGAGGCAAAAGAACATAGTCATGGCCGGCAATGAAAGCGAAATTTCAGAGCCCGCCGAAAGAGAAGGAGCCCAGACCAAAAACAAAAAAAAGGAGGGAAAAACATGCGTCGCCCGGAGTCGACATTCTTTTTAACAAGTTGCCCGCAGAGACCAGAAAAGGGCCTAGAGCTCCCATCTCCCAGCCAGTCAAAGTCAAGTTAAATACGCCCGCCGTGCGTCGACGGGACTTGGACTTCCACTTCCACTTCGACTTCTACTTCGAGTTCGACTACGAGTTCGGGGGACTGGTCTTTTTGGCATGTCCGCCGGTTCTCTGGGTTGCCTGGTTTCCCTGGCCAAGAAATATCAGAAGATCAAAGGCATTTTAACAGCCAGCGTCCAACGCAAACAATCAACACGGCCCAAAGAGCCAGAAAACAGAAGAGACCCAAGACAGAAGACTGAAGACGGAAGGCAGAAGACAGAAGGAGGGTCAATGGGCAACGTGCCGGCTTAAGGCCCAAAACCTGTGCACTTAGTTGGAGGACACGTACAGGATAAATTAGCAAATATTTGTTTTTTTTCGCTTTTTCCGCTCTGCAGATGTTCTCTGCCTGCTTGGCGATTTTATTTCTTATTTAAGCAAAAATTGCATTTAAATTGTTTCGTGCCTGGCAAAAGGTCGACAATGCAACCTTGACATTTCCCGCCGATCATCGATGGGCTTTTCTTTTCTTTTCCTCTCCTTGGCCGGCAAATAGAGTCCGCCAATGAGGCCATCGATAATGTCTCAATTATGTCAATGCGACACCACGGATTTCCCCTCCGACTTTAGGTGCCATCTCTTAACAAATCGAAGCGTATCGACTCGATCTCATTGGGTGCATAAACAAAACAGGCCAGCAGCACACCATAAACAAGGGGGCTAGCTAAAAAAAAAAAAAAAAAAATAAAGAAAAAAATAAGAAACCAAAGCTAAAGACAATACATCAGACGGGCAGTGCGTAGTGGCTGCAGCTAGTACAAATAAGTCGGCGTCTGCAGTTCAGTTCCCCCATTGTGTTGGCCAACTGCCAAGTAGGCAATAAAGAGATTTAGTAGCTCGTACCTGGTGGCTATGCAGCCTCCTGCTGCTGCAGCAGCTCCTCCTGGATTCCTTTATTCACCGAGGGGGAGTACGACTACGTGCATGTCCTTCTGAGCGGTCAATGCTTCCCCCGATTTGCATGCTTAACCTTTAAGCTCGTGCGGCATATTAATCTTATCAGAAACTTGTCAACAGTCAGCTAAAGTCAATCCGATCGGGCCGCTTCCCTGCTGACAAGATATATACATTGTTCTCGGATATCTCTTGTAATGTCTCACTCGCCTGGTCGCATATCAATATATTGTTGAGATGAAGTGAGTGAGGAGTAGGGGGGGGGTTATACTATATAGTAAAGGTTAACCTGTTTTTGGCAAGTCTTTAAACAATGTTTTTGTATTTACGACTTACATAGCCACATGGAATCTTGTAATAACATCTTTCTTGGAACTCAAACAGAAATATTTAAACAAACTCTGACCATTTAATAAAAATCTAGTAAACCATTCCTTATACATTTTAGTTTCTAAAGAACCAACATATCATTTTCATAACTGACAGTCAAGGCTTTCATAACCCAATAGCTATAATAAAATGTATAACATTTAAGAAATATTTCGGGTTTTGTTTCCCTGTCATAGGATGATCTCTGTCTGAGATCTAAGAAACTGACCTTCAAGCTAAGAATTCCAACGAAAAAGATACAAGCCCCTGCGGATTCCTTGGACCGCACTCTAATGATTTCCTGCTTGGGATACCCTGGCTCACCCATAAACCCAAATATGCTGACTCTGCCAAAGAGCTGTCCCCTGCCAATGATTAATGCGGCGATCCTTGTCCGTCGATTCGCCGGGAATTAAGTATTTGGGTTAATGTTACACCGCAGCAGCAGCGCCTGGCATTGCTTTAATTTTGTTTTAACACAAAATTGCCAAGTACCAGTATTTATTTGATGTGCGCACTGCAACGATCGCCGATCGGAGCGGCGACTCGGACCGCAATTTCCTTCCGTCGTGGAGCTGCGCATCTTGATCACCGGGTTCTCAGGCCGGGCCAGAAAAAAACTGGAATCCCAGAGACCCGATGCCCAAGTCGAAGTCGAAGTGGAAGCCGAAGCCGATGCCACTGCTGCTGGCTATTTCAAAATCTAACTGTTAACTGCAAAAGTTGAACGTACTGGCAGCATGCAACATGCAACGGCTGCACCCACGGCAGCAGCAACATCAACTGCTCTAGTACACCTAAAAGAAAACATATAACTAGATGATCTAATAAGAAGATAATTAGAAGATATGTTAGCAGTTTTCTTGTTTGATAAAACCATCATAACTGGTTTTTGATTTTAAAATTTATAACTGATCGAAAAGATAACAAATTCTAAAAAAGGTTAACATTCTAAAAACAACAGAATGTTTATATTTTTCTACTTTACTTGGATAATATATTTTCTCTCTGTGCATGCAACTGCAACTGAGCGGCCAGCGAAACGAGTTGAAAGCCGTTTTCCCTGTTTGCCAGCCAGCTCTTGAAAGTGGTTTGTTGTCTAACTGCGTTAGTTTCTGCTTTAAATTGTGCGCCCAAGCAGCTCCAGCGGGGTTTAATGGCTTTAACTGGGGACCTCGGCTTTTGCCACCGACTTTTGTAGTTCTTTCGTTGGCTCGGCAGTTCTTACTGTAGCGGGTTCTCAGGCGGCGTCTAAATGGATAAATGTCATAGCGGCGGATGCACCGAACACATTTATCATTAATCAAAGACCCATCAATATGCGGAAACTACTCGTATCTAGCTGTATTTGCTGCAGTTTCCAACACCACCACCACCTGGTGGTCGATCATTTCCGCCGACGAGTTCCTTTATTTTCATTTATTTTGACACTGGGCCAGAAACGGCAATTACTTCTGCCAGCGGTTCACTCCGCTCTGCCCGCCCTGATTTATGAGTTTTTAATGAGCGGCAACTTTACACGAATTGTTAACAAGCTGAAGTCGGTGAAGTAAAGCGAATATATCGCAAGTAAGGCGCGCAATCGCACCTTGACATTCGAGTCGTGCGAAATGTCAGATGAAGATGCACCAGTGATACGCCCATTGGCGTTGGAATGCGGAATACCCTTACTAAGGCATAAATTTTCTAGATAAAGCTCATGGCAATATTTTAATCGATTGTCGTGATACGAAATCAAATGTGATGTGCTTTAAGTGTTGCCCAACACTAGAAAAAGTTATATCGAAAGATCAAGAACTAGGTGTGTGCACACTGATTGGCAAGTCATTTCCTTTTTTTAAAGTTTTCGCACAGCAACTATTTTGAGAAATGGACGGAGCAAAAAAAGTAGAACGCGTGGAGAGCAAGCGGGTAGTGGGCCATCTGACGGAATATTTCATCAAGTGGAAGGGACTTCCGAGCAGCAAGAACACCTGGGAGTCGGAAAAGGAGCTCAACTGCCCGGACTTATTGGCTCGGTTTGAAGAGTCGCAGAAGAAAAACGTGGTCGCCAAAAAGCGCAAGCAGTCAAGCAGTAAAACTCCGGAGAAAAAGGGGACAAGTGGCTTTGATCGCGGCCTGGAACCATTGAAGATCCTGGGCGCCAGCGACTTGGATGGGAAATTGATCTTTCTGGTTAACTGGAAGGGAAGCAATAATGCGGATTTTGTGACCGCCGAGCAGGCCAACCAGCTGTGCCCCCAATTGGTCATCAAGTTCTACGAGGAGCGCATCGCCTGGACCTCGGTCGAGGATGGTGGTTGCTCCACCAACGATCCTTCGGACAACAAACCGAACAAGGAAGTCAAGTCGGAAAAGATTAGCGAGTAGTAATCTTTGGTTTGCTAGAGCCATTAACCCACTAACAAATATGTATATGACATAAAAAGTTACATACACCATTTTGATTGTGAAATTATTTTTATCTAGGGTATTTCATCTTCTGCTTGTGAGACTCCGCTTTTTCTGGTTTCTGTTGTCGTTGGTGATTGATTATGCATTTTCATGTGAACTGGTTGCTGCTTCTCCAGTTTGGTGGCATGCGGGCAGGTGAATAAGTGGCTTTGGTTTAGCCCAGTACCGGCCCCGCCCTCCGCCTCCTGGCCATAGTTTGTTGTTGGAGACAAGCCGGCGGCGTTTTATGCCAAGCGCGAAATCATACATGTAGTTCTGTTCAATTAGAGCAGTTTTGGGATTTCAAGTGCAGATTTTTGGACTTTTTTTGAAAAGGCATTTTTTCCAGTGCACTTAATCCTGTCAGTGACCTTCACATCGTGGCGTTGGAAGACCTGCAATTAGAAAAAAAACTAAGTCGCAGGATCAGACCCTACTCACAGGTTTCATTTTGCAGGCGCCTTAAGATTTATGCTGCCAACTTAAAAAAGGGTTAAGCAGGCGACGCACCTTTTTCGCAGCGACATTTTGACATTGAAAAAGTATAATTAATTGACGGTGCCCACCAGCAGGTGGGCGTGGCCAGGGGCAGATTAAATCGATTTATGCGAGATTTATGACAAAAAACAAGAAATGGGAAATTAAATAAACGAAAGGGGCGCCGCCTGCAATTTTGAAATCAATCAAAACCCAATTGCCACTCACACACAACATGCAAAGTAAAATTACAGGTAAAATATGCAGGTAAACATGAAAATTCCCAACTACTGTCGATTGCATCGATGACGCGTCAGCATCCGGTCGCAATCTTTTTGGGTGTGTTCACTCACACTGTGCAAATCCCCCATCCACTTTTCAGCTGATGCACAAAATGTTTGCTTGCGAAAACACATTTTTCAAGCTATCAGCATTTATTTTTAATAAAGATGCCATCATTAATTTTGCGTCTGTGTGTTTTCGTGTAGAATGTGTTTTTTTTTCGGACGATCGGGCAAAAATGTGTCACTCGCTTCTTTGACTTTGATTTAGTGGCTAGACAGGTTAAAACCAGATGAGATCATCCCCAACGGCAGAAAGAGATAGCAAGAGCGGCAGTGACGTTGATGACGACGGTGATAGCGTTGACAGCCGCCGCATCAGAGCAGGATGGAAATAGGCAAGATCGGGGCAAGAAGAAGGGGCAGTTTCTTGTTTCGTAGATCAAGAGATTCAACGAATTTTTCGTCTTTTGCCTCCCGACAACGGGCTTAGTCTTATAAACCTTAAGTGACCGGGGGCTGTTTGGCCTTCACTCAAAAATTATTTGACATTGTACAAATATTTTGATAAGATCTGCGGGCATTCATGTCAAAGGTGCCGTTAGTTGGATTTAGGCAGAGCTGTATGTCATTTAAAAAACGAAAATCTTTAAATTGATGAAAGATAAACAAAAATATTATTTTAGTAAGAAAAAACTAAAAAAAATAATTCTATAAGATATTGGTGTTCCTGAAACTGTAAACATGTTTTTTTTTTTTTTGTTATAGATAGTATTTTTTTCACTCTTCTTCTTACTGTTCAATTAAGCGCAACTGCACGCTTTTCCTGTGGTAAAAACCCGCCAATTACAATTAAAAGCACAAAGAAAGCCATTAAGAGCATCTGAGATTAGTGCGGCTTCGATTTGCCGTAGCTCCCGATAATTTGGAAATTCGAAATACGTGCTGGAGATTAAGCGCCGTGTTTCTTTCGCTGCCGCATTGCATTTCGTGATTTCCAATCGGATGGAAAACAAGAAACCGCATTTGCCACATTTATCACGCACATATATCAGCTTGTCAGCCAAAGGTGGCTGCCCAGGAAATCGCGGTCGGGGAGTTAACCCGAACCCACCAAATTACGCTCATTTCGCGGCCACATAAATTTATCGGGCATCACAGAACACAGTGTTTTCGCAGCCCCACAATAATAAACATAAGGCTCGGGAAACTTTAATTAAGTGATCATGAACATGGGCAAACACAAATCGCCAAAGGCCGCGGACTTGGATCTGGAAACGGCCAAAACAAGATTAGACGCCTGGGCTGCCGAGCTTCAAATGTCGTTAGAACGGAGCAAATCTTCGGACCCGGCCAATTCTTCCCTTTATGGCCAAGTCAGCAAACAACAACCCGACGACTTCGGGACCAACTTCCTCCTGCAAACTGCAAACTGCAAACTGCAGAGCGCATGTAATTTGGCTCAGAGTGTGTATTTTATTTAAGCGTTTATTAGCTGATAAACCGAAACAGATAAATCGTGGCCCAAAAGGGAACCCAATCCTTTGCCTCTTTTTTTTACCTTTAGCCCGTTGAAGGTTTTATGGCCAGCCGAAGGCGCTCTTTTCCAGTTTCCACTTGCAGATAGATAATGGCAAATATTTTTACACACGTTAAAACATTTACGCCCGGCTAAGAAAGTTGTCGGTCCACGCCCCTTTGGGTATAAAGTACAGCTTCTAGAAGTTTAGAAGAGTACTTACTTCAGGCGCATTCTTAACATAACATTTGAGTATGTTTTTCAATTGAATAGTATATATACTCTAAATAAGTAATTATTTATTATTTTTACAACATAATTTATTTATGCCCAATTCACTGGAAACTCGGCTGTGTTTTGGTGACCTGCAACAGAGTAACGCCTTCTTCCCAGGCACTTCCGTCTCCAGCTGTCTTATGTCATAATCATGAGAGCGCCCACCTACCATATAAAGATGCTATCGGACTTCACACAAAATTATTACGTTATCCCAAAAACCCCGTCGCCTGGGGAGACACAATTTTCTGTCATTCTACCCAATTAACACCGGAGTCCAAGCCCGTTTTTCGTTTTTCTCGTCGCCCAGCCCAAAGTCTAATGAAAATCAGTCGCCGGCTGAAAACTAACAAACTAAAAACTGAAAGTGGAAAATGAATGCGTGAGAAAATCGCCAACAGGTAGCGAACAATGAATATTGCGGGCATTAAACATTTTCTGTTTCGCCAAAGGTGTTCGTTCGGGCATTATTTTTTATGCCGGTCCCGTTGTTGGATAAGTTTTCAGGGAAAGGCAAAGGCAAAGGCAAAGGAAGCGATAAGCCTGGGGACTCAAGACTCATGTTTGCGCATAAATTTCAAGTGTCATTTACCCGTCCTCGCATTTGTCTTTTGTTTCTCTCCCTTGTTGTTATTTTTTGGCACCTGTCCGAGATGACCAGGCCAATTGTGTTTTGTTTGTGCGTGCTCAACATTTTTAAGTTAATTATTTTTATTTGTTTTGCGCTGGCGAGAGCGGCGGCCTGAGCCGCAAAGCGCCTTATCCCATAAGTGGCTATTCTCGGGTGGCCTTAATTGTATTTGTTTTTTGTTACTTAACATGCTTTTAATTGATTTTTCAATGGTTTTTAATGTGCGATTTTTTCTCTTTGTTCTCTTTGCAGCAAAAATGAAAATATTTTTGCCCCTAGTCACGTGGATAGTGCTACTACTCTCGAGTGCAGTAAGTACCCCATAAACCTTATACGTTATTAAGCTAATTAGTGTTAAGTTGGCGGGGTTAAACCTGAATATCGATGGGATTAGATCAGAGGTGGCCATCGGCAGTTAGCGCAGGGGTCATAATTAATTTATGGGTTCTTGAAAGGCGCACACAAAGAGGCTTTCACGCCCCGTCGGCTGAAAAGAAGAGAAATATGATTAAATTTACGAGCCGCCACCTCATTATGAAACAAATTTCTGGACAAACAGTCGAAGAAAGATCCCAAAAGTGAAAGAACTCCAATAATTAACAAATGTTCGTTTCAGGGGATAGATATAATACAGAATCCGAAAGCCAAGAGAGGGAACAAATTATAACGATGGAACATTTTGATGACCTAACGGTTTTCGGTCGGGTCTCATGCAAATGAGCCATAAAAAGAAATTACTGCAAAATGACTTGGCCATAGGTAGACCATATTTATTAAAACTAACAGCTAGCTGTGAAATCTGCAAGAGAGTGAGAGGATGGCGATGGCGCTGGGCAAATAATTTCGCAAACGGAGAAGAATTTCAAACCAAACAGCAAAAAATGAAGGCTAGAAAGAGTGACTAGTAATGATAGGGCCGGCGGAAGAGCAGAATCACCACGGTCAACGACTGGGCCAAGAAACCCAGCCGAACCGAACCAAACCAAACCGAGCCAATCGATGGAAGAAAGCCAAGAAAACGTAATGAATAAAAATAGCCGCATTAGCTGTAAAAACGCTTTGATAGTCATCGATTTATGCAGTCGAAGGAGGAGAAAGAGGGGAAAGGGTGTCCGGTGTGAATGAGGGAACTCCGTCGCGGGGCTCTGAGAAATTGGCCAAGAGAACTCTCTAAGCCGAAAGCCAAGTTCATTGACTCCGCTCGCCCGCTTGTGGTTTTCTTTGCGACACTCTGTCAATGGATGGTTCATGTCGAGATTCTTTTACGGATTTGCTTTCCTTTGTGCGTCGGAACTTGATTTATGCGAGGCAGTCATAATTCATTTGATTAGCTAGATGGGATCATAATTAATTGTGAACTCTTTCAAATCCCCTTTTTTTTGTAAACAAAAGACTCAGGCAACGAACTTGCTGGCTGACGGATTTCTTGTTTATTTTAAGACAATATTTGCAAACGGTTTGCGAGAGAAATGTCGGAGTCTTGTGAACTAAACTTTTATAGCCACGCCTTATATGCAAATATACAAGGGTTAAGCTTCGATGTGAAGTCAGTTTTCCTTTTGTGGATAATAAATCCTGTTAAGATAATCTTGGGAACATAATTTTTAGTTAATTGTAGTAAAGAAAGCTTCTAAAAATAATAATTACTCATCTGAAATCAGGATATACTTTTATTCCACTACAAATCTCAGAGTGCTTGAGTTCTTTCAGAATCAGAAGTTCAAAACAAAGCGGAGTAATTTAGTTTGTTGCAAAATAAAGTAGAGTTAATGCCCATCGACAGTTATAACGGATATGCACTTGAGCGTTGACGTGCAACGTCGTCATCTGTCTGCCGTTGTCATTGCGCCTGTTAACAAGCAAGCTGGCAACGAAAAATTGCGCATTGTAGTCGCTGGCACGCCGCTCAATGTCATGGGAGCTTTCAGCAGCCGCATCATCATCATCATCATTATCATTATCATTATCATCATCGTCGTCGTTGGCAGAGCAGGAGGCATCATCAGCCTCAGTATCTACAGGCACAGCCACAGCCACAGCCACATCCACATCGGATTCGCCCATCTTTACTCGCACGCCTTTAATTGTTGCATCGCGCCGTATTGCTGCCTCAGTTGAGTGCATGTGCTGCTCATTGTGCCGCCTGTCAATTGATAAAAGTCGCAGAGACGGCGAAATCTATTGTTTAGCAAGGCCGTTAGCGTTGCATGGCGTGAAGTGGCAGCACAGAGCAATTGAAAACCCAAAGCCAACTAGAACTCGAGAGAGGGGAGCCCGTGCGGGTGCTAACTCCGCGTCTTCCTCCCGATAAGAATCTGCCTAAAACAATTCGCGGCTAAACTTGAACTTGACAGCCAGTGGCTCATGTTCACACCTTCGACTAAGGGGTCGTGGAGCAATTTAAGTTGCCTTTTTTATGGCCTCCCCAGCTCATTAGGCGCCCACAACAAAAACCTGAGAAAATTGCCTCGAACGAGGAAACTGGGAAAATTCGCTAGTGTTCTTGCTGTAGTAAAGCAGCAATAGAAAAGGGCCTTCTACTTAATTGAGACACTGAACTCTGCGAACGGCTAATGGCATGAAACTGAAAAGGCTTTGGATATATTGTTCAAGTGTAAGGAAAAAATAAGTAAAACTCGAATAGTTAAAAAATTTATTGCAAGAAAAGCGTAAATAATCTGTAAATTGAGTTCTATAAATCAATGTAAACCTATAAAATGTAAATGAAAAAACTTAAAAGGCATTCGTTAAATGAATCGTAACCCATTTAAGTAACAGTAAAATCCTCGACTTGAAAAGTTAATCAATAAATGAGTTGGCTTTTGTTGCTTAAGAGTAATCATTAAACGAAACGTTCACGTACTGAAGGAATTCGGTTCTGTTATTTATTGAAGAAATCCCAACCAATTCAGCTCTATCTTGTTTTACAAACATTTAAGTTGCCTCCAAATCTGATCTAACCACTTAATAACTATATTTGAGCGTAGGAAGTCAAATTGAACAGGCTACAAAAATAGAAGTACAATCGCAAATGTATAACAACGGCAATGCGACAAACCAAGCACACAGGTATAGAAACTAGTTTTAATTCATCTTTGCTGGAGCACAAAAAGGTCTTAAGTGACAAACTTGTTTCCCAGCCAGCTATCTAATATGCTGGCAACAGAAACACAGAAACAGAAACACAAACACTCGAGTTGCTGCCAGCCAGTCGCCAGAGTTTCGGCCAAGAAAATATGGCAAGCGGCGAACAACTTTTGTTTTGCTAAAAGTAAAATCAGCCAAGTGTAACAATTAAGTGGCGGCGGCACAGCAACACAAAAGGCTACAATATAGTGGAGAATGGGCCGGTGTGTGTCTATATACTCGTACCTGTACGATCGGGTCGTGCCCATATGGACCACATCGGGTTGAGAAATCTGAAGAAGCGCTGCCGGTGCTACGCCTGCTAAGCTTGCTGTATCTAATTTGAATTTAAATTAGTTTAGCGAAACCAGCTGGGGAACGCCTAAATACTATGATCTACGAAATGAGGTTGCAGCGAAGGTTGCCACTCGGAAGAGGGTTAACCCTTTGTTGGGTTGCAGGGAAATTTATGTAATAAGAATATTAATAAAGGACCATAAAAGATTTTCCCTCCTTGCAGAAACAATGTTGCATTCTGAGCAGGTGTCTGGTTTTAAAAACTTGATCTGTTTTTTTACCTTAAATATCAGGCAATCAGAGCTTCTTTATTAACATTTTGTCTTATAGATAAATATGGTCAGCCGATGATATCATAAAATGAAGTAATTTAATCTTGATTTAATAGCTAGTTTGCAAAGGTTTAATTCAGGTGACTGACTAACAGGGCGCCTACAACTTCCTCGTTTTATTGCGTGTAATTAACTAACTCAATTGTTTTGTTTGCCTGCAGGTACATTCACAATATTCACAACAACCGCAACCATTCAAGACGAACTTGAAGCCGAATAGTCGGTTTCGCGGCGAGGTCTTCTATCTGAACCTCGAGAATGGCTACTTTGGCTGCCAAGTCAACGAGTCCACCGAATATCTGCAGCTATTCAACCTATCGAAACTATGCGACGGCACCCAAGACTGTTTTCTGGGTGCCGATGAGCTGAGCAAAGAGCTCAAATGCACAAGTGAGTATCTCGATGCGAATCGCCAAAAAGCTTAATGGGTTTGCCTAACCCCGGATCGTGTTTTTCCGCTTTTCCGCAGATGACTGTGATAAGGATGGCACCCAGTGCACAAATGGCGCGTGTTTGAACGGCGTCTGCCATTGCAATGACGGCTACGGCGGCTGCAATTGCGTGGACAAAGGTGAGTCGGATTGAATCCGGTCTTAACTTACATAACCGTTACAATCCCCACCCCAATTTTCCCGCCCGCAGATGAGAACGAATGCAAACAGCGGCCGTGCGATGTGTTCGCCCATTGCACAAACACACTGGGCAGCTTCACGTGTACCTGCTTTCCGGGCTATCGCGGCAATGGCTTCCATTGTGAAGGTAAGTTCCACTCGAAGATCAAAACTAGTTAGTATATAGTATATAGTTTCCACCTTAAACTGGACAACCGAGCTACCAATCCACCATTGAGTGTAGGATTCTAATTCTGTATAGAACTATTTCTTTGGTTAGTCTGATACATTTTCTTAAAACTTATTTTACAAACAAGTAGTCGTCGCTCATTTCTTTCTGTGCAACCCAAGTACTCAGCCTCCGTCTTGGTTCCATTGTATTAGTTGGCATAATGACTGACCAGCGAACCAAGCAACGTACAGATGATTGTTGTTTGCCGTTTTGTACTTCCGTCAACGTCTGTTTTTAGCCCAGACCAAAAGCCTTTTTGTAGTTTGGCCTAACGGTTTGCGCCATTCCCAGCCAAGAAGTCTCAAGTGGCCAGCCTCCAGAGCTGAAAATGTAACAAAAGACGCGCCAGACAATAATATGAAAGCTTTCTCAGCTAAAATAGAGTAATACTTATCTGCGAGGTAATAATAATGACCGTGTAGCGATTACACTTGAGTGCTTTGTGGCAAGGCTTTCGCGGATTAGAGAGCCACGGGCGGCAAATCTAATCCCAGGTTGAAGTCGGAGTCTCGATCCCTGGATTCCTGGCCAAACAAATTCCGAAATATCTCAATCAGTTTCCGCGGATCTGCTACAGTTTCGATCCCGGGGTCGGTTCCATTTGCTCGTTAGCCTAAGTGCTCCGCACAGCAGGGGCCCAAAAAAAGCCAAGAAGATCGAGGAGAAACTCTCCGGGTTCTGGCGCACCTGTTTCCCCCATCATATGTTCGACTGCGAGTACGAGTACGTTTATATGACAGTGAGAAACCGGCTGCCGTAATTGGACTGCGGCTAATGTTACGTAATAAAACACATTATGGCATCACAAAAACCAAAGAGGAACGAATCGAAAACAAGAACAACGGCGCGCACAGCAATAATAACTAGGAAAGTGTACTTACCGAGAGGTTATTTCTTTCCCTCCTCCGGATCTCTTTCTAAGTCGAAGTAGTTCAGTCCGAGAGCCCATTCTCAATAGGAGATGATGATGATGATGGCGGTGATAATGATGCGGCCGGATCGGGGAAACCGAACAATAAAAAGCCGCAGCATTTGTGGCAATGCTTTCGCGCCATGCAACCAACCAACACACATCGCGGCTGTCTGTTAGACGGGGAATCAGTGTCATGTAATCTGACCCCGAACATGGACACGCCAGAACTTTCAACACTCCCAACGGACCAAACAGAGGAGGAGGGAGGAGCTGCGCAGGAGGAGGAGGAGGAGGAGGAGGGAGAAGTCGCTGCCACGCCCCACCTGCATTCGATCCAATGCGATAACGAGCGCAAATTTCACAGACACCCTGACATTACCCCTCTAAGTATGAAGACGTTGCCAAGATTCTAGATTACATGTGACGACTGATGTGGAGGAGCCCGTCCCTCGTCTCCGTCTCCCGGTATGAGAATCCCATCCAGCGGCAGGCATGCATAAATTCCGAGCAGCGACGTGTAACGCCGGCATCGCATTTCAGTCGCATTATCTAATTCTTTTCTATAGAACTTTTTCTCGCATATTATTCACGATGGCATGATTGCGCCCGCCATGTTGCTGCATTGGGGACAGGGCTCTTCTCGGGACCCAGAACTCGAACCCGAACCCGAATCCGAACCAGAACCAGAACCTCCAATTGTCTGTAATCAACTGAATTAGTTTTAAATGCGCTGAGAAAGTTTCACTCGCCATCCGCACATGTGCGTGGAATACTGGAATCTTCATCAGGGGCACGCACAACGTTTCTCATGGCGAGTGTTCTTAAATACACAATTAAATCCGGGCACTACCAGTAGCTGATTGCATAATTCTTTGATTTAGATGGAGTATCAGATTGCATTAGCATGTGTTTCTGTAATAGACTGGAAAATTAACTGATGAGCATACTATATGTTGTGTAGGTTTTTATTTTATTGGTCGTTAAAGTACTACATTACAGACATTAAGGTCGCTATATGACACTTTATATTTTATTGGTTGTAAAGATTACTTTTTATTTTAAAAATAACTGCCTCCCCCAGCAATGATACCAGTATTTTAATGTGGGTCTTAAATCTATTTTGAAGTGAATTTCCTTTGCAAGCAGGAAAGCCATCCTGCAACGCCCTGGCTTTTCGTGGGACTCGTGGTGTCCCCCAGCGTTATGTAAATCCAGTTTCTGAATCAAGTTCACCCAATAAACTTAGCAACAAATCACACTGCTCTTGGCCTGACAAACCCACTCTTCGCCGGCTCAGAGACACATTTTGCGTGCAATCTATGTGAGTGTTCGCTCGGCTGCAGGTAGATCTACCTGTTTTCCTGTTTCGCATTTGGCCATATCGTTTCTTTTTTTTTTATTCCTTTTTATTCGTCTAACGGTGGTTTGCGGCAACACCTGTTCCAGACTCTCTGGCGCATTATTTCATGTTCATAACTCAAACGCGTTCGATGGCTTCGTTAACGCATCGCAAAAGTCCAGTTATGCAATGACTATTGAAAAATGAAATATCCGCACGCAGAGAGAGAGTGGGTCTGCCGCCATCGATCCTTCTAATGCATTTGTCTTGCAATAAATGGAGTGAGCCTCTTCAAGCCGCCGAGTGCTAAAACTTATTTCCACTTGGCCAGCAGCGCCAAAAGACAACAAGGCGCGAATACAGCTCTCGTATGGCAATAAGTTGGATCGACTGGGTCCGCTCCAGCTCAGCTCGGCACGTTCACCAACGGCGGCTGCTCCCTTTCGATTCGCTAACTGGGGCAGATCATTAAAACGGATAAAATAGATTGTGCCCACGTAGCGACGCCGTCACAGCTCCGATCCCCAATCCCCGATCCCCTCCAGCCTCTTGGGGTCTTCAGGTTTTGAGGTTCGAGGCGGTAGCGTTGTCGGCGCTTAATGCCGCCTGTCCTCAAAAAGCCCGAAACGGCACTGCCTCCATCTCCATCTCCATGTTGAGCTGCAGCTCCAGCCCAGCCATACAGCTCCATCTCCCAGCCGAAACCAAAGCCAAAAACCGACACCAACTTCAATCCGCCGACTTGGGCTGGCCGACGCACCAGTTGGAGATCAACGTCAGTTGATAAGCTTTGCCACAGCTTCGTTCCGTTTTTGTTTTAATACCCTTTAAGGAGGGTATTAAGATTTCAACAAGAAATGATTGTAAAGTGAGTCTTTTAGATACTTTAAGTCTTTCCTTGACTATATATCAAATGTGTTGGATTAACAGATAGCCCTGAAATTTAATACCTTAGCTAAAAAAATACTTTTCTGTAGGGTAATCTCTATTCGTTCTTTAGATTCCGATTTTTCCCCTCTTTGTTTTTATTGTCGGTCAGAACATATAACGCCTTGATCCGTTGCTCTGTGGCTTCTTACTTTGGGTCTCTTTTTAGTGCAATGTTATTTTTTTTACCAGGTGCTTGGCACTTTTTGCATATCAAAATGGCAGCAATTAATTCTCATGTCGAAGACGGCGCTGATAAGGCATGAAAATGGCCCAAAGCGGCGGCATTGACACGCCTAATTATACGCGCGTGTGTTGCCACATTTACGCACAAATGAGGGGCGGCTTCGCCGATAAAAGCCACCCATGGCTTTGGTTTTACCAGTGGCCCGGATCCGAATCCGGCTGACATCACCTTGATCTTAGAGCATACTTAGTCGCACGGCGACTGCTACTTGCGTAACAAATTGTTAACTAATTTTGGTTTTCTTTATTACTACTTATTTTTTGCTCGGGTTCAAGTTCAACTGTTTGCCTGTTTGACTTAGTTGTAGACATTTCTGGCTTTCTGTTGGCTTATTGTTATTTATCCAAGCTGCTAATCACTGCCCCGCAGTGGAGCATGAAAGTCATGTCCGCTCGTAAATTTTATCTCTTCTATGAGGCACGAATGTCATAATTCAAATTGTTTTGCTCGGGGAACAACGAACGCAACAAATGCACCGAATGCTAATTAGTGCAATAATTACACAATTTATTAGGCGGACGCCAGCCAGACCAGACTGCTCATATATGGATTAGCTTTAGCCTTTGTTGATTTTTGCAAAAGTCTGATTGGTAATTAGTTTTAATTGGAGCAAAGAGTGCAAAGTCTGGATTGGAAAATGCAAATTTAAGTTGTATTCAAATCATCTCTGAATTATAGATAATTTTCCAGCGAGCAGGAAACACAGAATCCATCAGGCTAACCAGAAATTAAGACATGCTCCAAAACCAAAGTTTCTTTCGCCTGAAAAGCATAGAAATAGAGAAATGAAATAATGTTCTAAGCCTTTCCCTTATTCTGTGTGGCTTTAATGACCAGATCACCGCCTTTTAAAATGCCACTTGGAACAGGTCTCGTTCTGACGATTATGGTTAGCATTCGGAGGCGAGCAGACGAACAGGAAACCCAAGAAGTCGACCCTGCTTAAGGCAGCCAGCGAGAATTATGTCAGCATCATTTCAGGCAATCATTCGGCTTAATCACATCGAGTCACGCATATGTATTTGATTGCTTTTAAAGCGGTCAAATCCAATGGCTGGAGGCAAAAAGAACGCCTACTGAAAAAAAGCTTTTGCCAAAATCTAAACACGGATTTGCAAGAGTTGGAGAGCGAAAGAAGCTAATCTGAGTGGAGGTAAAATTAAATTTGCACTTCCCGGCTGAGAGCTGTCGTTCAACGGGCTGTGAGAATATCATTCCTGGCAGGAGGTGCAACGGGCGTGCTAAGTTCATTAGACAGCCTTTGGTCAATGGCCCGGTCCCGGTGCGAGGAGAAGAGATCCTTGGTACGCTGTCGTCTTGCAGTCGGATTGCATAAAGTAATTAAACTGACATTGAAACTTAGAAGAACACAGAACGCTTCCTGCTTCTGGAAGAGCTCTCCCGGACTGGCATGAGAGCCAACTCAGAGTCTCGGAGTCGACGGGGATGAGGATGAGGATGATGACATTGAGTAATCAGAGTTTGCAATTGCAACAAACAACGCGGCGATGCCGGCCAAACATGGAATGCTGTCATATCAGTCGGTTCGGTTGTTAAGAGCAAATACCAGTTTCTGCCCCGGCGCACCCGAGTGATGATCCTCTTAATTTATAAGCTAAAAACTAGTAATTATAACTGAACAGCCGACTCGTTCTGCTTGTAATTATAAGGCACTCACTCGCCCGCCGCCGCAGTCCCTTTATTTCTCCATTGCCCACTCCACTCCACTCTACTCCACTCCACTCAAAGGATCCTTGTCTTTGGCTTTTGCCAACTTTTGTACTTATGTCATATTAGCTATAAATGTACAACTTTTGCCTGCTCGCCGGCCCCGTGATTAATGGCCCCTGATTGCGATGGAGCGGCTGCCCATGCCCATAATTCCGCCCTCCTCTGACCACTCGGCCACTTCCATTCGATTCCATCCAACCCATCCAGCCAGCCAGCCAGTCAGCCGAATTGCCGCTCCATTGGCTTCGACTGTCTGCGATATTGAATTCTCAATGCGCTGCGCGCTATTGGAGCAGAAAGCTCTGATCACCGGCTCATCCTAAGCCAGTCTTCCGCCTGAATTGAGCTTTAGACTCGGATGCGGACACAGAGAACGCTGGCTGGCTGGCTGGCTGGCTGAGCTGGCTTAGCTGAAAGGTTAGATGGTTTGCCGACTTATGCAATTCGAGAATTCTGGTGAATGCATTAAAGCTAATGCTGCTATGGCTACTTATTCAAAAGGGTCTGGCTGGAGTATAATTTCATAGCTATTTGTGCTTCTTTCCTTTCCAAGATTATTAAAATTCCATGAAGGAAAGCTTTAATTTGTGAAATATCCCCAAACTTGAGATGTATTCCGCATCGGAATGCCAAATGGAAATGGCTTGCCCCATTAACATTGACCACACAGCCAATTGGTATGCAAAGCGTATGCAACTGGTGCATCCTGTGCTGTGACATTGCACACAGTGGCTGCCACGCCGCTGCAATGACACTGAAATGTCATGCGTAACATGCAAATCTCGGATGCATCCACTGAAGCTCCAACTCCAGCAGCGATTCATTCCAACTGCAAGTGCGGCTGCAAACCGAGCAAAGCGCATTCAAGCGGCAAAATGCGTAGAGGTCTAGAATGAGGTTGAGATTGGACTCTGTCCGAATGTCTATGGGGGGTAGATACACTTCCATATGTTACTTCAAATAACTACATAAATATTCCCTTCAAAAAATAGAGTTTAAATATATAAGCATCTAAAAGGGAAAATCTATTTTAATTTAACTTTGGGAGTTTGGTATTATTTGATTTGTGAAGTATTTCAAGAGATTTACTATTATATCAATTGTTTCTCAGTGTACGCTCGGAGGTGGAGATTAATGCGCTGCGTTCGACTTTTAATTACTTGTCATTTGTTGCGTGGCACATTCGATTAATCAAACCTCCGCTCCCTTTCCATTTCCCTTGCAGACATTGACGAATGCCAAGATCCCGCGATAGCAGCGCGCTGCGTGGAGAACGCCGAGTGCTGCAACCTGCCGGCGCACTTCCTCTGCAAGTGCAAGGATGGCTTCGAGGGCGACGGCGAGGTTCTCTGCACGGACGTGGACGAGTGCCGCAACCCGGAGAACTGCGGCCCCAACGCCCTCTGCACGAATACGCCGGGCAACTACACCTGCTCCTGCCCGGAAGGCTATGTGGGCAGCAATCCGTTCAGGGAGGGCTGCCAGGATGTGGACGAGTGCTCGTATCCGAATGTCTGCGGACCCGGTGCCATATGTACGAATCTCGAGGGCAGTTATCGCTGCGACTGCCCGCCGGGATACGACGGCGATGGACGATCGGAGTCCGGCTGCGTGGACCAGGACGAGTGCGCCCGGACGCCCTGCGGCCGGAATGCGGACTGTTTGAACACCGATGGCAGCTTCCGCTGCCTCTGTCCGGACGGCTACAGTGGAGATCCCATGCACGGCTGCGAGGGTGAGTACATAGCCATAAAAAGTAGCCAGCGTATATTATTTCATCGTTTGACATTGTTCCATTTTGGTATTTTTTGCACTTGTTCTTTTGACTTTGAATTGGCGGCACCTTCAACATACGAACCAAACAACCAACACCCGCACACACATACTATTATTAAATACTCGTACATTAATGCACCGCAACATGCAACATGCAACATGCAACATTAATACAAAAATAATGCCTAACGCCGGCAGATGTCGATGAATGCGCCACTAACAATCCATGCGGTTTGGGTGCTGAATGCGTGAACCTGGGCGGTAGCTTCCAGTGCCGCTGTCCCTCCGGCTTTGTGTTGGAGCACGATCCTCATGCGGATCAGTTGCCCCAGCCGGAGAACCCCCAACAGTTGGGCTACGGGCCGGGGGCGACGGACGTGGCGCCCTACCAGCGGACCTCGGGCGCCGGTCTGGCCTGCCTGGACATCGACGAGTGCAACCAGCCGGACGGCGTGGCCAAGTGCGGCACGAATGCCAAGTGCATCAACTTCCCCGGCTCGTACCGCTGCCTGTGTCCCAGCGGATTCCAAGGACAGGGCTATTTGCACTGCGAGAGTTAGTATCCTGCCTGCTTTATGCCTCTGCCTGAGCTCTATATAGGGAAGAATTTTTATAATAATTTAAAGTTATATTTGGAAATTTAGAAGTTCTAGAAAATTCGAAATTCTTTTTGTGGGTACTGCTCAGATAAATCCCACTGCCTGTAGAGCTCAGGCATTCGAGTAGCGCCAAGGTTGGCATGGTCCTCTTTCTGGAAGGACCTTTGCCACCTTTGTATTTGCTTCCCTCCCTGCTTCCCATCACCTGCTATGTGTTCCCCAAGCTGTTTTGCAAGCTTCAGGCTTGGCTTATTTGCTTCCCTGGCAGATGCATGCTTTTCAGACAGCTTCCTTTTGAGCCTCCGTAGTCCCACCTTTCCCGTACTGTTCTCTGTATCTTTGTATCCCACACCCGATCCCGCTCCCCCACTTCACGCTATGCTCCCTCGCCTGTCATCCGAATCCGTATTGTCTTGCATACTAATTTAATTAATTATAATATATATTTAACTCACCCCAACCCGCAACCGAACACGCGTGCCCCTCCTCCAATCAATCATCACCCCTGTCCCTGCACCGCCGATTGGAATGCGCGTAGACATCAACGAGTGTCAGGATAATCCGTGTGGGGAGAACGCGATCTGCACGGACACCGTCGGTAGCTTCGTGTGCACCTGTAAGCCGGATTACACCGGCGATCCGTTCCGCGGCTGCGTCGATATCGATGAGTGTACCGCCTTGGACAAACCCTGTGGACAGCACGCGGTATGCGAGAATACCGTTCCCGGCTACAATTGCAAGTGTCCGCAGGGATACGATGGAAAACCCGATCCCAAGGTTGCCTGCGAGCAGGTGGACGTGAACATCCTGTGCAGGAGCAACTTCGATTGTACCAACAACGCTGAGTGTATCGAGAACCAGTGCTTCTGCCTGGACGGCTTCGAACCCATCGGATCCAGTTGTGTGGACATCGACGAGTGTCGCACCCACGCGGAGGTGTGTGGCCCGCATGCCCAGTGCTTGAATACTCCCGGATCCTATGGCTGTGAATGCGAGGCTGGCTATGTGGGCAGTCCGCCGAGGATGGCCTGTAAGCAGCCGTGCGAGGATGTGAAGTGCGGAGCACACGCTTACTGCAAACCGGATCAGAACGAAGCCTACTGTGTGTGCGAGGATGGGTGGACCTACAACCCGAGCGATGTGGCCGCAGGATGTGTGGACATCGACGAGTGCGATGTGCTGCACGGACCCTTCGGGAGCTGTGGCCAGAATGCCACGTGCACGAACAACGCCGGAGGATTCACGTGCGCCTGCTCGCCTGGCTTCTCGGGAGATCCGCACTCCAAGTGCGTGGACGTGGACGAGTGCCGCACGGGAGCCAGCAAATGTGGAGCTGGAGCCGAGTGCGTGAATGTACCGGGTGGTGGATACACCTGTCGCTGCCCCGAGAACACCATTGCCGATCCGGATCCCAGTGTGAGATGCGTGCCCATCGTGAGCTGCGCCTCCAACGAGGATTGCCCGGGCAACTCTATCTGCGATGCCACCAAACGTTGCCTCTGCCCGGAACCGAACATCGGAAACGATTGCCGCCATCCTTGCGAGGCGCTCAACTGTGGAGCCCACGCCCAGTGCATGTTGGCCAATGGACAGGCCCAGTGCCTGTGTGCTCCCGGCTATACAGGAAACTCGGCTCTTCCGGGAGGATGCAATGACATCGATGAGTGTCGGGCGAATCCCTGTGCGGAGAAGGCCATCTGTTCGAATACGGCTGGAGGCTATATGTGCCAGTGTCCGGGAGGATCTAGTGGAGATCCGTATCGCGAGGGATGCATCACCTCCAAGTCGGAGGGCTGCTCCGACTCCAATCCCTGTGCGACGGGCGAGAGTTGCGTCCAGGATTCGTACACCGGCAACAGTGTGTGCATCTGCCGACAGGGATACGAACGCAATCCGGAGAACGGCCAGTGCCAGGATGTGGACGAGTGCTCGGTGCAGAGGGGAAAGCCCGCCTGTGGCTTGAATGCCCTCTGCAAGAACCTTCCCGGCAGCTACGAATGCCGCTGCCCGCAGGGACACACCGGAAACCCCTTCGTCATGTGCGAGATCTGCAACACTCCAGAATGCCAATGCCAGTCCCCCTACAAGCTGGTGGGCAACAGTTGCGTTCTGTCTGGCTGCTCCAGCGGACAGGCCTGTCCCAGCGGTGCCGAGTGCATCTCCATCGCCGGAGGCGTGAGCTACTGTGCCTGCCCCAAGGGATACCAAACCCAACCGGACGGCAGCTGCGCCGATGTTGACGAGTGCGAGGAACGCGGAGCCCAACTGTGCGCCTTCGGAGCTCAGTGTGTGAACAAACCGGGAGGCTACAGTTGCCACTGCCCCGAGGGCTACCAAGGAGACGCCTACAACGGATTGTGTGCCATGGCCCAGCGGAAGTGCGCGGCGGACAAGGAGTGCGCCAGCAACGAGAAGTGCATCCAACCGGGAGAGTGCGTGTGCCCACCGCCCTACTTCCTGGATCCGCAGGACAACAACAAGTGCAAGAGCCCCTGCGAGCGGTTCCCCTGCGGAATCAACGCCAAGTGCACGCCCTCGGATCCTCCGCAGTGCATGTGCGAGGCTGGATTCAAGGGCGACCCCCTGCTGGGCTGCACGGATGAGGACGAGTGCTCCCACCTGCCGTGCGCCTACGGAGCCTACTGCGTGAACAAGAAGGGCGGCTACCAGTGCGTCTGCCCCAAGGACTACACCGGGGATCCCTACAAGAGTGGCTGCATCTTCGAGAGCGGCACGCCGAAGAGCAAGTGCCTGAGTAACGACGATTGCGCCAGCAACCTGGCCTGCCTGGAGGGCAGTTGTGTGAGTCCGTGCAGCAGTCTCCTCTGTGGATCGAATGCCTACTGCGAGACGGAGCAGCATGCCGGCTGGTGTCGCTGCCGCGTGGGATTCGTGAAGAACGGCGACGGCGACTGCGTGTCTCAGTGCCAGGATGTGATCTGCGGGGAGGGAGCTCTGTGCATTCCCACCAGCGAAGGACCCACCTGCAAGTGTCCGCAGGGACAGCTGGGCAATCCCTTCCCCGGCGGCAGCTGCAGCACGGATCAGTGCTCGGCGGCCAGGCCTTGTGGCGAGCGACAGATCTGCATCAACGGAAGGTGCAAGGAGCGCTGCGAGGGCGTGGTCTGTGGCATTGGAGCCACCTGCGATCGGAACAACGGAAAGTGTGTCTGCGAAGCTAACTTTATTGGTAATCCCGACCTGATCTGCATGCCGCCCATTGAGCAGGCCAAGTGCTCGCCGGGATGCGGTGAGAATGCCCACTGCGAATATGGTTTGGGCCAGAGTCGTTGTGCTTGTAACCCGGGAACGTTTGGAAATCCCTACGAGGGTTGTGGAGCCCAGAGCAAGAATATTTGCCAGCCGAACAGTTGCGGATCCAACGCCGAGTGCCGTGCTGTGGGCAACCAGATCACCTGTGTGTGTCCGCAGGGATTCAGTGGAAATCCATACATTGGCTGCCACGATGTGGATGAGTGTGCCAACAAGCCATGTGGTCTCAATGCTGCCTGTCTGAACAGAGCCGGAGGATTCGAGTGCCTCTGTCTTTCTGGTCATGCTGGAAACCCCTACAGCAGCTGTCAACCGATCGAAAGCAAGTTCTGCCAGGACGCGAACAAGTGCCAGTGCAACGAGCGGGTGGAGTGTCCCGATGGCTACAGCTGCCAGAAGGGCCAGTGCAAGAACCTCTGCTCACAGGCTTCCTGCGGTCCCCGGGCAATTTGCGATGCCGGCAAGTGCATCTGCCCCATGGGATACATTGGTGATCCGCACGACCAGGTCCAGGGTTGCAGTGTTCGGGGGCAGTGCAGCAATGATGCCGACTGCCAGCACTCCGAGATCTGCTTCCAGTTGGGCAAGGGTCTGCGCAAGTGCGTGGACGCCTGCTCAAAGATTCAGTGCGGACCCAATGCCATTTGCGTGTCCGAGGATCATCGTTCCTCGTGCATCTGCTCCGATGGATTCTTCGGCAACCCGAGCAACCTGCAAGTTGGCTGCCAGCCGGAGCGAACGGCTCCCAAGGAGGAGGACAAATGCAAGACGGACCGCGACTGTGAACGAGGATTCGGTTGCCAGGCCAGTCCGCATGGAACTCGTGAATGCGTTAATCTATGCTCCAACGTCGTCTGCGGACCCAACGAGCTCTGCAAAATCAACCCGGCGGGACATGCGATCTGCAACTGCGCAGAGAGCTATGTCTGGAACCCAGTTGTCTCGTCCTGCGAGAAACCTTCGCTTCCGGACTGCACCAGTGACGCCAATTGTCCCGATGCCTCCGCCTGTCGTCCCGACGTCTTGGGAGTGCTCAAGTGCGTTGCCATTTGCGATGCCTTCACCTGTCCAGCCAACTCCGTTTGCGTGGCTCGTCAGCACCAGGGACGTTGTGACTGCCTCACCGGCTTCGTGGGCAACCCGAACGATAGGAATGGCTGCCAGCCGGCCCAGAAACATCACTGCAAGAACCACGCCGAGTGCCAGGAGTCAGAGGCCTGCATCAAGGATGAGGCCACCCAAACGCTGGGCTGTCGACCCGCCTGTGATACCGTCAAGTGTGGACCCCGTGCCGTCTGTGTCACCAACAACCACCAAGCGCAATGCCAATGTCCACCTGGACCCTTCGCCGGCGATCCGTACGATCCTTTCAATGGCTGCCAGAGTGTTCCTTGTGTTTACAACCATGACTGTCCGCCCAGTCAGATGTGCAACCGGATGACCCACACGTGCTTCGATGTGTGCGACGAGGAGTCTTGCGGAGAAAATGCCATTTGTCTGGCCGAGGATCATCGCGCCGTGTGCCAGTGTCCACCTGGATTCAGGGGAGATCCCTTGCCGGAAGTGGCTTGCACCAAACAAGGCGGATGTGCCGCCGGAACCTGTCACCCCTCGGCCATTTGCGAGGTTACCCCGGAAGGACCCGTTTGCAAGTGTCCACCGCTCTTTGTGGGCGATCCGAAGTCGGGTGGCTGTCGCCCAGACGGTCAGTGCCCGAATGGAGATGCCGATTGTCCAGCCAATACGATCTGTGCGGGAGGAAGATGCCAGAATCCCTGCGACAACGCCTGCGGATCGAACGCCGAGTGCAAGGTGGTCAACAGGAAGCCAGTCTGCAGCTGCCCACTGCGATTCCAGCCCGTCTCCGATAGCGCCAAGGATGGCTGTGCCCGCACCATATCCAACTGCCTCACGGACGTCGACTGCGGCGGAGCGCTGTGCTACAACGGACAGTGCCGCATCGCCTGCCGGGACTCGCAGGACTGCTCCGATGGCGAGAGCTGCCTGAAGAACGTCTGTGTGGTGGCCTGTCTGGACCATAGCCAGTGCGGCAGTGGCTTGGCCTGCGTGGAGGGCCATTGCACCATCGGCTGTCGCAGCAACAAGGAGTGCAAGCAGGACCAGTCCTGCATCGAGAACAAGTGCCTGAATCCCTGCCAGTCGGCCAGTAGCTGCGGTCCGAACGCCCTGTGCAGCATTGCCCAGCACCGGAGCCAGTGCAGCTGCCCGGAGGGATTCGAGGGCAACCCCACCCCGGAACAGGGATGCGTGCGGGTGCCGGCTCCCTGCTTGGCCAGCAACCAGTGCCCCAGCGGGCACATGTGCATTGGCAACCAGTGCAACCTGCCCTGCACCAAAACCTCGGCCTGTGCGGTGGGAGAACGCTGCTACCAGCAGGTTTGCCGCAAGGTCTGCTACACCAGCAACAACTGTCTGGCAGGAGAGATTTGCAACTCGGACAGGACCTGCCAGCCGGGATGCGATTCGGATGCCGACTGTCCGCCCACTGAGCTGTGCCTCACTGGGAAGTGCAAGTGCGCCACTGGATTCATAGGAACTCCCTTCGGATGCTCGGACATCGATGAGTGCACGGAGCAGCCGTGCCATGCCAGTGCTCGCTGTGAGAACCTCCCTGGATCCTACCGATGCGTCTGCCCCGAAGGAACCGTCGGCGATGGCTACTCCCAGCAGGGTTGCTCGCAACCCAGGCAGTGCCACCAGCCAGACGACTGTGCCAACAACCTGGCCTGCATCCATGGCAAGTGCACCGATCCCTGCCTGCACACAGTGTGCGGACTGAATGCCCACTGCCAGTCGGAGGGACACGAAGCCCTTTGCAGTTGCCCGGCCGGGTTCTTGGGCGACCCCAACGACACCGGAGTGGGTTGCTTCAAGGTGGAGTGCATCGACCATGTGGACTGCGCCGGCGATCGCGCCTGCGATGCGGAAACCAATCGCTGCATCAAGCCCTGCGACCTGACCAGCTGCGGCAAGGGCAACTGCCAGGTGGAGGAGCACAAGGCGGTGTGCGTCTGCTACGAGGGATACCAATTGGCCAACGGAGTGTGCGAAGACATCAACGAGTGCCTGTCGCAGCCGTGCCACAGCACCGCCTTCTGCAACAACCAGCCGGGAAGCTACAGCTGCCAGTGCCCCGAGGGACTGATCGGAGATCCCCTGCAGGCCGGCTGTCGGGATCCCAACGAGTGTCTGAGTGACGCGGATTGCCCGGCCTCGGCCAGCTGCCAGAACTCCCGATGCCGTAGTCCCTGCGAGCGTCAAAACGCCTGCGGATTGAATGCCAACTGCCAGGCACAGGGACACCAGGCCGTTTGCACCTGTCCGCAGAATTCCCGCGGAGATCCCACCGTCGAGTGCCTGCACATCGAGTGCTCGGACAACGACGACTGCTCCGGGGAGAAGGCCTGCCTGGACTCCAAGTGCATTGATCCCTGTTCGCTGCCCAACGCCTGCGGGGCTCAGGCCCGCTGCTCCGTGCAGAACCACATCGGAGTGTGCTCCTGCGAGGCGGGCAGCACCGGAGACGCCAAGTTGGGATGCGTGCAACTGCAGTACTGCCAGCAGGATGGTCAGTGTGCCCAGGGAAGCATCTGCTCCCATGGAATCTGCAGTCCCCTGTGCAGCACCAATCGCGATTGCATCTCGGAGCAGTTGTGCCTGCAGGGCGTCTGCCAGGGCACCTGCAAGTCCAACTCCACCTGTCCGCAGTTCCAGTTCTGCTCGAACAACATCTGCACCAAGGAGCTCGAGTGCCGCTCGGACAGCGAGTGCGGCGAGGATGAGACCTGCTTGAGCGACGCCTACGGAAGGGCCAAGTGTGAGTCGGTGTGCCTGGGACGAGCGGCCTGTGGCCGGAATGCCGAGTGCGTGGCCCGATCCCATGCGCCCGACTGCCTCTGCAAGGAGGGATTCTTCGGGGACGCCAAGTCCGGGTGCCGCAAGATCGAGTGCACCACCGACGACGACTGCTCGAACGACAAGAGCTGCGACAACCACATGTGCAAGATCGCCTGCCTCATTGGCCAGCCGTGCGGCGAGAACGCCCTGTGCACCACGGAGCACCACCAGCAGGTGTGCCACTGCCAGCCAGGATTCAGCGGAGATCCCCGCGTGCGCTGCGATGTTATTGACTTTTGCCGGGACGCTCCGTGCGGACCCGGAGCTCGGTGTCGGAACGCGAGGGGGTCGTACAAGTGCACCTGTCCCCCGGGACTCGTTGGTGATCCGTACAACGAGGGCTGCCGCAGCTCCGTCGAGTGCGAGACCAACGAGGACTGTCCCCCACACGCCGCATGCACCCAGACGAACGGCGTGGCCAAGTGCCGCGACGTCTGCGCCCAGCTGCAGTGTGGCCCCAACGCGGAATGTGTTCCGAAGGGCCACGTGGCGCAGTGTGCATGCCGCAGCGGCTACGATGGCCAACCCGCCGACCGGGTGGCCGGCTGTAAGCCGCTGCCCGTTCCCTGTCAGGTCACCGGCGACTGTCCGACCAACACTTACTGCTCGGATAGCGTCTGCAAACGTAAGTACTAACACCACCCAGCACCGGGCCATAACCACCAACCACCGACCACCAGACAGCGTAAACTGGTTAACCTACCTCATAACAACCTTTAGTACCACCTACTTACTTACAAAACTAGCACTGATCTACTTACAAGAGATGTTGTGGCAAGAGAAGTCAAATTCTGATGGGGTTTAATTCACTAAATCATAAATTCAAGCCTTCAAAATTGTTTCAAAGGTTTAAGACTACCTAAAAGTTATTTAAGCTGCCACAACATCTTTCAATAACTACTTCTACTACCTTGGACTGGCTTAGAGCCTACGAACTAAACCAAATGCTATCTTAGACTTAGACTAACTGCAAACTAAAATGAAAATACAACAATCTACACATGCGACATATGAAGTTACACAAACGAACAAAGCGAGACCGTAACGCCAACCGGGATGTATATCTATTCCCTCGAGAATTCCATATTAATTATACGATCTTGCCCCAAACAGCTGCCTGTGTGCTGGACACCGAGTGTGGAGCATCGGAGGTGTGTCAAGGTGGCCAATGCTTCAATCCCTGCCTGCAGCCGCAGGCTTGTGGACAGAACGCGGAGTGCGTGATTCAGAATCACCTGAAACAGTGCCATTGCCCCGACGGCTTCACCGGCGACTCGGCCAAGGAGTGCGTGCGTGTGCCGGTGGCCTGCGATGGCGAGTGTGCCCCCGGATACACCTGCCGTGACTCCATGTGCCTGCCCGAGTGCCACAACGATCTGGAGTGCGCCTCCAACGAGAAGTGCCTGAAGGGCAACTGCATGTGTAAGTAATTCATCTTGTTAAGAATCCATTAAGCAAATAAAATGGATTGGAATAAACCACTTCCCTACGATGCGATTCATTATCCATCATTCAGTAAATCCTTTCTAATATGCACTATCCATTTTAGTGACCTGTCGAGTGGACAACGACTGCTTCCTGGGTCACGTCTGCCTGCACAACAAGTGCGTCTACGGCTGCCATGTGGACGACGACTGCAGTGCCTCCGAGTCCTGCCGCAACGACAAGTGCGTGAACCCCTGTCTGGAGAATCCCTGCGGTCCGAACGCCGCCTGTTCGGTGTCGAACCACCGGGCCAGCTGCAGCTGCCTGGAGAGCATGGTGCCCAATCCCACGCCCCAGGTGGGCTGCGTCCGCTCGCCCCCCTTGGAATGCCGCGAGAACCGCGACTGCGGCAACGGCCTGGCCTGCTTCGAGTCGGTCTGCCGTCCGCTGTGCGCCGACGATGCCGGCTGCTTGACCAACGAGCGCTGCCAGCAGGGAGTGTGCAAGCCGCTCTGCCGCCACGACAACGAGTGCGGCCATGGAGAGCTCTGCCTGGGCCTGAATTGTGTGCCTGGCTGCCGCTCCGATCAGGGCTGCCCACAGGACCTGTCCTGCGTGGGCCAGCAGTGCGTGGATCCATGCGCCGATCCCACGGCCTGCGGCACCAACGCCCTCTGCCAGACGATCGATCACCGGAAACAGTGCTCCTGCCCCGAGGGCCTCGACGGCAATGCCAACGTGGCCTGCAAGGTGCCGCGCATTGCCTGCGGCAGGAACGAGGATTGCCAGACGAACCAGCTCTGCTACGCGGGCAGCTGCCAGGGGAAGTGCAGGAACGACCAGAACTGCCTGGCGGACGAGCGTTGCATGCGCGGAACCTGCCGCACCGTTTGCAACACGGACGAGGCCTGCGCCCAGGGACAGATTTGCGAGAATCGCATGTGCCAGACCGGCTGCCGCACCGACTTGAGTTGCGCCAGCGACGAGGCCTGCGTGAACAAGAAGTGCCAGAACCCCTGTCGCACTCCGGGCCAATGTGGCCAATGTGCCGACTGCCTAGTGGTGAACCATGGCGTCCAGTGCCAGTGTCCGGCCTCCTTCATCGGCGACGGGCTGACTGGCTGCCAACTGCCGCCGGAACGCTGCCATGCCGGCTGCGAGTGCGATGAGAACGGCGCCTACTGCGCGGCCAAGTGCTCGAGGAGCGAGGACTGCGCCTGCGGCCAGCAGTGTGCCCGCGGAAAGTGCCGGAACAAGTGCGGACCCAAGCGTCAGTGTACGGTGGGTCAGCTGTGCGAGCGGGGCGCCTGCATCGCCGGCTGCAAGTCGAACGGCGACTGTGCCGCCGACCAGAGTTGTGTGAACGGCAAGTGCTCGGATCCGTGTGCGAACGACAAGGCCTGCGGAAGGAACGCCCTGTGCACGGTGTCCGAGCACCGGATGCTCTGCTATTGCCCCGATGGATACGAGGGTGAGCCCAGCAAGGAGTGCGTGCAGTTCGAGTGCCGCGTGGACGACGATTGCGACAGCAACAAGCGCTGCGACCAAGGAAAGTGCCGCAATCCCTGCCTGGAGTACGGCGCCTGTGGCACCAATGCCCAGTGCCGCGTGGTGGGTCGCCAGGCCCAGTGCTCCTGCCCGCCGGACTTCTTCGGCAATCCGGCCAGCGAGTGCCGACCCCTGGAGGGAGGATGCTCCAGCAAGCCCTGTGGCGAGAACTCCAAGTGCACCGAGGTGCCGGGTGGCTACGAGTGCGCCTGCATGGACGGATGCATCGGAGATGCCCATCAGGGTTGCCTCTGCGGAGGACCGCTGGTGAATGCCTGCCAGGATCAGCCGTGCGGACTGAATGCCGCCTGCCATGTGCTGGACAACAACCAGGCCGAGTGCTACTGCCCGGAGGACTTCCCCAACGGAGATGCCTATGTGCAATGTAAGTGTGGCAGATTCTAAATAGCAGATCAATATTATATTAACTGATCTTATCTTGCAGGTTATCTTACCCCGCCAAAACAGGACTGTCGCACCCAAGGATGCGAGGTGGGCGACTGTGTGCGCCAGGGCTACGAATATGTCTGTCAGCAGGGTAAGTGCCCATTTTGCGTTCACCTTCCAAGTGTTTTTAGACCAAACCGTACCGTTATTGCTAATCATGTTAACCAGCGTTCTTACAAGTTATCGTTATTGTAACCAGTAAGCGTTTTCGTTGAAGTTACCCTTACCAATATAACTGGAAGTTTGTTAGTAACCGATTGAAATTGATTTTTCTGTTGTTATTTTCTTGGTTTAATTACATAGATTTGAGTTGTTTAAACACGAAAAATTAAACCAGCTAATTAGCTAATTCCACTAATTCAACGGCCTTCGCGGCTGCTTAGAACAATTGACCAAAAACAAATCCGATTTCAGTGTAGTGTGTGTGTGTTTAAAATACCAAAGCTAATACGTTATTCGTAATACACATTTTTAATTTTTTCTTAACAACCTATACACATGTGCGAAGTTCAAGGTATTAGTCTAATATCGATATTCCCCGCACGTACAAAAAAAAACACGCTAAGACACCAAAAAGCCACCTACACAACCAAATCCCAATAGGCAACTGGGTTGCTTTTTAAGTAACCGGCCAGCCGATGAATATAATTCAGTGCACAGTTTTTATTATGCAATTTTGTTTTTAGTTTTACTTGAGTTTTTCTAGTTTTAAGCACCTTACTTTACAATACCCCATCAACGCATATGGAGATTCGTGAAATGTTGCTGTCGCTATCGCGGTTACCCAATCTGTGCCTACAATTCATTTTTGAAAAACACACATTACTCGAAAAGAAAACCGAAATCAAGCAGCAAAATTAAGTTTAGTCGTAAGCAAATTTAAACTATCTTACTAAAAATTACATCCACAATCAGTGCATTCTATACAGAACAAATTCTTGAAAAAGTTTTAGTTCCCATAAAGCTTGAAGCTTGCCTTCTCATTTCTCATTTGGCTCTCATGAAGCTCAGCTCAGTTCTCATTGAATTCCTTCCGTGGTCACCATACAATTGGCTTTGAATAACCATCTGTATTGGCGCTCAACTATGCGGCATTCATTACAACTTGGAAACAGTTAACGCACAGATCAGTAAACAAGTTGGTTCATCCTTATTTAACACTTAGTCTAACGAAAAACGCCGCGATAGCGATATGTAGTCAGTAAAATGTGTAGCGAAAAATAAAACAACTGGTTAATCACAGAACGTGCAAAGAAGGCACAAAAATTAGAACTAAACCAATATTAAAAAACAACACATAATGCCACGCTTATCATATAGACAACAATCCTCAACACATCCTTGATACTGAAAACAAAATATGATCGAAATCCCAGCCCGAAAAATCCCATCCTTCCTCCAATTCCGCTCTGTCCACCCCTTTTTACCCCAAGTGTTATTTTCCTATCGCTCTGTCGTTTCCCTTTGCTAATACCCTTTTGTTACATTTCTCAAATGAACAAAGTCTCAGATTGGGAACTGTGGACGGGACAATTCTCACACATAGTTCACATATGCTTGAAAACAATTCGAAAACCAATTGAGGGACATAGTTATCAAAATAAGATCCATTTCAACTGTGTACAGAACGATTACCAAAACAAAAGCAACATCAACAGCTACTACTACTTTTCAATGCATCCTCAAAGCAAGTCTACTGAATAACCGAAATAAAACCAAACGTTTATTATGTACAAAGATCCTTTTAAAGTAATTATTAAGAAAACTTCTACCTATCTCCCCTTCTCTGCATAGCTCGTCTATTGGTTAAAATCTATAGAAACAAAAACACGAATTGACTTAAATTGTAACTAAATTTAACTAACATTTCAACTATTTTTTGGTACATTTGACTAGTAATTAAGTTGTATATACAGAAATTTGTACATACCTGGTTATATACTCGTAACCGAAAAGGCTGCATCTTAGTGGCTGATCAAACTAACCACACAAAAAACAATCTGTAAATATAAACCAAATTTGAAAACTGTGAATTATGAATAACCCAGATGAAACAAACTAGCCACGTATATTTTTAACGATCTTTTCAAAATTGTATTTACCCATCGAATTTCAACTACTATTTCTGCTAAAACCTTTTCCAAAAAGCTAATCTTCCTACTGCCAGACTTGTACCTACACTTTTACCTCTTCAAATAGATCTCTATATCTCTCTCCTCTGAATCAATCACTCACTCACAAAACCAATCGCCAATAACGTGTCTCTCGTGAGGGCAGAGCGCATGTGTTGGATGTCGTGTAATTTTTGCCATTACTCAAACTGAACAAACAATAAACAAAAATATATAATAGCTCGAACTCGCATTAATCCCGAGATAATCATTGCTCAGCTAAGTCTGCCTTTAGTACAGCATCAAATTAATTGGGCGAATTGGGAAAGTACAAGGCTCTCCTGCTCTATGCTCGCTCGAAAAATGGTAAATCATCAAGGATTGTAACTATGCTCACTTGTTCACACTGCTACCCCACCTCGCTCACTTGTACCGCTGATCGATAACAGAATCGAACTCATACCAACCAATGACAAAAACCAAAAGCAGCCGTCCTTATTGATAAGCGTTGTTTTGGCCTGCCCATAGAAACATACAACCCCATTTATTGTGAGATGTTCCCTTCACAGTTCTACAATTTGAAAAAGACAAACAAATCAACAATTAAGTTTTTCTATAGTTTGCTTCTTAAACTAACTACACCAGTTGACTAAAATAAACCGATTAAGTGAAACTGTTAATTTCACAAATATATTGTTATTTTCGTTTACGTTACCTTATGATTTCTGTATGCACCGTTTCTGATCTTAACTTGTTTGAAATCCCAGCTAAAATTTTCTTTTACTCTAACAAACCCTATGCACAAAACCCCAAACCCCCGAAATCGAGTCCACAACAATCCCACTGACACTTAATTGAACACAGAAACCGACCCACCGCAAAACACACAACCCAACCCAAACACCAAAAAAAAACCACACAAAACACTCAAGCAAAAAGAGGCCCAGACCAAAAAAAAAAAAAAAAAAAAATTGAATATAATTTTTATACATTGTTCGTTTAAGTGTTCTCCCTCTGTTTTTAGAAACATCTAGCTTTAAGTCTTATCCGAGTCACCAAAAACTCTCGTTTCCAAAATGTTGTGTTTACACCATCTAACGCAAACACCCAAACCAGCCCCGAAAATTCCACCAGACTATCGTCTTTCAAGCTCAAGCCCCAACTTTGACTCGACGATTTCAATGTCGCACTTTCGTTTCTATGTGTTTCCATACCCCCAGAAAGATATATCTATTTAGTAGCGTACCGTACCGTTTATGCCACCGAATAGTTGAATGCACCCACCAACGATTAACATTTAAACAACCAAACAACTCCTGTCTATCTCTCTCTCGTTCTTCCCTGCCCTGGATGTAATATTATAGACACCGAACAATGCTACTCAGATACGGATTGTCCCAGTGAAAAGGCATGCCTCCAAGGACACTGCAGCGATCCTTGTACAATGCGTGGCGTGTGTGGCTCGAATGCGCTCTGCAAAACCGTACTGCATCGTCCGCGCTGCTCCTGTCCCAGTTGCCACATCGGCCGGCCGGAGGTCGAGTGCAAGCCCGATCCCAAATGCCAGTCCGAGGAGACGGATCCAAAGACCAAGGAGCAGATCCCGTGCTCCAGGGACTCCGAGTGTCCCGAAACGCTGCAGTGCGGCCAGTACGGTCAGTGCACGGATCCGTGCAACAATCCGCTCTTCATCTGCGAGAGCAACAAGAAGTGCGAAACGCGACGCCACCAGCCGGTTTGCATCTGCAAGTCTGGCTTCATAGTGAACGAATTCGGGGAACTGACCTGCGCTCCGGATAAGCGGGAGTGCTATCGCGATGATGACTGTGCCTCGAACATGGCCTGCACGGACGGCAAGTGCCGCAACCCGTGCATCGTGCCCCTTGGCCGTGCCGCGATCTGTGCGGAGAACAAGTCCTGCGAGGTGCAGAACCACAAGCCCGTGTGCATTTGCATGCGCGACTGCCAGCCATCGATATCGATTTGCCTGCGCGATGCCGGTTGTCCGGCTAGCCAGGCGTGCCGGAAGCTCAAGTGCGTCGATCCGTGCGAGTTTGCCACGTGCGCGCCCAACTCGCCATGCATTGTCGAGGATCACAAGCCGATATGTAAATTCTGCCCAGCTGGATTTATAGCCGATGCCAAGAATGGATGTCAAAAAGGTAAAGCACCAAAAGTACTCGCTATCACTCAGCTCTCTGTCGAGTGAAAGTTTCTGTCTCGATTATCTCTGTTTCCTGCTCTCTCTCACACACGCTCTCACCTTTTGCTAGCTCTGTCTTATTGTCTGTCCCCTCACAAAAACCAAACAGCGATAAAGCACAAGCAAATATCCCGTCGAAATGTATTGACCAAAGCCGTCCACACCTGTTTAATGTTTCGGGCCATGTCAATCTGTTTCCTCGAAATGTTTGTGTCAATGTACATAGGACTGAGAAGTTAACTGCCTGTAGCCGTATCAAGCTTTTGCCAATTGATATGGTTAACTTATACTCCCAATGCTTAGTTACAAGCCAAAAGTCCGAGTCGAACGACTTATAACCCCACAATCAGGTGCTTTACGCCACAAGCACAGCAACCAAGCTGAAGCACGTTAATGAAGAGAGTTATTGAAGCTTGATCTGAAGATCAATTAAAGTCGCCAAACAAAACTACCAATAACAAAAAGACACTTTTACAAGAAAACTCTTCTGAACATTCACACACGCTCATGCTCACAGTGATAATAATTAATTTATTAATCAAAGCCTCCCGAATACTTGTACTATGAAAATTTTAACCTTTGATTCTAAATAAACGGTAATAAGATGTAATACTAATGGTAAAATTAAACCAACACCAATATGTAGCTAACTAATAGTAAAGGCGTTCGTTTCTAATTTGAAATTGATTAACCGTATAATAGTTATAAAGCTTTCCATATTTGTTTACATTTGCAGTCGTATGCAACAGGTTAGACCGAAATCTCAATCAGTATTCCCCTAGGTACGCCCCTCTGTATATATAGTGCACCTTCCTTATTGTTGTAGCTTTACACTTTCTATCCTATATTTGGTACATACTTGTAAATATTTTAACGTATTTTTTATTTTTTAAATTTTACACTTTTGTTTAAAAATATGTACAAAATACTCCACTCAAAAAATCAAAATTGTGTAAAAACAAAAAAATGAAAATTTGAAGAAGCTAAGCCAGGTGGCAACTGTACCTCAGACGAAGATTGCAGTGAAATGCATCAATGTGGACCGTTAGGTCAATGTATCGATCTCTGTCACACCTTCTGTGCAAAGGGTGTAAAGTGTGTAACGTCAGCTCATAGGGTTACCGTATGCATTTGTCCAGCCACCGTGACGACGAACTCTAACTGCATTCCAAAAGATACAGAACTCGAGACTACACCACAACCAATAGAAACTACTACCGACTCTATTAAAATTAAATACACTGTTATGCAATTGGCAAATCAAACCGAAATGAGAACCCGCTTTACCGATATAGAAGCTGAAACGGAAACTACAGCTTCCTACACAAGTACAACCGAGTCTTATAAAACAACAAAACAACTGTTTATTGATATAAGTTCTACCGATCCCTATAACGTCACTTCAACCACTACTGGATCTCTTAGAACTACCCAAACCGAACGTCCCGAAACCACTATTCCCACAGTAACAACAGACAGACATACTGACATACCTACAACTCCGCCGGCACGAACCACACCTGAAGGAATAATTGAACAAAGGCCAGAATTTACGAGCAAAGTACCAACTACAGAGTACGACGATGAGACACATCTTCCCCCAATAACAACGGAAAGACACATCGACTTACCAAAAACATTACCTTCCAAAACATCACCTACTGGAATTCCTGAACAAACGACGGCTTCTGTTACAGAAGTACCAAGAACTGAAATACCACTTACGGAAGTACCAACTACAAAGTCGATCGAAAGATCCACACTTGGTCCAGTGACAACCGAAAGAGACACCGACAGACCCACAACTTTAGGTCCAGGCACTACTGCTATTGGAATAACTGAAACGACAGAGTCTGTAAGGGAAGTATCCACTACGAAATCAGTTTATACTTCTACTCTTGGTCCAGTAACAACGGATAGGCACACCGACATACCAACAACATTACCTCCTAAAACAACACCTACTGAAATTCCTGAACAAACGACGGCCTCTGTTACAGAAGTACCAAGAACTGAAATACCAACTACGGAAGTACCAACTACAAAGTCGATCGATAGATCCACACTTGGTCCAGTGACAACCGAAAGAGACACCGACAGACCCACAACTTTAGGTCCAGGCACTGCTGCTGTTGGAATAACTGAAACGACAGAGTCTGTAAGGGAAGTATCCACTACGAAATCAGTTTATACTTCTACTCTTGGTCCAGTAACAACGGATAGGCACACCGACATACCAACAACATTACCTCCTAAAACAACACCTACTGAAATTCCTGAACAAACGACGGCCTCTGTTACAGAAGTACCAAGAACTGAAATACCAACTAGGGAAGTACCAACTACAAAGTCGATCGATAGATCCACACTTGGTCCAGTGACAACCGAAAGAGACACCGACAGACCCACAACTTTAGGTCCAGGCACTACTGCTACTGGAATAACTGAAACGATAGAGTCTCTAAGGGGAGAATCCACTACGAAATCAGTTTATACTTCTACTCTTGGTACAGTAACAACGGATAGGCACACCGACATACCAATAACATTACCTCCTAGAACAACACCTACTGGAATTCCTGAACAAACGACGGCTTCTGTTACAGAAGTACCAAGAACTGAAATACCAACTAGGGAAGTTCCAACTACAAAGTCGATCGATAGATCCACACTTGGTCCAGTGACAACCGAAAGAGACACCGGCAGACCCACAACTTTAGGTCCAGGCACTACTGCTACTGAGATGACTGAAACGACAGAGTCTGTAAGGGAAGAATCAACTACGAAATCAGTCTATACTTCTACTCTGGGTCCAGTAACAACGGATAGGCACACCGACATACCAACAACATTACCTCCTAGAACAACACCTACTGGAATTCCTGAACAAACGACGGCATCTGTTACAGAAAAACCAAGAACTGAAATACCAACTACAAAGTCGATCGATAGATCCACTCTTGGTCCAGTGACCACCGATAGAGACATCGACAGACTCACAACTTTAGGTCCAGGCACTACTGCTACTGGAATAACTGAAACGATAGAGTCTCTAAGGGAAGAATCAACTACGAAATCACTTTATACTTCTACTCTTGGTCCAGTAACAACGGATAGGCAAACCGACATACCAACAACATTACCTCCTAGAACAACACCTACTGGAATTCCTGAAAAAACGACGGCTTCTGTTACAGAAGTACCAAGAACTGAAATACCAACTAGGGAAGTTCCAACTACAAAGTCGATCGATAGATCCACACTTGGTCCAGTGACAACCGATAGAGGCACTGGCAGACCCACAACTTTAGGTCCAGGCACTACTGCTACTGGAATAACTGAAACGACAGAGTCTGTAAGGGGAGAATCCACTACGAAATCAGTCTATACTTCTACTCTTGGTCCAGTAACAACGGATAGGCACACCGACATACCAACAACTTTACCTCCTAGAACAACACGTACTGGAATTCCTGAACAAACGACGGCTTCTGTTACGGAAGTACCAAGAACTGAAATACCAACTACGGAAGTACCAACTACAAAGTCGATCGATAGATCCACACTTGGTCCAGTGACAACCGAAAGAGACACCGACAGACCCACAACTTTAGGCACTACTGCTACTGGAATAACTGAAACGACAGAGTCTGTAAGGGAAGTTTCCACTACGAAATTAGTTTATACTTCTACTCTTGGTCCAGTAACAACGGATAGGCACACCGACATACCAACAACATTACCTCCTAGAACAACACCTACTGGAATTCCTGAACAAACGACGGCTTCTGTTACGGAAGTACCAAGAACTGAAATACCAACTACGGAAGTACCAACTACAAAGCCGATCGAAAGATCCACACTTGGTCCAGTGACAACCGATAGAGACAGTGGCAGACCCACAACTTTAGGTCCAGGCACTACTGCTACTGGAATAACTGAAACGACAGAGTCTGTAAGGGAAGAATCCAGTACGAAATCAGTTTATACTTCTACTCTGGGTCCAGTAACAACGGATAGGCACACCGACATACCAACAACATTACCTCCTAGAACAACACCTACTGGAATTCCTGAACAAACGACGGCTTCTGTTACGGAAGTACCAAGAACTGAAATACCAACTACGGAAGTACCAACTACAAAGCCGATCGAAAGATCCACACTTGGTCCAGTGACAACCGATAGAGACACCGACAGACTCACAACTTTAGGCACTACTGCTACTGGAATAACTGAAACGACAGAGTCTGTAAGGGAAGTATCCACTACGAAATCAGTTTATACTTCTACTCTTGGTCCAGTAACAACGGATAGGCACACCGACATACCAACAACATTACCTCCTAAAACAACACCTACTGAAATTCCTGAACAAACGACGGCCTCTGTTACAGAAGTACCAAGAACTGAAATACCAACTAGGGAAGTACCAACTACAAAGTCGATCGATAGATCCACACTTGGTCCAGTGACAACCGAAAGAGACACCGACAGACCCACAACTTTAGGTCCAGGCACTACTGCTATTGGAATAACTGAAACGACAGAGTCTGTAAGGGAAGTATCCACTACGAAATCAATTTATACTTCTACTCTTGGTCCAGTAACAACGGATAGGCACACCGACATACCAACAACATTACCTCCTAGAACAACACCTACTGGAATTCCTGAACAAACGACGGCATCTGTTACAGAAGTACCAAGAACTGAAATACCAACTACGGAAGTACCAACTGCAAAGTCGATCGATAGATCCACACTTGGTCCAGTGACAACCGAAACAGACACCGACAGACCCACAACTTTAGGTCCAGGCACTACTGCTACTGGAATAACTGAAACGATAGAGTCTCTAAGGGAAGAATCAACTACGAAATCAGTTTATACTTCTACTCTTGGTCCAGTAACAACGGATAGGCACACCGACATACCAACAACATTACCTCCTAGAACAACACCTACTGGAATTCCTGAACAAACGACGGCATCTGTTACAGAAGTACCAAGAACAGAAATACCAACTACGGAAGTACCAACTACAAAGTCGATCGATAGATCCACACTTGGTCCAGTGACAACCGAAAGAGACACCGACAGACCCACAATTTTAGGTCCAGGCACTACTGCTACTGGAATAACTGAAACGACAGAGTCTGTAAGGGAAGAATCCAGTACGAAATCAGTTTATACTTCTACTCTGGGTCCAGTAACAACGGATAGGCACACCGACATACCAACAACATTACCTCCTAGAACAACACCTACTGGAATTCCTGAACAAACGATGGCTTCTGTTACGGAAGTACCAAGAACTGAAATACCAACTACGGAAGTACCAACTACAAAGTCGATCGATAGATCCACACTTGGTCCAGTGACAACCGAAAGAGACACCGACAGACCCACAACTTTAGGTCCAGGCACTACTGCTACTGGAATAACTGAAACGACGGAGTCTGTAAGGGAAGAATCCAGTACGAAATCAGTTTATACTTCTACTCTGGGTCCAGTAACAACGGATAGGCACACCGACATACCAACAACATTACCTCCTAGAACAACACCTACTGGAATTCCTGAACAAACGACGGCTTCTGTTACGGAAGTACCAAGAACTGAAATACCAACTACGGAAGTACCAACTACAAAGTCGATCGAAAGTTCCACACTTGGTCCAGTGACAACCGATAGAGACAGTGGCAGACCCACAACTTTAGGTCCAGGCACTACTGCTACTGGAATAACTGAAACGACAGAGTCTGTAAGGGAAGAATCCAGTACGAAATCAGTTTATACTTCTACTCTGGGTCCAGTAACAACGGATAGGCACACCGACATACCAACAACATTACCTCCTAGAACAACACCTACTGGAATTCCTGAACAAACGACGGCATCTGTTACAGAAGTACCAAGAACTGAAATACCAACTACAGAAGTACCAACTACAAAGTCGATCGATAGATCCACACTTGGTCCAGTGACAACCGAAAGAGACACCGACAGACCCACAACTTTAGGTCCAGGCACTACTGCTACTGAGGTGACTGAAACGACAGAATCTGTAAGAGAAGAATCAACTCCGCAATCAGTTTATACTTCTACTCTGGGTCCAGTAACAACGGATAGGCACACCGACATACCAACAACATTACCTCCTAGAACAACACCTACTGGAATTCCTGAACAAACGACGGCATCTGTTACAGAAAAACCAAGAACTGAAATACCAACTACAAAGTCGATCGATAGATCCACTCTTGGTCCAGTGACTACCGATAGAGACACCGGCAGACCCACAACTTTAGGTCCAGGCACTACTGCTACTGAGATGACTGAAACAACAGAGTCTGTAAGGGGAGAATCAACTACGAAATCAGTTTATACTTCTACTCTTGGTCCAGTAACAACGGATAGGCACACCGACATACCAACAACATTACCTCCTAGAACAACACCGCCTGGAATTCCTGAACAAACGACGGCTTCTGTTACAGAAGTACCAAGAACTGAAATACCAATGACAGAAGTACCAACTTTAAAGTCGGTCGATAGATCCACTCTTGGTCCAGTGACAACCGACAAACCCACAACATTACCTCCAGGCACTACTGATACTCGAATGACTGAAACGACTGAGACTTTAGGGAAAGAAACAAAGGCAGTATATACTTCTACTCTTGGTCCTGTCGCAATGGATAGATTCACCGAGCCACCCACAACTATGTCTCCTAGCACTACACCAAGTGGAAGAACTAAGCAAACGACTGAATCCTTAGAAGAAGTAACAACAACCCAAGCTGTCGGTGCATCTACTCTTGGTCCAGTAACAGCCGATACTGCTACCGGCTTACCCACAAGTTTACCTTCTGGAACTACAGAAACAACTGAACAAACAACGGATTCTTTAAGCGAAGTACAAACAACAACACCTGTTGTTCAAATTACAATGGACAAACAAACCGACACACCACATTCGGAAACTATGTCACATGTTACAGAAGGATCAATACATTATTATACCTCAACAGAGGTTTATGTTCCGCCATTGACTACCATTTCCCCTGTTTTAAACGATTCCACTCCTATATCGGTTCTAAAACCTGGTTCTGGTGATATGCCAAGTACAACGGACATGACAGTTACCCAAGTAACAGACACTGAGACGAGTTGTAGAACAGAACAGGACTGCTTACACGACCAAACTTGCTTAGGAGGGCTTTGCATATCGCCTTGTGCACACTTTACTAATCTCTGCACTGTGCAGAACCTGACTATTTGTCGTACATCAAACCACACCACAATGTGCTTCTGTGATACCGCCGATGATGTAAATAGACCCGATTGCTCTATGAAAGCAGGTAACTAAAGTTGTGTATATAAGCTGTAAGTCTTGTTATCGAATCATATTGAATGAATTGCAAGGAACCTCAGGGTTGCGGTAAACCGGCATCGTGGCATCGCTGACTACTTTCAACGCCATTCACATAACTGGCAAATTGTAGTAGCCTACTTCAGTTTGATGTCATGTGTTCTTTCTCTTCTCTCGGATTTTCAGCCATTATCCTTCTGGTGGCACATATCGTATACTTATGTATGATCGGCCATTCGTATCGTGCGGGCACCTTGCATGCAACCATATGGATTTTTCCGCAATACCCGTGTGTTCTTTGTTCTCCAATTTTCCAATTGCATTTGTCTCTGTTCCCCTCTTCTTACTGCTTGTCCGGCTGTATTTCGATAAAGGCCTTGCACCGTCACCCACCGTTCTCTTTACCACAAGCAGCACCCGAGATAGTTCAACATATGTGTGTCAAAAAAAAAAAAAAAGCTTTTGATCGAATGCTAGTCCTTGGGAGGTCACTCTCTAGCGCAGTCGTTTTGCATGTCGATTTGTGTTGCAATGTTGATCGTTCATGTTAGTTGCCTGCTTTTTGTCTGCCTGCTGCAAAAAACATCATCCAAACCTGTGCCATCGTCCACACCACCTAAATGTTTCTCATTTTGTTCTCTGAATGATCTCAACTCGCATGTTTCTATTCTCAGCGCGACATATTTCAGTTGTGATTAAATCTGTGTTGATTTTGTTGTATTTAGTACATACGTTGTCGTAATCATGTATCGTAAGTGTATTAGTCCGTAGAAAAACCGTTGCATGTGGTATTTGGATTACTAACAATAACAAAACTTAGCTAATAATGAAATGCACTAACTCACTTAATGCTTTTGCATGTGTATATGTTGTTATACGCAACAACTGAAAACTAAACTATATTTAACCATTTAGTTTGCTTGAATCTGGAGTTGAAAGGCTAGAATAAGGATTCTATATTTAAAGAGAAGTCTACTAACTGCATTGAAAAATAATTCAAAAAGAAAACAACCTACCGAACAGGATTCTTGACATAAATAAAAGGAATGACTTAAATTGTAACGACCTTATATTAACGCACTAATGTGCTAAGATAAAATGACTTGGGGGATCCTAACTAATTAATGTCCTACGCTTTCCACGCACGAACAGAAATCGGTTGCGCTTCGAGTGATGAGTGCCCCTCCCAGCAGGCGTGCATCAATGCTCTCTGCGTGGATCCCTGCACCTACGACAATCCCTGCGGTCGTAATGAAGATTGCCGTGTTCTCAACCACCAGCCTCTGTGCTCAGCCGGTGAGTCTCAAAATGTAAATGATATCAAATCCATGTGATAAACATTCGAATCCTACAGAACATGGTCGCACGCCTGGCTGTGAGCACTGCCCACCAGGTTCGAACTGCGATCCCACGACCGGTGCTTGTATAAAGGGTAAGTTTTGCTCACAGTTCTTCCCGTTTAATCAACATAAAACTTGTAGTGTTAAGTGTAAATACAATGTGTACATAAAATTAACCTCCCGTTACCCATGTAAATACATCTCTCTCCTTAGCTAATGTAACAATAACAACTATTACTACCAAGAACTCCACATCTACCAAGATACCAACGAAACCAAGAACAACAGCTAACCCAAACACAGGCGTCAAATCGACGCCGACAACCACAGCGGTCAACACAAGAACCACCACCACGACCACAACCACTACTACCACTTCCTCCACTAGCACTGAATCGAGCACAATCACAAGCGCTACTAACCAGACCAGTAAGAACCACAAACCAGACACAGAAAGCACCACCTCCCACACCGATGCCACGAGGCGCTACCGCGATGGTGAGAACAACATCACCGATACGCCGACTCCGAGGCCCACGGTCCAGACGACCACGTTGCGAGGCGAAGATATCAGCAGTGACAGTCAGAGGGGATCGACCACAACGCCCAAAATGAAGACCACTCGGTTGGATACTTCCAACGAGGTGCCCGACACCACAACGCCGTGGCCGATGGAACTGCCAACCACGGCGGGCACCACCACGGAGGTCTACAACACCATGATCGCCCCACTGGGCAACACCACTGACATCTCATTAATTAACCCATGTACAGTAGATACTAACTGTGCCTCTAACGAGCACTGTAAGCTGGGCCATTGCCGTAAGAAAGGTATATTAACTTTATATGTAATCTGCACGCCACTTTGGGATTTTATCTTAAATACCGATTGTTTAAATTATATCCTTTTTTACTTTTACTATTCATCCCAAAGTGGCACCAAACTGATCAATTGTACATAAATTCTTATGTAAAGGGCTCGTTTTCTGGCATTACCAACTAATTTTGTTGTAAAAATTGTACATAATTAGGATAGCCCTGCATATTTATCAATTAATTTTATTTATCAATCAACATCATTTATTAACTTTTAACCCACTAAATCCTCTTTAACAAGTAGAACCGCCGGGTTCACCGAAAACACCCGAACCCTGTCAATCTAACAACGACTGCATAGAGAGCGAGGCCTGTTATATGGGTCTGTGCCAGGATCCCTGCGAGTTTGCCAAGATTTGTGCCGCGACTGCCAAGTGCACGGCCAAGAGTCACCGACCAGTTTGCACCTGTCCGCAGGGCCACGAAGGCAATCCGATGGTCAAATGCGTAACCACTCAAACTTCAAGTAAGAACACTAATCAAATAATCAACAACTTCATTGCATGGGATCTACTACCAAGTCTTAAACTTTCTTTTCTGAGTTGATTCTGCTTGATATAACTATTATTTAACGAACTTACAGTTGAATGCACCGACAATTCGGACTGTGGAGTCACGGAAGCGTGCATCAATCAGCTCTGTCAGCATCCATGCGATGTCCATGATCCTTGCGCCACGAATGCCGTTTGCATCAACACCAACCATGCAGCCGATTGCAGCTGTGCGGATGGCTTCCAGGGCAACGGATTTGTAGGCTGTCAGCCAGGTTAGTACACCCCTGTTCAACACGATGGCGCACCTATGTTGACCTCCAAAAAATCCTCTGCTAATGTGTCACAATGTCTCGTTTCCGAAAATCTCTTTCTTTCATACACTGTACAAATCCCCGTACACCACGACACATGTATAAAACTTGTACCGTCCCGACACGAAATCAACTCTAAAACCAACAAACAAATTATAAATACACCCACCGATCCAACCGAATCGCACCGTAATCCTAACCAAAACCACAGCACGTCCCCAAGTCTGCCAATACAACGAGGACTGTCCGCCGACGAAGCTCTGCGATCGCCTCAATAGGCGCTGCATTAATCCCTGCCTGGAGGACTCCTGTGGCGAAAACGCCGAGTGTATTCCCGTTAACCACGGAACCGATTGTCGCTGCCTGTCCGGATTCTTGGGCAACGCCTATGTGCAGTGTCTTCCTAGTCAAGGTTGCCGTTCCGATTCAGAGTGTGATTCCAGTCAGGCCTGCATTAACGGAAAGTGTTCATCGCCCTGCCAATGTGGCGCCTTCGCCCTCTGCGATGTGGTCAACCATCGCGGGGTGTGCAAGTGCCCACCGGGCTACAACGGAAATCCTCAGGTGGGATGCAGTCCGCCCCAAGATCCCTGCGAACCTAACCCATGTGGCTTGAATGCTCTGTGCGAGCTGGACAATGGCAACCCCATTTGCTACTGTCCCAAGAGTCTTACCGGAAATCCGTTTAAAAATTGCAGTGAGTACTTAAAAGCATCGGATATTTTTTAGGAAACCTACATCCTTTATTCATCCTTTACAGTTCCTGAAGGAGACGAGTGCACGCCGAACCCATGCGGTCCCAACTCCGGATGTCGTCGCGTGGAAGGCAATCCGATTTGCTTCTGCCTGCCGGAGTACGAAGGTCAGCCGCCGGCAATTCCCTGTGAGCTGCCCTCGAATCCTTGCGATCCATCGCCTTGCGGACCGAATACCCAGTGCTCCGTACTCAGCAACGGTTTCTCCAAGTGCACCTGTTTGCCGAATTATGTGGAGAGCCCGAACACAATTCGAGGCTGTGTCGAACCCATTAACCCCTGCGACCCCAACCCTTGTGGAACTGGGGCCATTTGCGATTCATCCCGCGATCCCGTTTGTTACTGTCCGGACAACAAGATTGGCAATCCCTTCAGGCTGTGCGACAAGCCAGCAGTTACTATTGAGCTCTGCCAGCCAGGACCCTGTGGCCGGAATGCCGACTGTTACGTGGCTGGTAACCGGGAGGAGTGCTACTGTCGCTCTGGATATGTGGGAGATGCTTACCAAGGATGCCGTGAGCCAAGTCGCACGGTCTGCGATCCCAACCCTTGTGGACCTAACGCCAACTGCGTGGTGGCTGGCGATGGACAAACCGCTTGCGTTTGCCCCGATGGTCTGTCGGGAGATCCCACATCTCTGATTGGCTGCCATGGTTACGAGTGCCAAGTGGATGCCGATTGCCCGAACAGCAAGGCCTGCATGGGCTACCGCTGCTACGATCCCTGTCCTGGAGCCTGTGGCCAAGGAGCCCATTGCCGAGTGGAGGAACACCACCCAGTTTGCTCTTGCAACCCCGGACTGACTGGAAACCCCGGAGTTCGTTGCTATGCCCTGGATCATCCCAAGACGAATCCTTGCGTGCCAAGTCCGTGTGGCAAGAACAGTGAGTGCAAGCTGATGAACAACCGAGCTGTCTGCTCGTGCATCCCTGGTTATCTGGGTGATCCCCAGTCGGGATGTCAGCCAGAGTGCGACATCAACTCCGATTGCGGGGACACCTTGTCGTGCATTAACCACAAGTGCGTGGATCCGTGCGCTGGCGCGATCTGCGGCATCAATGCCATCTGCAATGTGCGCCAGCACACACCGGTGTGCCTTTGTCTGGATGGATTCGTTGGCGATGCCTTCTTGCAGTGCGTCCCAGTTGGAATACTGAAGAACGTTTCCCGCGATCCGTGCGCACCCTCGCCCTGCGGACCTCACGATGTCTGCTCGGTGTTCGGTGACGGAGTCGCCCTCTGTGATCCCTGCTTTGGACCCAATGCCCAGCAGAATCCCCGCTGCCGTCCGGAGTGTGTGGGCAATTCGGATTGTCCGTTCGATCGCGCCTGTTTGGGTCAGCGTTGTGTGGATCCCTGTCCCGGATCGTGTGGAAGGAATGCTATCTGCAATGTGTACGAACACAACCCCGTTTGCGCTTGCCCATCGGGTCTCTTTGGAAATCCGTATGAACAGTGTACCACTCAGTCGGTGGTGGAGCCACCGCCTCAACCGAGCTGTGCCAAGCTGCACTGCGGTGCCAATGCGGAGTGCAAGCGCCAGCACAGCGGACTGGCCTGCGTCTGCCGGAAGGGATACTTCGGAGATCCGCACATTGGCTGCCGGCCAGAGTGCGTGCTCAACAGCGACTGTCCTGCGGAGAAGGCTTGCCTCAACTCCAAGTGCGTGGAGGCCTGTTCCGGAGTGTGCGGCGTGAATGCCGTGTGCCGCGTGGTCAACCATGCACCAGTTTGCATCTGTGCCGAGGGATACAGCGGAGACGCCTCCATTGCGTGCAATCCCTTCTACTTGCCACCACCAGTGCGACCACATCCGTGCGAACCGTCGCCCTGCGGACCCAACTCCCGATGCAAGGCCACGCCCGACGGCTATGCCGCCTGTTCCTGCCTGCCGAACTTCAAGGGAGCCCCGCCAGTCTGCCAGCCCGAGTGCGTGGTGAGCTCGGAGTGTGCTCCCAACCAGGCCTGTCTGAACCAGCGGTGTGCCGATCCCTGTCCCGGAATCTGCGGTGGCGGAGCCCGCTGCGAGGTGCTCAACCACAACCCCATCTGCTCCTGTGAGGCCAACTTTGAGGGAGATCCGTTCGTGGCATGTTCGCCCATCCAAGATCCAGGTCGCGAAATCGCTGTGCCAAAGAACCCATGCGTGCCATCACCCTGCGGACCCAACTCCATTTGCCAGATCAAACAGAACCGACCAGTCTGCTCCTGCGTAGCCAACTATATAGGCAGCCCGCCTTATTGCCGGCCGGAGTGCACTCTCAGCAGCGAGTGTCCGGCGGACAAGGCCTGCATCCAGGAGAAGTGCCAGAACCCATGCACCAACGTGTGTGGACACAATGCCCGCTGTACTGTGATTGCTCACTCTGCTCACTGCAGTTGCGATGATGACTACGAGGGAGATGCCTTCATCGGCTGCTCCAAGAAAATCGCAGAAAGTAAGTGCTTACACTGCTGATATTTTAGGAAGTTCCTAAACCCATCACTTTTGTTTATTTAGAACCAAGAGATCGCATCGATCCGTGCTACCCCAATCCGTGTGCGGAGAATGCTGTATGCACGCCTTACAACAATGCTGCCCGTTGCTCCTGCATTGAGCCCTACAACGGAGACCCGTATTCCACCGGATGTCGTCCCGAGTGCATCTACAGCTCGGAGTGTCCCTCGTCGCTGGCCTGCATCAAGCAGCACTGTCGCGATCCTTGCACGGCTGCCTGCGGAGCCAATGCCGAGTGCACGGTGGTCAACCACTTGCCCTCGTGCAGCTGCACCCATGGATTCGAGGGCAATCCGTTTGAGGGATGCAAGCGAGTGCCAATCGTGAGGCCCGTGAGCGTGTGCGAACCGAATCCCTGTGGACCGAACAGCATCTGTCGCACCGTCGAGGGTCATCCCACGTGCAGCTGCCAGGTCGGATACTTCGGAGCTCCGCCGCAGTGCAGGCCCGAATGTGTGGTCAGTTCCGAGTGTGCCCAGCACCTGGCCTGCATCAACCAGAAGTGCACCGATCCTTGTGCGGAGACTTGCGGATTCAATGCCAAGTGCAAAGTGAACAACCACAATCCCATCTGCTCCTGTCCAGACAACTACAGTGGCGATCCGTTCGAGCAATGCGAACGTAAGTAGAAGTTTGCCTGTAAATTTAGAAACATTCATTTTTTATTTACCCCTTAATTTTAAATAACTACAGCTACGATACCGTCACGCAATGCGGATCCATGTCTGCCCAGTCCCTGCGGACCGAATGCCCTTTGTCGCAATGTGAACGACAGAGCCGAGTGCTCTTGTGCCCCCGGAATGTTTGGGGCTCCGCCACAGTGTCGACCGGAGTGTGTGATTAACCAGGACTGCCCATCGAACCGGGCTTGTATACGTCAGCGGTGCGAGGATCCGTGTATCGGAATCTGTGGCTTCAATGCCGTCTGCTCCACCCAGAACCACCAGCCAAAGTGCAGTTGCCTCGAGAGTTTCGAGGGTGATCCGTACACCGCCTGCAGAATGCGAGAGAGTGAGTACCGACCTCCCGACTATTTGCTATCCTTTCCAAGGGCACGGATGTGTGCCCGAGACGCGCCTTTAATGTTAAATGTTCCTTTCAGTGGTGCTCTAGAAGTAATGGTATTGTGGTGTACATCTTATGCATGTTCCTCGTATTGTGTACATATTGTAGCCTCCATCTATCAACCTACTTTACTATTATTATTATTATTACTATGTATTATTAGTGTTTAGTCTCTTGGGTTTGTACATTCCTCTGTATGCATCCGCATTGCCTGCTTGCTATTTTCATGACCATGACAGTCGTGGTGCCAGATCCACCATCCGATCCATGCTACCCATCGCCCTGTGGTGCGAACGCCATTTGTCGTGTGCGCAATGGAGCCGGCTCCTGCACCTGCATCCAGAACTACTTCGGTGATCCGTACATCAACTGCCGCCCGGAGTGCGTGCAGAATAGCGATTGTCCCGGCAGCCGGGCCTGTATAAACATGAAGTGCCGCGATCCCTGCGCCAACGCCTGCGGGTTCAATGCCATCTGTAGGGTGGCCCATCACCAGCCAGTGTGTAGTTGTGAGCCTGGTTTCACCGGCAATCCACTGCGCGCATGCGTCGAGAGGCCTTCAAGTATGACTCTGTCCTTGGGTGGGTCGACTTGTATAAAGAAAGGATTGCTATGTTGAGCTTAATAGAACTTTCAAATGACGATAAATAAGAAAAAGCCTATTCCCCTTCTCTAAGCAAATCGATCCACCCTTTTCTTACCTCTCAGACCCGACCTAATTGCCTTGTCCCACCCCACATAGATATGTACCTGCCCCTGCCGAAAGACCCTTGTAGACCCTCGCCTTGTGGCCTGTTCAGCTCTTGTCATGTGGTTGGGGATCGTCCCGTGTGCGCCTGCTTGCCAGACTACATGGGCGCTCCACCCAACTGCAGGCCCGAGTGCATGACCAGTGCCGAGTGTCCTTCGGACAGGGCCTGTATCAACCAGCGTTGCAAGGATCCTTGTCCCGGCACCTGCGGCTACAATGCCCGCTGTCGCTGCACCAACCACTCGCCCATCTGCACTTGCTATGAAGGCTACACCGGGGATCCGTTCCACCAGTGCGTGCCTGAAAGAAGTAGGTTTACCAGCGGTTGTCTCCCCCAAGAGTAGCTTCCAACTGAAGAGTTTATACTTGTAGAACCACCACCGCCAATACCCGATCCCATTGTACCGCCCAATCCCTGCGTGCCTTCACCTTGCGGACCCAACTCCCAGTGTCAAGTTTCGAGCAGTGGAGCTGTCTGCTCCTGCGTAACCAATTACATAGGACGTCCGCCTGGTTGTCGACCAGAGTGCAGTATCAATTCCGAGTGTCCAGCCCGAATGGCCTGCATCAATTCGCGTTGTGCCGATCCCTGCATCGGATCGTGTGGAAACAACGCACTCTGCCACGTCAGTCTGCATGCTCCGGTTTGCATGTGCGAGCCTGGATACTCCGGAGATCCATTCTCGGGCTGCTACAAGATCATAGAGAGTAGGTTTCTGGGAGGGTTTCCTTTGAGCATCAGATACTCACTCCTCAGTTTGCCCCGTTCACACAGCCCCCATTGAAGTGATCCAACCATGTCGCCCCAGTCCGTGTGGGTTGAATGCCCTGTGCGAGGAGCGGAACCAAGCCGCCGCCTGCAAGTGTCTGCCGGAATACTTCGGAGATCCGTATGTCGAGTGTCGCCCCGAGTGCGTCATCAACTCGGACTGCTCCAGGTCGCGTGCCTGTGTCAACCAGAAGTGCGTGGATCCCTGTCCGGGAATGTGCGGCCACAACGCCCAGTGCGCCGTCTTTAATCACGCTCCCAATTGCGAGTGCCTTCCTGGTTACACGGGTAGCCCCATCGTTGGTTGCCACCTGATTCCTGAAGCCCCGCGCTGTAAGATCTCGTTCCAATCGCGTAGCAGTAGGGGAAGTACCTAGGTAGAAGGGTTTTTCAAAAGAAGAATATATAAAATAATTCTAAAGCGAAAGAAATTCCCAATTCGAAGGGCTTTATTACGTTAAATATGTTCGGTTATATCTTCCATTCTACCCTGGTCTCCCTTCCTCCACTGCAAGTTAGAAGCCCTGATGGTTAGGAACCCCATTAACTCCAGCCTTTACCACGTCTGTAGATCCCGACCCAATAGTACCCGAAAATCCCTGCCAACCCTCGCCCTGCGGCCTCTACAGCAACTGTCGTTCGGTTAATGGCCACGCGGTCTGCTCCTGTGTGCCCAACTACATTGGCTCCCCGCCCAACTGCCGGCCCGAGTGCATGAGCAGCTCGGAGTGCGCGCAGGACAAGTCGTGCCTCAACGAGCGCTGCAAGGATCCCTGCCCAGGCACCTGCGGCAACAACGCGCTCTGCCGCGTGGTCAACCACAATCCGATCTGCTCCTGCAGTCCCGGCTTCAGTGGTGATCCGTTCGTGCGCTGCTTCCCGCAAGAGAGTAAGCATCGACGACAACGGAAGGAAGGAAGCTCATCTTCGGCCAGCCGAAGATTTAAATTCCCCTGCAGGGATGTCGTCTTTCTATTAATGGAAAGAATATATACCCTGTCCTCCATTCAAAAATTAGTTGAGATAGAAGAAAGTGTTTCAAGGCGAGGACTTTCTCTTCCTGCAGGGGTATTTAAGTCAACCATTCATCCGAATCATTTTATCAATCAAGAGAGCTCCTTGCACTCTATCCATTCCATACCCGCTTGACAACATTGCTCGCATCCTCTATATATATCTCTTTCCCCATTATGTTTATTTCTTTTATATGTACTCTATGTATGGCTTATTTTGGTGCATGATGTTTATCGTACTTGGTGGTGTCTCATGTGATGGTTGTAAATGGTGAAAGTAGAGCGGCCGCCCATCACCCACGATCGCATCGATCCGTGCGTGCCCTCGCCGTGCGGGCCCAACTCTCAGTGCCGGGTGTCGGCTGCCAACGAGCAGGCGGTCTGCTCATGCTTGGAACATTACGTGGGCAGGGCGCCGAACTGCCGGCCGGAGTGCACCTCGGACTCCGAGTGCCCCGGCAATTCGGCGTGCATCAATCTGCGCTGCCGGGATCCATGCGTGGGTACCTGCGGCCTCCAGACCACTTGCCTTGTAAATAATCATAGACCCATTTGCCGCTGCCTTGAGGGTTATGCGGGCGATCCATTCTCAGAGTGTAGTCCAAAGAGTAAGGGATCTAACAGCGTAGGGTTTTAGCCGCATACTAAACCGTTGACCTCTCCCCTTCCCCCACCCCTCTTAGTTATTGTTCCGCCGGAGGTGGCACAGCCCTGCAACCCGAGTCCCTGCGGCGCCAACGCAGTGTGCAAGGAGCGCAACGGCGTTGGCTCCTGCTCCTGCCTGCCGGAGTACAACGGAGACCCGTACACCGAGTGCCGTCCGGAGTGCGTGCTGAACAGTGACTGCTCGAAGAACCGCGCCTGCCTGAACAACAAGTGCCGCGATCCCTGTCCGGGCGTCTGTGGCGTCTCCGCCGAGTGCCATGTGATCAACCACGCCCCCAGCTGCAGCTGTCCATCCGGGTTTACTGGAAATCCCTCGCAATACTGTCGGGAGATACCGAAATGTAGGCTATAGTTCCGCGTAGGAGGGGTCGACTTTTAGGGTTGGAGATTACAGTTGATGTCCAAAGAAGTTCTATACAAAATCATTTTCAATCTGAGTTCAAAGTTTCCTTACCTTTTTCTTTATGGAAGCCCTAAAACTCGACCTACTCCTTTTAATCTAAAAGTCATAAGAGGGGTTAATAACGTTGAGCCTGATTTTAGTGGCCGCACCCGTTGAACCCTGTCGCCCTTCGCCCTGCGGTCCCTACAGTCAGTGCCGCGAGGTCAACGGCCACGCGGTCTGCTCATGCGTCACCAATTACATTGGCACTCCACCCGCGTGTCGTCCGGAGTGCTCGGTCAGCTCCGAGTGCTCGCAGGACAGGGCGTGTGTGAACCAGCGCTGTGTGGACCCGTGTCCCGGCACCTGCGGCAACGAGGCCCTCTGCAAGGTGACCAACCACAACCCGATCTGCTCCTGCCCCGCCGGCTTCAGCGGCGATCCCTTCGTGCGCTGTGCGCCGTGGCGGGAGGAGCCGGAGCAGCCCAAGTCCAATGAGAATCCCTGCGTGCCGAGTCCCTGCGGACGCAATTCCCAGTGCCGTGTCGTCGGTGAGACGGGCGTGTGCTCCTGCCTGCCCAACTACGTGGGCAGGGCCCCCAACTGCCGGCCAGAGTGCACACTCAACACCGAGTGTCCCGCCACCCTGGCCTGCGTCAATGAGCGCTGCCAGGATCCATGTCCGGGTTCCTGTGGCTTCAATGCCTACTGCAGTGTGGTGAACCACTCGCCCGTCTGCTCCTGCGACAACGGTTTCACTGGCGATCCCTTCGCCGGCTGCAATCCGCAACGTAAGCAAGAGCTTAGAGTTCTTCTCAGTCGAAAGTCCTAATCCGCTTTGTGGCCCCCACAGCTCCCTCGGTGCCCGACGAACGCCTGACCCCCTGCCAACCCTCGCCGTGTGGCCCGAATGCCGAGTGCCGCGAGCGCAACGGCGCCGGCTCCTGTACGTGTCTGCCGGAGTACTTCGGCGATCCGTACAGTGGCTGCCGACCGGAGTGCGTGGTGAACAGTGACTGCTCGCGCGACAAGTCGTGCGTCAACCAGAAGTGCGTGGACCCCTGTCCAGGTGTTTGTGGTCTGAACGCCCAGTGTCGCGTGTCCAATCACTTGCCCAGCTGCTCCTGTCTGGCCGGCTACACTGGAAATCCGTCGAGTGCGTGCCGTGAAATTCCCCAGTTGCCCCCACCACGTAGGTCCACTGCTAATTCCCGGCTGGAGAGCACCATCCAACTGATTCCACCTCCCTTCTCCCCAGCCGAACGGGACGAGAACCCCCTGTAGACCCTCGCCGTGCGGTCCGTACAGCCAGTGCCGCGAGGTCAACGGCCATGCCGTGTGCTCCTGCCTGCAGGGCTTCATTGGCTCGGCGCCCAACTGCCGGCCCGAGTGCATCATTAGCTCGGACTGCGCCCAAGACCTCAACTGCCAGAACCAGAAGTGCGTGGACCCGTGTCCCGGCACTTGCGGCATCGAGGCCCGCTGCCAGGTCATTAACCACTACCCCGCATGCTCCTGTGCCCCTGGTTTCACCGGCGATCCCTTCAACCGGTGCACTAAGATATTGTGTAAGCATGATAGCTTGTAAATTAAGGAGGGCAAGCCAAATGGAGTTGAATCGGAAATCGGGGGAAAATTCGGAAAAAAATTTCTACCTTATTTAACTACGAATTAAGAGCATGGTAACTTTCCCTTTAGAATATATAAAACCCCAAAGCACGATTTGATGTGTAGGTATTCCCCCACTTGGCTTGCCAAACCACCCAAGATTTCAACCTCCTGCATGTATATACACTCTATAATGTTTGTTCTTCTATTCCCTATGTTTGTTCTATTTTATGTACACCATTTTATGTAAACCACACTATCTACTGTCCTATGATCCTATGTAAATGTTTGTCTAAATGTGCTATGAACCTACCTACTTCAACTATCTGGCATGGCTAAAAAATATGTGGCATGTAGTGGAGCCCCCACCCGTTGAAAAGTCCGGTAATCCCTGCATCCCCTCACCGTGCGGACCGAACTCGAAATGCCTCGATGTCCGCGGTTCGCCTGCATGCTCCTGTCTGCCCGACTTCCTGGGACGTCCGCCCAACTGCCGGCCCGAGTGCCTCAGTAGCGCCGACTGCCCGGCCAATCTGGCCTGCGTGAACCAGCGCTGCTCGAACCCGTGCATCGGTGCCTGTGGCCAGCACTCCGTGTGCACGGTCATCAAGCACCGGCCGACATGCGAGTGTGTGCCCGGTTACACCGGAGATCCCTTCTCCGGCTGTGCAATCGTGCAGCAAAGTAATAATCACCTGCATGCCATTTAAATCTATAAAACATCCATCTAACCCCATTCTATGATCTTTCCTTTTCCCCTCTAGTTCCTCCACCGGACGAGCCAAGGAACCCATGCAATCCCAGCCCCTGCGGAGCCAATGCCATTTGCCGGGAGCGCAACGGAGCCGGCTCCTGCACCTGCCTGCCGGAATACTTCGGAGATCCGTACAGCGGCTGCCGGCCCGAGTGTGTCCAGAACGACGACTGCGATCGCTCGCTGGCCTGCATCAACAACAAGTGCCAGGACCCTTGCCCCGGAGCCTGCGGCATCAATGCCGAGTGCCGGGTGCTCAACCACGGACCCAACTGCAACTGCTTCGAGGGCTACACCGGCGATCCGCACCGCTCGTGTGCGCTCGTGGAGGTGGTCACCCGGCGACCGGAGAACCCGTGCCAGCCATCGCCCTGCGGACCGTACAGCCAATGCCTGGACACCAACAGCCATGCGGTGTGCAGCTGCCTGGAGGGCTACATTGGAGCGCCGCCGAGCTGCAAGCCGGAGTGCGTGGTCAGCTCGGAGTGCCCCCAGAACAGGGCCTGCATCAGCCAGAAGTGCGAGGATCCGTGCCGCGGATCGTGCGGCAACAATGCCAAGTGCCAGGTGGTGAACCACAATCCGATCTGCACCTGCCAGCCGGGCATGACCGGCGATCCCATCTCGGGCTGCGAGCCCACACCGGAGGTGAAGAACGTGGAGAACCCGTGTGTGCCGTCGCCCTGTGGACCCAACTCGATTTGCCGAGAGATTGGCAACCAGGCGGCCTGCTCCTGCAAGAGCGGCTTCGTCGGACGGCCGCCGATCTGCAGGCCGGAGTGCACCAACAACGACGAGTGCCAGAACCACCTGTCCTGCCAGCAGGAGCGCTGTGTCGATCCCTGCCCCGGTTCGTGTGGCAGCAACGCCATCTGCCAGGTGGTGCAGCACAATGCGGTCTGCTCCTGTGCCGATGGCTACGAAGGCGATCCGCTCTTCGGCTGCCAGCTGATCCGGGCCGTAACGCCCACCGAATCGCCCACTTCTCCGTGCGAGCCATCGCCCTGCGGACCGCACGCCGAGTGCCGCGAGAGGAACGGAGCCGGAGCCTGCTATTGCCACGACGGATTCGAGGGCAATCCGTATGATGCCCAACGGGGATGTCGTCGCGAGTGCGAGAGCAACGATGAGTGCTCCGCCGTGCAGGCCTGTTCGCGGTTCAAGTGCGTCGATCCCTGCAACAATATCTGCGGAGACTATGCCATCTGCACGGTTGACAAGCACGTGCCCACCTGCGACTGCCCGCCGGGCTACACTGGAGATCCGTTCTTCAGCTGCAAGCCAGTGCCGGTCACCCCGCGTCCGCCGCTGAACCCGTGCAACCCCTCGCCCTGCGGACCGAACAGCAACTGCCGGGCCATGAACAACCAGGCGGTGTGCTCCTGCCAGGCCGGATTCATCAACCAGCCGCCCAACTGCAAGCCGGAGTGCGTCGTCAGCGCCGAGTGCGCTCCGGAAAGGGCCTGTGTGAACAAGAAGTGCGTGGATCCCTGCCAGCACACGTGCGGCATCCGGGCCATCTGCACCACCAAGAACCACAGCCCCATCTGCACGTGTCCACGTGGCATGACCGGAGATCCGTTTGTTCAGTGCACCAAAGTTGGTAAGTGCTTTGAAATATTTTAAGTTTAAATCTTGGGGGTTTCCTAATAACTTATGATTGTTATTGTGTAACTGCATTGCTATCACCAATGAAAACACCACTCCATCGCCGGCGCCCGCATCATGTGTGCCATCTCCCTGTGGACCCAACGCCAAGTGCCAGATTGTGGGCAACAGTCCGGCCTGCTCCTGCCTTCCGAACTTCATTGGAGCGCCGCCCCGCTGTCGCCCCGAGTGCGTTCTGAACTCGGAGTGCGGACCCACGGAGGCATGCATCAACCAGAAGTGCGCCGATCCCTGCTCCGGATCCTGCGGCTTCGAGGCCAAGTGCCATGTGCTTAACCACCTGCCCATCTGCAACTGCATCGAGGGCTTCGAGGGCGATCCCTTCGTGCGCTGCACGAAGAAGGAGGAGCCCAAGACGCCCGTCGTGAACGATCCGTGCAATCCGAATCCGTGCGGTCAGAACGCCGACTGCTTTGCGGGAGAGTGTCGCTGCCAGCAGAATTACCAAGGAAACGCCTACGAGGGCTGTCGTCCGGAGTGCACACTCTCGGCTGACTGTCCCAGGGACAAGGCCTGCATGCGCAACCGCTGTGTGGATCCGTGCCCGGGAATCTGCGGCAACAACGCCATCTGCGAGGTGATGAACCACATTCCGGTGTGCTCCTGCGTTCAGGGCTACGAGGGCGATCCGTTCGTGAACTGCCGCGTGAAACCCATCGCCGAAGAGACGCCAGTTGAGACCTGTTCCCCATCGCCGTGCGGAGCGAACAGCCAGTGCCGCGACGTCAACGGACATGCGGTGTGCTCCTGCCTGGAGGGCTACATCGGAGCGCCGCCTCAGTGCCGTCCCGAGTGCGTGGTGTCCAGCGAGTGCTCCGCCCTGCAGGCTTGTGTCAACAAGAAGTGCGTGGACCCCTGCGTCGCTGCCTGCGGACTGGAGGCCCGTTGCGAAGTGATTAACCACAGCCCGATTTGCGGATGTCCACCTGGACGAACCGGTGATCCGTTCAAGCAGTGCGTTGTACCGGCACCGATTCCTGCGCCAGACGTAAAGACCACTCCTCGGGATCCTTGCCAGCCGTCGCCCTGCGGACCCAACTCCATCTGCAAGCCGGACAGGAATGGACCAGTCTGCCAGTGCCAGCCCGAGTTCTTTGGCTCGCCGCCCAACTGCAGACCCGAGTGCATCATCAATCCGGACTGCCAGTCCACGCAGGCGTGCATCAACAACAAGTGCAGCAATCCCTGCCCGGCGTCCTGCGGCACGAATGCCGAGTGTCGGGTCATCGGACACGCTGTCTCCTGCTCCTGCCCGTCCGGCTACGCTGGCAACGCCTTCGTCCAGTGTGTGCCGCAGCAGGCTGAGCCACCGAAGCCCTGCCAGCCGTCTCCCTGCGGAGCGAATGCCGAGTGCATCGAGCGGAACGGAGCCGCCGCCTGCAAGTGCATCGACGAGTACCAGGGCAATCCCTACGAGGGATGTCGGCCCGAGTGCGTACTCAGCTCGGACTGTCCCACGGACAAGGCGTGCATCCGCAACAAGTGCCAGGATCCCTGTCCCGGAATCTGCGGACTGAACGCCCAGTGCTATGCGGTCAACCATGTGCCCAACTGTGTGTGCAACGACGGCTTCACTGGTGATCCGTTCGCCAGTTGTCGCCGCGTAGAGATCTCAGCAACTCCGGCACCGGAACCCTGCACACCTTCGCCTTGCGGACCCAACAGCAAGTGCAGGGTGGCCAACGGCTTGGCCGTGTGCTCCTGCCTGGACACCTTCACTGGATCCCCGCCGAACTGCAAGCCGGAGTGCACTGTGAATGCCGAGTGTCCCTCGACAAAGGCGTGCCACAAGTTCCGCTGCGCCAATCCCTGCGCCAAGACCTGCGGTCTGAATGCCAAGTGCGAGGTGATCAACCACAACCCGATCTGTAGCTGTCCCTTGGACATGACGGGCGATCCGTTCGCCCGCTGCTACCCGGCACCTCCACCACCGCCGCCAGGACCCAAAGATGAGCCAGTGAAGAGGCCATGCCAGCCTTCGCCTTGCGGTCTGAACGCCGAGTGCAGGGTGCGCGATGACCAGGCCTCTTGCTCGTGCCTGCCCAACTTCATCGGAGCACCGCCCAACTGCCGCCCGGAGTGCGTTGTCAACACGGACTGCTCGCCGGACCGAGCCTGCATCGCCGAGAAGTGTCGCGATCCCTGCGACGGCTCCTGCGGACTGGACTCCGACTGCCGTGTGCAGAACCACTTGGCCATCTGTACCTGCCGCGGAGGATTCACCGGCGATCCGTTTGTGCGCTGCATTGAATTCATCGAGGAGACCACAAAGTCACCGCCACTCAGCCAGGATCCCTGCGATCTGCAGCCGTGCGGATCGAATGCCGAGTGCAGGAACGGCGTCTGCAGCTGCCTGCCGGAGTACCAGGGAGATCCGTACATCGGCTGTCGCCCGGAGTGCACCCTGAGTACCGATTGCCCGCCAACCAAGGCCTGCCTGAACAAGAAGTGCGTGGATCCGTGCCCGGGAGTCTGTGGCCAGAACTCGCAGTGCGACGTCTCCAACCACATACCGATATGCAGTTGCCTGCAGGGCTACACCGGCGATCCGTTCGTCCACTGCCGCCACGAGACGCCGGTGGCCAAGGACCCGTGCCAGCCAAATCCCTGCGGACCGAACAGCCTGTGCCACATTTCCGGCCAGGGACCCGTTTGCGCCTGTCAACCGGGAATGCTGGGCTCCCCGCCGGCCTGCAAGCCGGAGTGCATCGTCAGCTCCGAGTGCTCCCTGCACATGGCCTGTGTGAACAGGAAGTGCGTGGATCCGTGCCCCGGAGCCTGCGGACAGTTCGCCCGCTGCCAGGTGATCAACCACAACCCGTCGTGCTCCTGCAACTCGGGCTACACGGGCGATCCGTTCACTCGCTGCTACCAGGAGGAGCGAAAGCCGCCGCCGACGCCGGAGAACCCATGCCAGCCGTCCCCCTGCGGACCCAACTCCGAGTGCAAGGTTCTGAATGGCAACGCGGCCTGCTCCTGCGCAGCCACCTTCATTGGAACGCCGCCGAGCTGCCGACCCGAGTGCTCCATCAATCCGGAATGCCCGCCGACCAAGGCCTGTATACGGCAAAAGTGCTCGGACCCGTGCGTGAATGCCTGTGGATTCAATGCCCGCTGCAATGTGGCCAATCATCAACCCATCTGCACATGCGATGTGGGCTATACTGGAGATCCGTTCACCGGCTGTCAGAAGGAGCAAGGTAGGACCCGCTTTTCATTTACCTAGTAGCTAGGCCAAGGCGTAGACCAGCTTTTAAAAGTTAATTCATGGTTTTGGTTGCTCACTGGGCGCCCAGTACAACACTTGCTATTATTAAAACCGAACAGCCAAGACATTTGTTTACGCCTTGAGTGATTTAAAAGAATGTGAAACTTATGCAAAATCTCAGTATTATCAACCTTTGGAATCTCAGTGAAAATCCATGTTTCCCCTAGGTTTAAATGCCCTTTAAAAACAAGTTTCACATTCATTACAAGCGCATTAGAATAAAAGAACAATTATCACCTGAAAAGCAATTGCAATCGTTGCAATTCCTTGTACTTGTTTTAAATGCACTAAATGTTGGCACTTGTGTTTCACTTCAAACGCGTGACTTATTCTGATGCGCTCTTAGGCAGTTTTTATATCACACTTTTTACATTCATCGAAATCTATGGTTACCGCACGCACAGGCACAATGCATTGCAAAATAATGAGTGTTCGTTCCAGTTATGTTTTACACGAAATCACAATGCACTCGAGCGAAATGCAAATTTCAAGCAGCACGCACTCTGTACGAGTTGTCTGAGTGATCGTGCTCTTGGAAGTGTCTGTATGCTGGGCTAGTCAGAGATTTTGATTAAATTTAGTCAATTATTAATTTGCTTTTTACTGCCCCTAACGCCTCAATTACAATATGCAAACTTGCCACGCCTTATTGCTTCCTTATACAACCTTTAATGCCTCACACCAAATCACCCGCCTTGATATTTGCCTTTAACCCTTGACGATATCGTTGTTGCCTCCAAAGTATTACCTTGCGCCCCTACTGTTGAAGTTGAATGGGGGGATAATCCTCGCGAAACGCTTTCACCTAATTCGTTATTTGGCCCAAAACACAAAAGTCCCTGTCTCTCCACTCGCTTACTACCCAAATTGATCCTAACCCAAATACCCGAAATTGAGTACTGCGTTGTTGTTGACCCCCACCCAAAATTCTGCCTACGGATAGCCAAGGAAATTAACTAAGTACTAGTCAAAAGCAAACCAAAAACTGCGTTAGCACCTAATTAGAATATTAAAACCGAACTCGTATAACATAAAACTGTAGCGTATGAAAATTGTTTAACATTGAGCAATAAATCAAATGATATAACCCCGCAAAGGACACTTGTTTTTCTTACGACACAAACATAACTCGAGGCCAATCAAATTGGCACACTGCACTTACATAACACCGCCAAAAAGCACTCAGCACACAGCGTTTAACCAAACTAAACGAAGTGGCTTTCGAACCACTGCACCTGAAACGTAAACTCCCTCGATTGGAGCGATTAATGCGAACACCTAACTCGTACTTGTACTCTAATCCGCTACAATAATACCACAACTGCAATCGGATTAATCAGCTGAAAACCCCAACGCCAGGTGTGTTGTACTGTACTAAAACCGATTCACTCGAGAGTAAATAATGAAAACACCTCTCCACGTTTCTCTCTCCCCTCTCTCCGAATCACTCTACCCCCAATAGAACGCATTGTCAATGAGCAGGTGACCCCCTGCGAACCCAATCCCTGTGGCTCGAACGCGGTTTGTCGCGAGAGGAACGGCATCGGCTCCTGCCAGTGCCTGCCCGACCACTTTGGCGACCCGTACCAGTCGTGTCGTCCGGAGTGCGTCCGCCACTCGGACTGCGCCTCGAACAAGGCGTGCCAGCAGCAGAAGTGCCGCGATCCCTGCCCCGGCACCTGTGGCAGCAATGCGGACTGCAGTGTCACTAACCACCTGCCCACCTGTTCCTGCCGCATTGGATACTCGGGCGATCCGTACCGCTACTGCCATGTGGAACCACCCCAGCGTAAGATTGTCCACCCTAAAACCGCTCTGTTCGCCCCTGACCTTCGACCCTTTCTAGCCCCTGCCCGTGTGACCGAACCTTCTCAGCCCTGTCGTCCCTCACCGTGCGGTCCCAACTCCCAGTGTCGCGAACTCAACGGCCAGGCCGTGTGCTCCTGCCTGGAGCTCCACATCGGTCTGCCGCCCAACTGTCGACCCGAATGTGTGTTGAGCACCGAGTGTCCCACCGATAAGGCGTGCATCAGTCAACGTTGTCAGGACCCCTGTCCCGGCACTTGTGGCATCAACGCCGAGTGCCGAGTGCGTAATCACGCACCCTTGTGTCAGTGTCGCCAAGGATTCACCGGTGATTCCTTTACTCGCTGCTATGCCCTTCCACGTAAGAGTGTACCCCCAATAGTACCGATCCCTCAGTTAATGGTAATGCCTTCCCTAGCCCCGCCACCTGAAATTCAACGGGTTGAGCGCGATCCCTGCCTGCCTTCGCCTTGCGGATTGAATAGTCAATGCCGCAATGTCCAGGGAGTGCCGTCGTGCTCTTGCCTGCCAGAGTTCTTGGGAGTGCCGCCCAACTGTCGACCCGAGTGCACCATCAGTGCCGAGTGTCCCTCGAACCTGGCTTGTATACGCGAGAAGTGCATAGACCCCTGTCCCGGTTCATGTGGCTATGCCGCCGAGTGTAATGTGGTCAACCACACGCCCATTTGTGTGTGTCCAGCTGGCTTTACGGGGGATCCGTTCAGCAGCTGCCGACCTGCCCCGCCACCCGAGCCAGTGCAACGTAAGAAAACTAAACAACCAACAAGAAACCAAAGCTTTAACCAATCAACCCACCTAACAGAGGAATATGTGGATCCCTGCAACCCATCACCTTGTGGCGCCAATGCCCAATGCAACGCTGGAGTCTGCTCTTGCCTGGCCGAGTTCCACGGCGATCCCTACTCCGGCTGTCGGCCAGAGTGTGTTTTGAATTCGGATTGTCCCCGGGACAAGGCTTGCCGTCGCAGCAAGTGCGTTAACCCCTGTCCTGGAACCTGTGGCGAGAATGCCATCTGCGATGTCATTAACCACATTCCGATGTGCAGATGTCCCGAGCGCACTGCTGGCAGCGCCTTCATCCGCTGCTCCCCGGTGCAGAGTACGTCGAAATGGTTACCCCTCCCAACTGTTCCGCTAACCATCCCCACCATAGTTTCAGTTATCAATCCCTGCCGACCCTCGCCGTGTGGTCCCAACTCCCAGTGCCGCGAGGTTAACCAGCAGGCAGTTTGCTCGTGCCTGCCAAGCTTCATTGGAGCCCCACCATCCTGCCGACCCGAGTGCACCTCGAACTCCGAGTGTGCACCCACCCAAGCTTGTCTCAACCAGCGCTGCGGCGATCCCTGCCCCGGAACATGTGGAGTGGGCGCCAATTGTGCTGTCGTCAGCCATAGTCCCTTCTGCACATGTCCCGAGAGGTTCACGGGTAACCCCTTCGTTCGTTGCCAGCCCCAGAGTAAGGATATTATGCCAACAAAAGAGTCACCTTTACAAGAGTTCCCTTTCCCAGTCGAGCCTCCTGTTCGCGACGTTGCCCCCGTTGACCCTTGCCGCCCATCTCCCTGTGGACCTTATTCCCAGTGTCGTCCGGTCGGCGAGGCGCCTGCCTGCTCCTGCCTGGAAACCTACATAGGACGTCCACCGAACTGCCGGCCAGAATGTGTGACCAGCTCGGATTGCGCCAGTCAACTGGCCTGTGTTAACCAGAAGTGCGTCGATCCGTGCCCAGGACGCTGTGGCCTCAACGCCGAGTGCCATGTGGTCAGCCATGCGGTGCAATGCATTTGCCAGCAGGGCTTCAGCGGAGATCCGTTCGTGCAGTGCAGACCGGAGATCGCTTATGAAAACGAAATCCGCACCCCATGCAGCCCGAGTCCTTGTGGACCGAACGCTGTATGCCGTGATCGCAATGGAGTTGGATCTTGCCAGTGTCTGCCACAATATTTCGGAGATCCGTACGCGGGTTGTCGCCCGGAGTGCATGCTCGACTCGGATTGCCCGTCCAATAGGGCTTGTCAACAACTGAGATGCCAGGACCCTTGCCCAGGAACTTGTGGTCTGAATGCCAACTGCCAAGTGGTGAACCATTTACCGACATGCAGTTGCCTCACCGGATATGTGGGCGATCCATACCGCCTATGCAACCTGCCGCCAGAACGTAAGCGGCAACCGTCCACATTTTCCTTCCCTTTACTCAAGTCCAATATTTTAGCACCGCGCAACGAGTATGTGGATCCCTGTCGACCCAATCCTTGTGGTACAAATTCTCAGTGTCGCGTCTCCAATGAGCAAGCGGTTTGCTCTTGCCTGCCACAGTTTGTGGGAGCGCCACCTTCTTGCCGACCCGAGTGCACTATTTCCTCGGAGTGTTCTGTGGATAAGGCGTGTGTCAATCAGAAATGCGTGGATCCCTGCACAGCGGACACTTGCGGAAGCAATGCCGTATGCAGAGTTCGAAACCACAGCCCCATTTGCAGTTGCCTCAGCGGCTTCACTGGCGATGCTTTCACTCGTTGTTTCCCCATTCCACGTAAGCCCGAGACTGTTAATCCTTGGGTAACCAATATTAAAACCTCCCGTACCACAGCACCGATTATTGAGACCAAGGAAGAACCTCTGAGGGATCCCTGTATACCAACACCATGTGGTCCTAACTCCGAGTGTCGCAACATCAACGGTGTTCCTGCTTGTTCATGTCTGGCTAACTTCATCGGCCAGGCACCAAACTGCCGCCCCGAATGCACGATAAACTCGGAGTGTCCTAGTCAGCTGGCCTGCATCAACCAAAAGTGTCGCGATCCCTGTCCAGGAGCCTGCGGTCAAAACGCTGTTTGCAGTGTCATTAACCACACTCCACTCTGCGCCTGCATCGATGGTTATATAGGCAACGCATTCACCAACTGCAATCCCAAACCTCCAGAACGTAGGTGTTTCGATAGGTTTTTCGGATCCAAAGAGCTTACCTCCTTTCCATGTACCTCCCTTTGTAGCTCCAGCACCTCCAGTCGCCGACGATCCTTGCAACCCATCGCCTTGCGGAGCCAACGCGCTCTGTCGCAATGGCCAGTGCTCTTGTATACCCGAATACCAGGGAGATCCGTATGTCTCCTGTCGCCCAGAGTGTGTTCTCAACACCGATTGCCCGAGAGATCGGGCCTGCGTGCGCAACAAGTGCATCGATCCCTGCCCCGGAACTTGTGGCGTGAATGCCCTGTGTGAGGTCACCAACCATATTCCCATTTGCCGCTGCCCAGAGCAGATGTCCGGCAACGCCTTCTTCGAGTGTCGACCGGTGCCGCCTGCCAAGATTCAGGATCCCTGCCAGCCATCGCCATGCGGTCCGAACAGTCAGTGTCAGGTGGTGCAACAGACTGCGGTCTGCTCCTGCCTGGCTGACTACGTGGGCAGTCCACCGCGATGCCGGCCGGAATGTGTGGCCAACTCCGACTGTCCAGCTGACCAAGCTTGCCAGAATATGAAGTGTCGCGACCCTTGCCCCGGAACTTGTGGCTTCAACGCCCTCTGCAACGTGGTCAACCACCGTCCCTTCTGCAGCTGTCCCACTAGCATGACCGGAAATCCCTTCGTGAGCTGCCAGCAGCTAAGTAAGCAACCTCGGTTATTCTATCCCACTCACATGCTGACATCCGAAGTTCTTTTAGTAATACGCGATGAAAGACCTCAAAATCCATGCCAGCCTTCGCCTTGTGGGCCCAACTCCGAATGTCGCGTGTCGGGAGACTCACCTTCTTGTTCTTGCTTGCCCGAATTTGTGGGTGCCCCGCCAAATTGCCGACCTGAGTGTATATCCAATTCGGAGTGTCCCACAAACCAGGCCTGCATTAACCAGAAATGTGGGGATCCTTGTCCAGGACTTTGCGGTCAAAATGCAAATTGCCGGGTGTTCAGTCACAGTGCCATGTGCTTGTGTGACAGTGGCTTCACCGGAGATCCGTTCAGTCAGTGCAGTCCTATCAGGGATACTCCTCCCGAAGTTCTGCAGCCCTGCAACCCCAGTCCTTGTGGCGTTAACGCGAAGTGCGAGGAACGTGGTGGTGCAGGATCATGCCAGTGCCTGCCTGATTACTTCGGAAATCCCTATGATGGCTGTCGACCCGAGTGCGTTCTCAACTCTGACTGCCCCTCCAATTTGGCCTGTGTCAACCAGAAATGTCGCGATCCTTGCCCGGGCACCTGTGGCCAAAGCGCCGAGTGCCAGGTGGTCAATCACCTGGCCACGTGCAATTGCTTGGTTGGTTATACCGGAGACCCGTACAGCTTCTGTCGCATTATTGTCAACGAGCCACGTAAGAATAAATCCCCGATTGCCCAAGGACTCTGTGATCATCGATGGTTATTTTTAGCTGAACGCGTGTACGTGAATCCTTGCCAGCCGTCTCCTTGCGGTCCGAACTCGCAGTGTCGGGAGATCAACGAGCAGGGCGTCTGTTCCTGCTTGCCAGAGTTTATAGGTTCTCCGCCCGCCTGTCGTCCGGAATGCACCAGTAGCTCGGAATGCGCTGCTGACAAGGCTTGTGTGAACCGCAAGTGTGTGGACCCTTGTCCAAATGTTTGCGGTCAGCAGGCTGAGTGCCGCGTGCGCAACCACAATCCCATTTGCACCTGTCTCAGTGGATTCACGGGTGATCCATTTACCCGTTGTTACCGTCAGCCGCCGCCACCAGTCGAAATTGAACGTGAACCCCTCGACCCTTGTGTTCCTTCGCCTTGCGGAGCGAACTCTCAGTGTCGCGAGATTCACGGCACTCCATCCTGCTCTTGTCTGCCCCAATACTTGGGAACTCCACCCAACTGTCGTCCGGAGTGTTCTATCAATGCCGAGTGTCCCAGTCATCAGGCCTGCATTAATCAGAAGTGCCGCGATCCCTGTCCCGGCTCTTGTGGCCTCAACACTTTGTGCAATGTTATAAACCACACGCCCATCTGCAGTTGCGTAGCGGGTTACATCGGTGACCCATTCAGTGTTTGCAATCCGGAGCCAATTCCAGAGAAAAGTAAGAACTGTTCTCAATTGAATCCGAAGTTCATAATACATAACTTCCCTTTTACCAAATTAGTACGCGACCCACTGCCGCCGGAGGATCCGTGCAACCCATCACCTTGTGGCTCGAATGCCCAGTGCAACAATGGAGTGTGTTCTTGCCTGCCCGAATATCATGGCGATCCGTATACCGGTTGTCGTCCTGAGTGCGTCCTTCATACGGATTGTGACCGTAGTCAGGCTTGTGTGCGTCACAAGTGCGTTGATCCCTGTCCCGGTATTTGTGGCACCAACGCAATATGCGAAGTTTTGAACCATATACCCAACTGCCGCTGTCTGGAAAGAATGCAAGGCAATGCCTTCGTTCAGTGCAGCCCAATTCCACGTAAGAAAACTCAACCCCAAGCCCCTTCCCTTCTCAGTTACTACAAAGTCACGAAATTTACAGAGCTCGACGTTGTGCAAAATCCCTGCCAGCCTTCGCCCTGCGGACCCAATTCTCAGTGTCGCGTTGTTAACCAGCAGGCCATTTGCACCTGCATTACGCCTTTCATAGGAAGTCCACCGTTCTGTCGACCGGAATGCACCACCAACTCGGATTGCCCCTTGAACCTGGCCTGTCGCAACCAGAAGTGCATAGACCCCTGTCCAGGCGTTTGTGGTCGTGGTGCCCAGTGCCATGTGACCAATCACAGCCCATTCTGCCGATGCTTGGAGCGCTTCACGGGCAATCCGTTCGTAAGTTGCCAGCAGATCATCGAGCCACCGGTGCCACCACCAAGACAAACTTGTCTGCCGTCTCCTTGTGGACCGTACTCGCAGTGCCGTGAAGTGAACGAGTCACCTTCCTGCACTTGTCTGCCGGACTACATTGGAGCTCCACCAAATTGCCGGCCTGAGTGCGTTACCAGCTCAGAGTGTCCCACGAACCAAGCCTGCATTCAGCAGAAGTGTCGCGATCCTTGTCCAGGACTGTGTGGACAATCTGCAGAGTGCAGAGTGATCTCGCACACCCCAAGTTGCGTGTGTCCGGAAGGCATGGAAGGTGATCCGTTTACTCTCTGCACAGAGAGGAGGATTCAGGAACTAGATCAGTTGGACCCTTGCAATCCCAGTCCTTGTGGAGTCAATGCCCGCTGTACCGCTAGACAAGATGCTGGCTCATGTCAGTGCTTGCCTGAGTACTTTGGCAATCCGTATGAGGGATGTCGCCCTGAATGCGTTCTCAACTCGGACTGTCCGTCGAACAGGGCTTGCCAGCAGCAGAAGTGTCAGGATCCTTGCCCTGGAACTTGCGGTCAGAATGCGATCTGTAATGTCCTGAATCACGTGCCCAGTTGCAGCTGCACAACAGGATACTCCGGAGATCCGTACCGCTCGTGCCTCCCAGAACGTCGCCCAGAACGTAAGAGCAATGGTCAAAGTGTATTCGTTTTAAAAAACTTAAAAGAGTTACTTGCATTTATAGCCGTTAAGGAGTACGTCAATCCTTGCCAGCCATCGCCATGTGGCCCCAATTCTCAGTGTCGCGAGGTCAATGAGCAAGCAATATGCTCATGCTTGCCAGAATATGTGGGTGCCCCGCCTGTTTGTCGACCCGAGTGTACGATATCCTCAGAATGCCCAATCGACAAGGCTTGTGTAAACCAGAAATGCGTAGATCCCTGTCCAAATACTTGTGGTGATCAGGCCATCTGTCGAGTGGTGAACCACAGCCCCATTTGTTCCTGTCGCGCCGGTTACACGGGCGATGCCTTCTATCGTTGCTTCCCCAAGCCTCGTAAGTTGTTTCCTCCCAAAACGGTTATCCCCAGTCTTAACTGCCTTCATTATTCCAAAGCGGTACCACCCACACCTGTGCAAAAGACCCCGGTCGACCCTTGTGTGCCCTCTCCTTGCGGGCCCTACTCGCAGTGCCGCGCCCAGGGAGATGCTCCCGCTTGCTCCTGCTTAAGTGGATACTTGGGAGTTCCTCCCAACTGCCGTCCCGAGTGCCGCATCAACGCCGAGTGCCCCAGCAGTCAGGCGTGTATTAACGAAAAGTGCAGGGATCCCTGTCCGGGCTCCTGCGGCTATGGTGCCATTTGTAATGTGATCAATCACACGCCTAGTTGCACCTGCCCGGCGGGATACTCGGGTGATCCGTTCAGTCAGTGCCAGCCCTTGCCACCACCGCCACCAACACGTAAGCCCCATCAAACGACTGTAAAGTGTAAGAAGGATTCAAAATGTCGAACTTTCTCAGCGGTCAAACTGGACGATCCGTGCAACCCCTCGCCTTGCGGTCCGAATGCTCAATGCAACAATGGAGTCTGCTCGTGTATTCCCGAGTACCATGGCGACCCCTACAGCGGTTGCCGTCCCGAGTGCATCACCAGCGCAGATTGCTCACGTGAGCTCGCCTGCTCGCGCCACAAGTGCTTCGATCCTTGCCCGGGAACCTGTGCCCCCAACGCCATTTGCACTGTGATCAATCACGTGCCCATGTGCACTTGTCCGGAGGGCTATAATGGCAATGCGTTCGTTCAGTGCCAACCTGCACCACGTAAATATTTTAGGGCATGTCCGAAACCGAGCGATTTCCCAACCCATGATTTCCTTTCAGCCCCTGTTCGCATTCAGCCTTGCCAGCCCTCTCCGTGTGGACCCAACTCCCAATGCCGCGAGGTTAACCAGCAAGCTGTGTGCTCCTGTGTGTCGGGATACTTTGGAACGCCGCCACTCTGTCGTCCGGAGTGCACATCCAACTCGGAGTGCCCCACCCATCTGGCGTGTGTGAACCAAAGGTGCAGTGATCCTTGTCCCGGGTCCTGTGGTCGCAATGCGCAGTGCAGTGTGGTCAACCACAATCCCTTCTGTACTTGCTTGCCACGCTTTACTGGCAATCCGTTCGTGGGTTGTCAGCAGATTATCGAGCCACCGCGTCAGGACATTGTGCCTCAGGATCCTTGCCGTCCTTCGCCTTGTGGTCCCAACTCTGAATGCCGCGCTGTGGGTGAAACGCCCACTTGTACGTGTCTTGCTGATTTCGTGGGATCACCGCCCTATTGCAAGCCCGAATGTGTGGCCAACTCTGAGTGCCCTTCGAACTTGGCTTGCATTAATCAGAAGTGTCGCGATCCTTGTCCCGGTTTGTGCGGTTTCAGTGCCTCTTGCCGCGTAGTTTCCCACACAGCAATGTGCATTTGCGATGCCGGCTTGACCGGGGATCCCTTCACCCAATGCCAGCCCATTGTGCAGGATGTGGAGATCATCAATCCCTGCCAACCGTCGCCTTGTGGCGCCAATGCCGAGTGCATCCAACGAAATGGAGCTGGAGCCTGTCAGTGTCTTACGGACTATTTTGGAAACCCGTACGAGGGCTGTCGACCGGAGTGTGTTTTGAACTCGGACTGTCCTTCGAACAGAGCCTGTCAACAGCAGAAGTGCCGAGATCCCTGCCCCGGAAGCTGTGGACAGAACGCCGAGTGCAATGTCGTGAACCACACGCCGATGTGCAACTGCTTCGCGGGATATATTGGCGATCCCTATCGCTACTGTAGCCAACCGCCAGAACGTAAGCGAGTTCCAATTATTCAAGTAGTCTTACTAAACTTGGTCGTAGTCGTGGATGTAGTTACTAATTCTAAGCGTTGTTTTGTACTGTACTCTAACCATAACTAGCTGTTGTCCATGAGTATGTGAACCCCTGTCAACCGTCTCCCTGCGGACCGAATTCCAATTGTCGCGAGGTGAACGAGCAGGCCGTCTGCTCCTGTCGTCCCGAGTTCGAAGGTGCCCCGCCCAACTGCCGACCCCAGTGCACCTCGAGCTCTGAGTGCGCCCCCAATAGGGCGTGCATAAACCAAAAGTGCGTTGATCCCTGTCCCGGTGTCTGTGGCCAGCAGGCAATCTGCGAGGTGCGCAACCACAGCCCCATTTGTAGGTGTCCCACCGGCATGGCCGGCGATCCCTTCGTGCGCTGCCTGCCCCGACCAATAAGTAAGAAGAAAGAAACCTCAATTGTGTTCTCGACCAACCCTAACCCGCTCTGTCCAATGTTAGTTCCCCAACCGCCCCTGAGGGACTTAGTTCCCTACCGCGATCCCTGTGTGCCCTCACCCTGTGGTCTGTACTCATCCTGCCGGAATCAACAGGATCAAGCTATTTGCTCGTGCTTGCCAAACTACTTCGGCACTCCGCCGCATTGTCGTCCCGAGTGTACCATCAATGCGGAGTGCCCCAGTCACTTGGCCTGCATCGGCGAACGGTGCCGAGATCCCTGTCCCGGTGCATGTGGTCAGCAGACCGAGTGCCGGGTCATCAGTCACGTCCCCAGTTGTGTTTGCCTGCGGGGCTATGTGGGCGATGCCTTCCTGGCCTGCCACCCTGCACCACGTAAGAGTTTCCCTAAGCTTAACCCTTATCCCGACTAAGCAAAAACCCCTTCACAGCCCCACCAGCCCGAGAAGAGCCACGCGATCCCTGCAATCCCAGTCCCTGCGGCAGCAATGCCATCTGCTCGAATCAGGGAGAGTGCACCTGTCTGGCCGACTATCAGGGCGATCCCTACGTGGCCTGCAGACCCGAGTGTGTTTTGAGTTCAGAGTGTCCCCGAAACCTGGCCTGCGTACAGCAGAAGTGTACTGATCCTTGTCCAGGAACCTGTGGCATCAATGCCATCTGCGATGTGGTCAACCACATTGCAATGTGCCATTGTCCCGAGAGAATGACGGGCAATGCCTTTGTGCAGTGTTCCCCAGTGCAACGTATGTTAATCCCTCCATATTGTGAGAATCCCAGTTTATTTCTTTCCTATCCCTCAGTGGATGTATACCGTAACCCATGTAATCCCTCGCCTTGTGGCTCCAATGCCGTATGTCGAGAACAAAATGGTCAAGCTGTGTGCAGCTGCCTTCCCAACTACTTTGGGGTACCGCCCTCTTGTCGACCAGAGTGTACCACCAACTATGATTGTTCCCCAAGCTTGGCTTGCCAAAACCAGCGGTGCGTTGACCCCTGTCCAGGATCCTGTGGGGCCTATGCCGAATGCCGAACTGTGAGCCACAGTCCTATCTGTAGTTGCAGACCCGGCTACACGGGCAATCCCATCGTCCAGTGCCACCTGATTAGTAAGTTTGGAAGCACAAATACCTTGAAGCAAGAGCATAAATTAAATGTCCCACCTTTAGTTGAACCTCAACGAGACCTTGTGCCCCAAGATCCCTGCCAGCCTTCACCTTGTGGACCCAACAGCGAGTGTCGTCGAGTGGGAGACACGCCCTCCTGCTCTTGCCTCTCGAACTTCTTTGGCACTCCACCCAACTGCCGGCCCGAATGTGTTTCCAACTCCGAGTGCAGCCAGCTGCATGTTTGCACGAATAACCGCTGCAGGGATCCGTGTCCGGGTCTCTGCGGCACCGATGCCGTTTGTCGGGTGATCAGCCATAGTGCTATGTGCTACTGCCAGCCGGGTTACAGCGGCGATCCATTCGTTCGTTGTGCACCACACATTCAGAGAGAACCGGTTAAGATTGTGCAGCCTTGCAACCCGAATCCTTGTGGCTCCTTTGCCGAGTGTCGGCAGCAGAACGGAGTCGGCTCCTGTCAATGTCTGCCGGAATACTTCGGCAATCCTTACGAGGGATGTCGCCCCGAGTGTGTGGTCGACACCGACTGCCCCTCTCAGCTGGCCTGTGTCAATCAGAAGTGCCGTGATCCCTGCCCCGGAAGTTGTGGCCAAAATGCCGAATGCTTTGTGCGCAACCACTTGCCGACTTGCAACTGCCTCAGCGGCTATGTGGGTGACCCCTATCGCTACTGCAACATCGAACAGAAACGTAAGAAGTCCCACCAATTGCAACCCCTGAACGCGTTTTTAGACACCTTGAAATCTTTTACAGCAATTCGGGAATATGTCAACCCCTGTCAACCGTCTCCTTGCGGACCCAACTCTCAGTGTCGTGAACAAAATGGTGTGGCCACCTGCTCCTGTCTTCCGGAGTATGTGGGCACTCCGCCGGGATGCCGGCCTGAGTGTACGGTTTCTTCAGAGTGCAGTCTTGACAAGGCCTGCGTTCGTCACAAGTGCATTGACCCTTGTCCTGGGGCCTGCGGCAGTTCTGCCAGTTGCCGGGTTGTGAACCATGCTCCACTCTGCTCTTGTCATGCAGGTTTTACAGGCGATCCATTCACACGTTGTTACCCCATTCCCCGTAAGTGTTTCAAGCTTGAAAAACTCGCAGAGGTGTTTATGTCTCCCCCTTCTCGTTTAGCTCCACCTACGCATATTGTCCAAGACGTAGTGCGTGATCCTTGCCAACCCTCGCCTTGTGGAGCGAATGCTCAATGCAGACAGTCCCAGGGCCAAGCCATCTGCTCCTGTCTGCCCAACTACTTTGGTGTCCCGCCCAATTGTCGACCTGAGTGCACACAAAGCTCGGAGTGCCTTCCCAGTCTGGCCTGCATCAATCAGCGATGCGCGGATCCCTGTCCCGGCTCCTGTGCCTACAACGCCCTTTGTCACGTGCGCAACCACGTGCCCAGTTGTCAGTGCCCAGTGGGCTATGTGGGTGATCCGTTCACCAGCTGCCATCCCGAACCTCCTCCGCCACGTAAGAATTGAAAATGTGTGATTGTTCTTGGTTCAAGTGTAATTCCTTGCCCTTACCCTTAGCGACTCCCATTGCCCTTGACGACCCGTGCAATCCTTCCCCCTGCGGAGCAAATGCCCTGTGCCAGAATGGCCAATGTTCGTGTATAGCCGAGTACCAAGGAGATCCCCATGTTGGCTGTCGCCCGGAGTGTGTGTTGAATGCGGATTGTCCGCGCAATCGGGCTTGTGTTCGTCACAAGTGTGTGGATCCCTGTCCGGGGACGTGTGCCCCCAACGCCATTTGCGATGTGCTGAACCACATAGCCATGTGTCGCTGTCCGGAGCGAATGACAGGCAACGCCTTCATTCAGTGCGAGTCTCCGCCAGTTTCGCTGGCACCTCCGGATCCTTGCTATCCCTCGCCCTGTGGGCCAAATAGTCGCTGTCGCGTGTTGAACAACAACGCTGTGTGTTCCTGCATTGAGGACTTCATTGGAACGCCACCCAATTGTCGACCGGAATGTACCCATAACTCGGATTGCCTGCCTAGATTGGCATGCCAGAGGCAGCATTGCATGGATCCTTGTCCAGGAACTTGTGGCTTCAACGCTCTTTGCCACGTGGTGAATCATGCACCGATTTGCACTTGCCCACCAAGGCACAATGGAAACCCCTTCCTCGGCTGTTTCCCAGAACCTGTGAGACGTGATGAGATCATTCCACGGCATCCATGCCAGCCTTCTCCCTGTGGTCCATATGCCAAGTGCTTGGCCGTGGGAGACCAGGCGCAGTGCAGCTGCTTGCCTGAATACATAGGAACACCGCCGAACTGCCGGCCAGAATGCGTGACCAATTCGGAGTGTCCGTTCGATAAGGCCTGTCTCAACCAACGATGCCGCGATCCCTGCCCAGGAACCTGTGGGGCAAATGCCAATTGCCACGTTATAAGTCATGCTGCCATGTGCTACTGTCTACCAGGCTACACAGGCGATCCATTCACGTCCTGCCGTCAGGTTCCATTGATTCAGCAAGCCGAGGTTATCCAGCCATGCTCACCAAATCCGTGTGGAGCCAATGCCGTGTGTCGCCAAGAAGGCAATGTGGGTTCCTGCCAATGCTTGCCCGAATACTACGGCAATCCATACGAGATCTGCCGTCCGGAGTGCGTTACGAATAACGACTGCCCGGCGCACAAGTCCTGTCAGCAGATGAAGTGTCGCGATCCCTGCCCAGGAGTCTGTGCCTTGAATGCTTTGTGTCGTGTGATCAATCACCTGCCTACTTGTCATTGCCAAAACGGCCTAGTTGGTGACCCCTACCGCTACTGCCAAGTTCCCGAGAAACGTGAGTTGTTTGCTGTGCGTCTCCTGAGGTCTGATGTTAACCAATCCCTTTCCTTAACTTTAGCTGTTCTTAAAGAATATGTCAATCCCTGCCAGCCATCGCCTTGTGGCTCAAATTCTCAGTGCCGCGAAAACAACGAGCAGGCCATCTGCTCATGCCTTCCTGAGTATGTGGGTACTCCGCCCAATTGTCGACCAGAATGTGTCACTAGTGCAGAGTGTCCTCATGACAAGGCGTGCATTAGGCAAAAGTGTAGTGATCCCTGCCCTGGTGTTTGTGGCTCCAATGCCGATTGCCGCGTCATCCAGCATGCCCCAATCTGTAGTTGTCGACCTGGTTTCACAGGAGACGCCTTCACTCGCTGCTTGCCCCTGCCACGTAAGATATTCCCTCGACGGCTGCCCCTTACTTTAGTTCACTTGCCCTTCCTTTAACTTGCAGCCCCACGACCACCCCAGTTGGATGTGTATCGAAATCCATGTGTACCCTCGCCTTGTGGTCAATACGCAGAGTGCCGGGATAACCAGGGAACTGCCACCTGCAGTTGTCTGCCCTCCTACTTCGGCACTCCACCCAACTGCCGTCCCGAGTGCACCATCAACCCAGACTGCCCCGCTCATCTTTCTTGCCAACAGCAGCGTTGTCGCGATCCCTGCCCCGGAGCCTGTGGATTCAATGCCCTGTGCACGGTTATAAACCACAATCCCACGTGTCAATGTGCTCCTGGACTGATCGGCAACCCCTTCACATCCTGCCATGCCCCACCGCCAGTCGCACGGGATCCCCTACCAATCGAGGATCCCTGCTCTCTGATAACTTGCGGTGTGAATGCAGTTTGCAACCAGGGACAGTGCATCTGTCTGCCTGAATTCGTGGGTAACCCATTGGTGGGTTGTCGTCCAGAATGTGTGCTTAGCACGGAATGCGACTGGAACAAGGCGTGCGTGAGGAACAAGTGCATCGATCCCTGTCCTGGAACCTGCGGATCCAATGCCATCTGCGAGGTGCACAGACACGTGGCCATGTGCCACTGTCCACCGGGAATGACTGGAAATGCCTTCAGCCAATGTCGACCTCTACCACCAGCTCCGATTCGCGATGTCATTGATCCTTGCTCACCTTCGCCGTGCGGACCAAATGCCCAGTGCCGCAACATCAACGGACAGGCAGTGTGCTCTTGCCTCCGCGATTTCGTGGGAGTTCCACCATCATGCCGACCAGAGTGCGTCAGCAACGCGGAGTGCCCGCTGCATTTGGCTTGTCTCCAGCAACATTGTAGAGATCCCTGTCCCGGAGTTTGTGGCTTGAACGCTGAGTGCCGTGTGATCAATCACAGTCCGAACTGCCATTGCATTGGCTCCTTTACGGGAAATCCATTCGTGGCTTGTCACCGGCAACCACCGCCACCGATTAGGAGAGACCCCATTGATCCTTGTCAGCCATCACCATGTGGAGCTAATGCGGAGTGTCGATCCCAGGGAAGCAATGCCCAATGCAATTGCCTTGATGGCTTTATTGGTACACCACCCAATTGCCGACCAGAGTGTGTGTCTAACTCGGACTGTCCCACGAATCTGGCTTGTCTGAATCAGAAGTGCCGCGATCCCTGTCCAGGTGTTTGTGGCTCAAATGCCGAGTGCTATGTGATCAATCACACTCCCATGTGCACATGCGCGGCTGGACAAACCGGCAATCCTTTCGTGGGCTGTCAAGCAGTGCGTGATGTTCCCCAACCGCTTACACCCTGTGTTCCCAGTCCTTGCGGAGCCAACGCTCTCTGTACGGAGAGGAATGGAGCTGGAGCCTGCCAGTGCCTTCCGGAGTTCTACGGCAATCCCTACGAGGGCTGCCGACCCGAGTGCGTGCTCAACTCAGACTGCCCCAGCCACCTGGCTTGTCTCAACCAACACTGCCGCGATCCCTGCCCCGGAACCTGTGGTCCAAATGCCCAGTGTCAAGTGCGCGATCACCTGCCGCAATGCAACTGCCTTGCGGGATACCAGGGCAACCCCTACGTGTACTGCAGCGTCCTGCGTGAACGTAAGCAGATTCTCGGAAAGATAGTTATTCGACTTGAAATTTACCCTGAAATTTTCCCGACAGCCCTGCCCGAACCGATTCCCTTACGCCCATGTCAGCCATCTCCTTGCGGTCCCAACTCTCAGTGTCGGGAGTCGATCAACCAGGCAATATGCAAGTGCCTGCCCGACTTCATTGGATCCCCGCCCGCCTGTAGGCCGGAGTGTACTATTTCCAGCGAGTGTGATTTGACCCTGGCGTGTGTCCAGCAACACTGTGTCGATCCCTGTCCAGGTGTCTGTGGCAGCAGTGCCCAATGTAGGGTCATTAACCACAGTCCGCACTGTAGCTGCCTGCCTGGTTTCACGGGTGATGCCATTAGTGGTTGCCAACGCATCCGTAAGACTCATAATTCTTTATATAACCCCAGGAGTTCACTTAACCCCAAACCCTTTGCAGCCCCTGCGATTACTTACGATGCCCCCAAGGAAACCTATCGCGATCCCTGTGTACCCTCTCCCTGCGGAACCTTTGGCCAGTGTCGTGCCCAGGGCAACCAGGCGATCTGCTCTTGCCTTACTGGCTACTATGGAGCACCGCCTAATTGCCGGCCAGAGTGTGTGATAAATCCGGATTGTGCCTCTCATTTGGCTTGTATCAGTGAAAAGTGTCGCGATCCGTGTCCCGGTTCTTGTGGGTTCAATGCCCAGTGCAACGTCATCAACCACACACCCATTTGCAGTTGCCCATCGGGTTATGAGGGCAATCCCTTCGTGAGCTGCCAACGAACTCCACCACCACCAACTCCAATCCTTCGCGATGCCTGCAATCCCTCGCCTTGCGGCTCCAATGCGATCTGCAGTTCGGGAGGCCAGTGCACATGTCTGCCTGACTTCGAGGGCAATCCCTACGTGGGTTGTCGACCCGAGTGTGTCCTAAACACAGACTGTTCGAGGGACAAGGCCTGCCAGCGCAGCAAGTGCACTGATCCCTGTCCAGGAGCTTGTGGTGTTGGAGCAGTTTGCGAGGTTCGCAACCATGTACCCACATGTACTTGCCCGCCCGGAACTTCCGGCAACGCGTTCGTCCAGTGTACCCTTGTGCAATGTAGGTTGCAAACAAAGAATCAACTCGATTTTAAGAGCCCGTTTAACAACTCCTTATTCTGTTTAGCTTCACCTGTGGTGCCCCTGAACCCTTGCCAACCATCGCCGTGTGGAAACAACGCCCAATGCCGAGAGGTCAACGAGCAGGCCATCTGCTCTTGCTTACCCGGTTACTTTGGTGTCCCTCCGAGGTGCCGCCCCGAGTGCACCATTAACTCGGACTGTGCCCCTCACCTCGCCTGCTCGAATCAGCAGTGCCGCGATCCCTGTCCTGGAGCTTGTGGGCAGTTTGCTCAGTGCCAAGTCATCCGACATGTGCCCCACTGTAGTTGTCCCTCAGGTTTCTCAGGCAATGCCTTCTTCCTCTGCCACCGTGTGCCACCACCACCACCAGTTCAAAGGGAGCCACTCAACCCTTGCTCACCATCGCCATGCGGAGCCAATGCGGAGTGCTCTGATCAAAATGGCCAGGCCATTTGCAAGTGCCTCAAGGATTATGTGGGCACACCCCCCCAACTGTCGACCGGAGTGCATAACCTCTTCGGAGTGTCCGAATCAGTTGGCTTGTATTGCGCAGAAATGCAAGGATCCTTGCCCTGGGCTTTGCGGAAACGCAGCCACCTGCCAAGTAGTCAGCCACGTGCCTTCATGCATCTGCATTGCGGACTACATTGGTGACCCGTACACTGGATGCCACCCTCGACCGCAGATTCAGCGGGAGCAGATCAATCCCTGCTTCCAGAACCCGTGCGGAAGCAATGCCGTTTGCAGAGAACGCGGAGGAGCCGGTTCGTGTCAGTGCTTGCCGGAATACTACGGCAACCCCTACGAGGGATGTCGTCCCGAATGCGTACTCAACTCGGACTGTTCGAGCCACTTGGCTTGCCTGAATCAACATTGTCGCGATCCCTGCCCAGGAAGCTGTGCCCCCAATGCCCAGTGTCAAGTGGTTAACCACGTGCCCAGCTGTAGTTGCTACCCCGGATACAGTGGTGATCCATATCGCCATTGTCATGTCGTCCAGGCGGAACGTAAGCAGTCTTCATCCAGTCAATCGTTTAACCCTTGCACTAACCCACAAATTTACCATTACCCCCAATCTGCACTCTTATGTCCCTCAGCAGCTATCGAAGTTGTCCACTATAATCCCTGTCAGCCCTCGCCGTGCGGTCCCAACTCCCAGTGCACCGAGTCCCAGGGTCAGGCGGTTTGTCGCTGCCTGCCCGATTACTTTGGTTCCCCACCAGCTTGTCGACCCGAGTGTACCTCAAACCCTGAGTGTCCCAATGATAGGGCCTGCGTGGCCAGAAGATGCTCCGATCCCTGTGTGGGTGCTTGTGGTCAGAATGCCATTTGTCGGGCGCATCAGCACAGAGCTCATTGCTCGTGTCATCCTGGCTACACAGGTGATGCCTTCATGCGCTGCCTGCCATTGCCCCCGCCCCAACCTGTTAGGGACTCACCCAGAGATCCGTGTCTGCCCTCTCCTTGTGGACAGTTTGCTCAGTGTCGCGTGGAGTACGGGCAAGCCGTGTGCTCCTGCCTGGCATCCTACTTCGGCACTCCTCCTTACTGTCGTCCCGAGTGCACTCAGAATTCAGATTGTCCTAGTCATAGGGCTTGTGTTAATCAAAGGTGCGTGGATCCCTGCCCCGGGGCTTGTGGTCTGAACGCCCAGTGTGATGTGCTCAACCATGTGCCCAGCTGTTCATGTCTCCGAGGTTTTGTGGGAGATCCCTTCTACCGCTGTTACCCCGCGCCATCGCCACCTCCAACCCCCGTTACTGTCGTGGCGGATGATCCTTGTAACCCCTCGCCCTGTGGTCCCAATGCCCAGTGTTCGAACGGGGTGTGTAGTTGTCTGCCCCTGTACCTTGGTGATCCGTACGTGGGTTGTCGTCCAGAGTGTGTTCTGAGTACGGAGTGTCCGTGGGACAAAGCCTGCATTCGCAATCGTTGCCTGGATCCGTGTCCGGGAACATGTGGATTGGGAGCCACGTGCCAGGTGCATAATCATGTGGCCATGTGCCAGTGTCCGGCTGGCTATCAGGGCAATCCGTTTGTGCTGTGCCAGCAGACCCCTCTCCAGGCTCCCGTGGAGCTTCATCCCTGCCAGCCATCGCCTTGTGGACCCCACGGGCAATGTCGGGAAGTCGGCTCGCAAGCGATTTGTACTTGCCTGCCCGGCTACTATGGAAATCCACCAGCCTGCCGACCAGAGTGTGTCAGCGATCCAGAATGTCCGCCAAGTCTGGCGTGTGTAAATCAGAAATGCCGCGATCCCTGTCCCGGTGCTTGTGGCTATCTGGCGCAGTGCCATGTGATTAACCACAGTCCGCAGTGTGTCTGCCCTGCTGGTTACACTGGAAGTCCCTACACCCAATGTCAGTTGATACGGGAAGATTACAGACCAGTCCAGCGCGAGCCAATTGATCCTTGCTCACCGTCTCCATGCGGTCCTCACGCGCAATGCAGCAATGAAGGAGGTAATGCGGTCTGCCGCTGCCTTTCGGAATACTTGGGAGTACCGCCCTACTGTCGACCCGAGTGCATTGCCAACAGCGAGTGTCCAAGCGATAGGGCTTGCATTAATCGAAAATGCCAGGATCCATGTCCAGGCTTGTGTGGTTACAACGCCATCTGTCGAACGTACAACCATCAGCCGAACTGTGTTTGTGCGCCTGGATTGGTCGGCAATCCCTTCAACTCCTGCCTGCCGCCCACTCGCCCTGAGATTTTGCCTGCACCTCCCACAACTGCCATTCAGGTGCTGCAGTACGAAGAGCCGTTGATCAACGGCTGTGAACCCAACCCCTGTGGAGCTAACGCCCAGTGCAATCAGCGGCGAGGAGTTGTCTCCTGCGTCTGTCTACCCGACTATTTCGGCAACCCCTACGAAGCCTGTCGACCAGAGTGCATTTTGAACTCCGATTGTCCTTCGAGCAGGGCTTGTGTGCAGCAGAAATGCCGCGATCCGTGTCCTGGCACCTGTGGCCTGAATGCCGAGTGCCATGTCCTGGATCATCTGCCACAGTGCAGGTGTTTCAGTGGTTACACTGGAAACCCCTTGGCCTACTGCGCTCCTGTGCCGATAGTCCAACAATGTAAGCACCCATTCTTAGAAACATCTTTCCAGAACTTAGATAATCAACTGTGTCCCTTTACGATATTCCCTTTAGCACCCTTGACTCCCTGTGAGCCTTCGCCCTGTGGACCCAATGCCCAGTGTCACCCGTCAAATAATGAAGCAGTTTGCTCCTGCCTTCCCGAGTTCTACGGAACCCCTCCTAATTGTCGACCCGAGTGTACCCTGAACTCAGAGTGTTCTTATGATATGGCGTGTGTCCACCACAATTGCGTCGATCCGTGTCCGGGAGTTTGCGGCATTAATGCCGAGTGTCGCGTGCACTACCACAGTCCAATATGTTACTGCATCTCTTCGCATACGGGTGATCCTTTCACACGTTGCTATGAGACCCCCAAACGTAAGCATCGATTTAGTACTTCGTATGATAAATTGGTTAACAAAAACCTTTTCCCCGTTCTTATTACAACAGCTGAGCGACCCCAAATATACGACACACCTTCTCCTCCCTATCCGGTTGCTATACCAAACCTGGTTTACATTCAACAACAACAACCGGGAATAGTAAATATTCCTTCTGCTCCTCAACCTGGATATCCTCCATCTCAGCCATCAGTTTACAATGTAAACTATCCGACACCACAACCGACGAGTCCCCAGCAGCCTGGAGTCGTGAATATACCATCCGTGTCACAGCCAGTCTACCCATCGCCACAGCCTCCAAATTACGACGTCAACTACCCAACAACGCCTTATCCGATTCCTCAACAACCCGGTGTTGTGAATATTCCCTCGGTACCCCAACCGGTGCCTCCCATATCTCAGAGACCTGTGTTTATATCGACATCCACGAACCCATCGCCTGCACCTCAGCCTGGAATTATAAACATTCCTTCGGTGCCGCAGCCTGGATATCCTACTCCACAGGCCCCTGTCTATAATGTTAACTATCCAACTACTCCTGCTCCGATTCCCCAACAACCCGGGGTGGTGAATATTCCATCTGTGCCACAACCAGCATATCCTTCACCAAATCCACCAGTCTACGACGTTAACTATCCAACGCCGTCACCACCTTTACAACCTGGAGTAATCAATATTCCTTCTGTACCGCAACCGACACCTCCGCCACAACAACCTCCGGTTTATATACCCTCACCTGAGATCCCGACTCCAGCTCCCAAGCCAGGGGTGATAAACATTCCTTCAGTGCCACAACCTGTACACCCAACACCACAGCCTCCTGCTTATGATGTAAACTATCCGACGACTCCTTCTTCAATTCCTCATCAGCCTGGCGTGATAAATATTCCTTCAGCACCTCAGCCAGTGCATCCTTCGGCCAATCCACCAGTTTACGAAGTGAACTATCCGTCGACACCTTCGGTTCCCCAACAACCAGGAGTTCATAATATACCATCGTACCCACCTACTCCTCAACCTCCAGTATTTATACCATCTCATGAAACTCCCACGCCTGCTCCAAAACCAGGAGTAATCAATATTCCGTCGGTGCCGCAACCTGTTCACCCTACGCCGCAGGCACCAATTTATGATGTGAATTACCCAACAAAACCGCCTGTGCAAACACCACACCCTGGAGTTGTTAATATTCCATCGGTGCCACAGCCAGTGCCTCCGGTTTCGCAACGTCCCGTCTTTATACCTTCACCTGTGAACACCACACCCGCTCCCCAACCAGGAGTTATAAACATACCTTCAGTGCCACAGCCAGCTCACCCAACCTATCAACCTCCTGTTGTGCAACGACCGGCTATATACGATGTGTATTATCCACCACCTCCCTCGAGACCGGGTGTGATCAATATTCCCTCGTCTTCGCGGCCCGTTTACCCAGTGCCACAACAACCAATCTACGTACCAGCACCCGTTTTGAATATTCCTGCACCAAGACCAGTTATACACAATATTCCTTCAGTACCACAACCGACGTACCCGCATCAGAATCCACCTATCCAGGATGTTACTTATCCGGCTCCTCATCCGACTCCTGCAGCACCAGGAGTAGTCAATATTCCTTCGGTGCCCCAACCCGTGCCATCACCTTCACCTGGAGTGATAAATATTCCATCGCAGCCATCACCTCCGATCTCAGTACCAACTCCCGGAGTTGTGAACATACCCTCGGTTCCCCAACCGACGTATCCACCACAAAATCCACCAATTTATGATGTCAACTATCCGACACTCCAACCAACTCCCCCCTCACCAGGAATAATAAATATTCCTTCGGTGCCTCAACCTCAGCCATCGCCAACTCCTGGAGTTATCAACGTACCCTCGCAACCTTCACCACCAATTTCAGTACCAACTCCTGGAATTGTAAACATTCCCTCGGTTCCACAACCGACGTATCCACCACAAAATCCTCCAATTTACGATGTCAACTATCCGACACCACAACCAACTCCCCCAGCACCAGGAATAATAAATATTCCTTCGGTGCCTCAACCTGTGCCATCACCCACTCCTGGAGTAATAAATATCCCCTCGCAACCATCGCCGCCTATTTCGGTACCAACCCCTGGAGTTGTGAACATACCCTCGGTTCCACAACCGACTTATCCACCACAAAATCCACCAATTTATGATGTCAACTATCCGACACCACAGCCAACTCCTCCAGCACCAGGAATTATAAATATTCCTTCGGTGCCTCAACCTCAGCCATCGCCAACTCCTGGAGTTATCAATGTACCCTCGCAACCTTCACCACCAATTTCAGTACCAACCCCTGGAATTGTAAACATTCCCTCGGTTCCACAACCGACGTATCAACCTTCAAATCCTCCTATTTACGACGTCAGCTATCCTACACAACAGCCAACTCCTCCGGCACCTGGAATTATCAATATTCCCTCTGTGCCTCAGCCAGTGCCATCACCAACGCCTGGTGTCGTCAACATTCCCGCAGAACCATCACCCCCAACTATAGTTCAAAAACCAGGAATCATAAACATTCCTTCGGTACCACAACCTGAATATCCGACTCAAAAGCCTTCTTACCAGGACGTGAGTTACCCAACTCCACAGCCTAATCCACCGATACCAGGAATTATTAATATTCCCTCGCTGCCTCAGCCTGTGCCTTCGGCAACTCCCGGAGTTATCAACGTACCCTCACAACCATCTCAGCCGATACCGACACCAAGACCTGGAATTGTAAACATTCCCTCCGTACCACAACCGATACCTTCAACACCTCAACGTCCGGTACAAGAGGTTCAATACGATACTCAGAGACCACAGCCAATTCCTGGTGTGGTCAACGTTCCATCTGTACCGCAATCAACTCCCGCTAGACCCAATTACGATGTGGCCAGGCCCGGTTTCGAGTTCAACCCGTGCTATCCATCGCCCTGCGGTCCCTACTCCCATTGTCACAATCGATTTGGAGCGGCTGCATGTGTTTGCCTGCCAAACTACAGAGGAACTCCACCCAATTGCCGTCCGGAATGTGTGGTTAACTCGGATTGCCCATCAGCCTTGGCGTGCATCAACGAAAGGTGTCGCGATCCTTGTCCAGGATCCTGCGCATACAATGCACTTTGCCGAGTGCATGAGCATGTGCCTAGTTGCTTCTGCCAGCCAGGTTACACCGGAAATCCGTTCGACTTCTGTCAACCCACACCGATACCACCGGTACAACGTGAACCCATTGAGGCAAAGGATCCTTGTTATCCATCAATTTGTGGACCCAATGCCGTGTGCAATAATGGAAAGTGCAACTGCATTCCGGAGTATCATGGAGATCCCTATGTTGGGTGCCGACCGGAATGTGTTCTCAACACGGATTGTGCCAGGGATAAGGCTTGTATTCGACAGAAGTGTCAAGATCCCTGTCCAGGAACTTGTGGACTTAATGCCGTGTGCCATGTTTACAATCATATTGCTACATGTACATGTCCGGAGAAAATGCAAGGGGATGCATTCGTGAGATGTGACCCGATACCAAAGCCACCACCTCCTGCTACAGCACCTCCTACAACATCACCTGCCCTCGTACCACAACGCACTCCGATCAATCCCTGTCAGCCTTCACCTTGTGGACCCAATGCCCAATGTCGAGCCTACCATGAGCAGGCGATTTGCTACTGCTTGCCCGACTTTATTGGAACCCCACCTGCCTGTCGACCGGAGTGCACTTCGAACTCAGATTGTCCACTCGACAAGTACTGTTTGAATCTCAGGTGTCGCGATCCCTGTCCCGGAGCTTGTGGCATTCGTGCCATTTGTCATGTGCAGAACCACGGTCCCTTGTGCGTGTGTCCACCTCACTTGACGGGTAATCCGCTCCTGGCTTGTCAACCCATAGGTATACTTAGAAAAACCCCAAACCCAAGAGAACACGATGCTAATACAACAACTTTAGTTATTCCCCCCGTAGAACGCGACGAAGTGAATCCCTGCCAGCCCTCGCCCTGCGGCCCGAACTCCCAGTGCGAAGCCACGTCCGGCGGAGCCAGGTGCTCCTGCCTGCCCACTTACCACGGCACTCCGCCTTTCTGTCGGCCGGAGTGCGTGAACAGCGCCGACTGTCCGGCGGACAAGGCTTGTCGCAACTACAAGTGCATTGATCCCTGCCCCGGCAGCTGTGGTCAGTCGGCCCTTTGTCGTGTCGTGGCCCACAGTCCAGTGTGCTACTGTCCCGAGGGCTATGTGGGCAATGCCTACAGCCTTTGCCGACGACCAGAGCCGCGACCACCTGTCGTGGTTGTCCTGCCCTGCAGCCCCAACCCGTGTGGGGTGAACGCCATTTGTGTGCCCCACACCGACTTGAGCGTTTGCCAGTGCCTGCCGGGTTACTATGGCAATCCCTCTGAGATCTGCCGACCCGAGTGCACTGTCAACTCCGACTGTCCGAGCCACAGGGCTTGCATGAGCGAGAAGTGTCGCGATCCCTGTCCCGGAGTCTGTGGCATCAATGCCATCTGCCAGGTCGTTAACCACAACCCGGTCTGCGAGTGCCACCCGGGTCACGTGGGCAATCCCTACCACAGTTGTCGCATTCCGCTGCGTGAACGTAAGACCAGACCTCCTAGTTTATGCCTCAATTTCTGCTATCTAAAACCGACCCCAATGCGTTCTCTTGCCCTAAACAACAACGCCGTACTTAATGTCTTTACTCCGCTGCCTTACTTCGTCGACCCTTTAAGCCTACTGATAATTCTCTGTGATATTTTGCTGCCTCAATTGCTATTAAAGACTGATCTTAACCCGACTATACCCCTTAATGCCAAAAACAACAACGCTGTACTCAATTCTCCGTCTCAGTTGCCTTGTGTCTTCCTAAGTGCCTTTTATTTATCTGCCCATATCATCAAGGTTTTAATTCCATACTTGACCAAACATTCATTTTCTCCTCTTTTTTTCTGTTGAGAGGTTTTCTCTGATAATATGCTGTGATAAATTGCTATGATGATCTCAACTTCAACAATACCATATTTTACAAATCCATCAAACCTTTCATCAAAAAACTCTGTGATATTGCTCTGGTTTTCTTAAACCGATTTTATGCAACGCTCTACTCTTTACATTAAGACTGATTTTCTTTCAGCTGCCTCATTTGTATTATATGAAACCCATCGACTCTGCTCAGTGACAATATGCTAGCACTAGATTTACTTAACCTTGCTTTTGGTTTGCTTTTAATGATTGCTTCGCTTTTGGCCCGCTATTGTGCAAATGTTAAAAATTCCACCATTCAATTTATTTAGCCACACCTCCGGAATACGTGAACCCTTGTCAACCGTCGCCGTGCGGAGCCAATTCTCAGTGTCGCGAGTCCCAGGGACAGGCCATCTGCTCCTGTCTGCCAGAATTTGTGGGCACTCCGCCATCGTGTCGTCCGGAATGTGTGATCAGTGCCGAGTGTCCTTCGGACAAGGCGTGCATCAACCAAAAGTGCCAGGATCCGTGTCCCGGAGCCTGTGGCTTGAACGCCCAGTGCCATGTGCGCAACCACAGTCCGCTGTGTTCGTGCCAGCCAGGATTCACCGGCGATGCCCTGACCCGCTGTCTGCCAGTACCGCCACCGAAACCACCGCAAAAGGAGGAGATCCGCGATCCTTGCGTGCCTTCGCCTTGTGGACCGTACTCGCAATGTCGGGTGGTCAATGGCGGAGCCAGTTGCAGCTGCCTTCCGAATTACATGGGATCGGCGCCGTACTGCAGACCGGAGTGCACCATCAATGCGGAGTGTCCCAGCAATCTGGCCTGCATCAACGAGAAGTGCCGTGATCCATGTCCCGGAGCCTGCGGCTTTGCCGCCCAGTGTAGTGTCATCAATCATACGCCCAGTTGTTCGTGTCCCACCGGTTACACGGGAGATCCGTTCACCAGCTGTCGCTTGTTGCCACCACCGCCACCTCCAAAGAGTATGCCCGACCTTTTGCCCGAACCCCAAGAAGATTCCCCTAAGTTAGGCCCCATTTATTTTGCAGCTCCCTCAGATCCCTGCCAGCCTTCACCCTGCGGAGCCAATGCCCTCTGCAACAATGGTCAGTGCTCTTGCCTGCCGGAATATCAAGGCGATCCCTACATTGGTTGCCGACCCGAGTGCGTTTTGAACTCGGAGTGTCCCAGGAACAGGGCCTGTGTGAACCAGAAGTGCGTCGATCCTTGTCCAGGACATTGTGGAGCCAATGCGCTCTGCGATGCCGTCAACCACATTGCCATGTGCCACTGCCCCGAGCGGATGACGGGCAATGCGTTCGTCTCCTGCCAGCCGATACGCGACGAACCACCGCCACCGACGCCCAATCCCTGCCAGCCCTCGCCGTGCGGAGCCAATGCCCAGTGTCTGGAGAGGAATGGCAATGCCATCTGCTCCTGCCTCACTGGCTACTTTGGCCAGCCGCCCAACTGCCGCCTGGAGTGCTACTCCAGCTCCGACTGCGCCCAAGTGCACACATGCATCAACAACAAGTGCGTGGACCCGTGTCCAGGAAAATGTGGCCAGAATGCCGTTTGCCAGGCCATCCAACACAGAGCTCACTGCGAGTGCATCCCGAGATACACCGGAAATGCCTATGTTCTGTGCAATCCCATTCCCGTGCCCCGGGTACCCGAAATAGCTCGCGATCCTTGTCAACCGTCGCCTTGTGGTCCCAACTCCCAGTGCAGAAATGTGAACGAGCAGGCGGAGTGCCGCTGTCTGCCGGAATTCCAGGGAACCCCGCCGAATTGCCGACCCGAGTGCGTCAGCCACGATGAGTGCGCCAACCACCTGGCTTGCATGAACCAGAAGTGCGGCGATCCCTGTCCCGGAAGCTGCGGCCAGGGTGCCCAGTGCTCGGTCAGCCTGCACACTCCCATCTGCCAGTGCCCCGTGGGCATGACTGGCGATCCCTTCCGACTCTGCCGACCTATTCCCCTTGGTAAGATCCTCCAAAGAAGACTTATGACTCTTAAAAATCGTACCTATCTCGCGAAGTGCCAATCACTTGAATTCCCAATTCTTAAAACTTTTTACCCAGTTTATTTTTAACTCCCTTTTTACCCTGTGGTAATTTCAAACCATTTAATAGGATTTTTACCTCCATGTTCTTTTATCAAGATTATATTTAAACTCCCCACCCAACAAGTTTGCATATTGTAATTAGGCAGGGACACCCTATTTATACACCCTGTATATACAATATCCTAACACATGACCACTCCGATTTCAGAAGAACCGAAGGTCCCGCCGACTCCTAAGAACCCGTGCTACCCCTCACCATGTGGAACCAACGCACTTTGCCGCGTCCAAGGAGACAACTTCGTTTGCGAGTGCAGTCCGTCGGACTACATTGGCAATCCCTACGAGGGCTGTCGCCCCGAGTGCGTGGGCAACTCCGAGTGTCCGGCCAACCAGGCCTGCATCCGCAGCAAGTGCCAGGATCCCTGTCCAGGAGTGTGTGGCCTGGAGGCCATTTGCAGCATGAACAACCACATTCCGATCTGCTCCTGCCCGCCAGGATACACTGGCAACGCGTTTGCCCAGTGCACCCGTCAACTGACCCCGCCTCCTCCATCGGATCCCTGCTACCCGTCGCCATGTGGACCCAACTCGATCTGCCGGAAACAGAACGACAAGGCTGTGTGCGAGTGCTTGCCAGGATTCTTCGGTAATCCCCTGGTGCAGGGCTGTCGCCCGGAGTGCACCCTCAGCTCGGACTGTCCCAAGGATCGGGCCTGCATCAACTCCAAGTGCGTGGACGCCTGCGTGGGAGAGTGTGGATTCGGAGCCGTTTGCCAGACGATCAACCACAGTCCGGTGTGCAGTTGCCCCGGAAAGATGGTCGGAAATCCCTTCGTTCAGTGCGAGGAGCCGCGCCAGGCCGAACCAGTTGATCCCTGCCAGCCATCGCCGTGTCGCAGCAACGGAATCTGCCGCGTGTACAACGGAGCTGCCACCTGCAGCTATCCGGAGTGCGTGATCAACGAGGATTGCTCGAGGGATAGGGCCTGCGTTAGTCAGAAGTGCCGCGATCCTTGCCTGAATGCCTGCGGCATCAATGCCATTTGTCGGGCCATCAACCACAAGGCCGTCTGCAGTTGTCCACCGGAATTCTACGGCTCTCCCTATGCCCAGTGTTTGAGGCAGATACCGGAGCAGCCGCCAAAGCCGGAGTGCATCAGCGACGGAGATTGTACCAACGACAAGGCGTGCATCAACCAGGTTTGCCGCAATCCCTGCGAGCAATCGAACCTGTGCGCCCCACAGGCGCGTTGCCACGTCCAACTGCATCGACCACTCTGTGTCTGCAATGAAGGATACACCGGAAATGCACTGCAGAACTGCTACCTTCTGGGTTGCCGATCGGATGGAGAGTGCGCCGCCAACGAGGCCTGCATCAACCAGCAATGTGTGGACCCCTGTGGATTCACTCAGTGCGGAACCGGAGCCATTTGCCGGGCGGACTTCAACCATCGAGCCAGGTGCCATTGTCTGGAGGGATACCGCGGCAATCCTCTGGTGCGTTGCGAGCGTCCAGAGTGTCGCTCGGATGAGGAGTGCGCCTTCCACCTGGCCTGCCGCAATGAACGCTGCGAGGATCCTTGCAACTGTGGCATTGGAGCCCAGTGCCGCGTGGAGAACCATCGCGCTCAGTGCCGTTGCCCAGCCGGATTCAGTGGTAATCCGGCAGTGCGATGCGAATTGGTGCCAACTCAGCCGGAGGGATGCACCATGGACGCCGAGTGCCCCAGCAAACTGGCCTGCTTCGGAGGAGAGTGCAAGAACCCGTGCGATGTGACGCATCCTTGTGGCGCCAACGCCATCTGCGAGGTGGTGGACACCCTTCCTCTGCGCACCATGATGTGCAGCTGTCTGCCTGGCTACGTGGGTGAGGCAGACATTGGATGTCACAAAGGTAAGTTATCGCTGGAGTCTTTCGATGACCATTGGAATAACCCAATCCAAAAGAGCCTGTGGCTCAGCTTATTTAAATACGCTTTATTTTTGAGTTTGCTTCTTTCATTGCAGCAGCAGTTTTTATATAAAGTGCTTATACAAATATATTTTTTAATGATTGAATCATTTATAGTGATGCACCTCCTGAGCAGTTGCACTATATATATTTTTATTGCACTCTGTAACTCTTAACTGTTGCACTCAAACACTTAGCAAAAATACTAAACCCATCTTAATATGCAATACTAATCTATGATTTTATTGACATAGAACCCCCGCGAGATCAAGGCTGCACCTCGCATGATCAGTGCCAGGATACGGAAGCCTGCAGAGGTGGAAACTGTGTCAATCCTTGTCTGGATTCGTCGCCTTGTGCGCGAACAGCCCAGTGTTTGGCCCAGCAACATCGCGCCATTTGCAGCTGTCCGGAAAGAACGCAGGGAGATCCATTCACCAACTGCTACGAGCCACGTAAGTATAAATAGTTTTAATGATTATCAAGAAACAATATCCTCTAACAATATATTATTTTACCAGCTGAAATCAAGACTGGCTGCACTCACGATTCGGAATGCGAGCCGACAACGGCCTGCATCAACAAACGCTGCCAGGATCCTTGTGCCGAGGCGAATCCTTGCGCCGGAAATGCCGAGTGCCGCGTGCAGAACTCCCGTCCGATTTGCTTCTGTCCAGCTGGTTGGGGTGGCGATCCACAGGTTCAATGCTACAAACGTAAGTACCCATTATTCTTCTGAAATTTTACGAGTGTTAAAATAAGCTTTTATCCTCCAGCTGAGTGCAAGATCAATGCCGACTGTCCTTACGACAAGACCTGCTTGAACGAGAACTGCGTGGATCCCTGCACCCATGGCCAAGTGCGCTGCGGCAGTGGAGCCCAGTGCCTGGCGCAGAACCACCAGGCTGTGTGCATCTGCCCGTCGGGAACGCAGGGCAACCCCTTCATCTCCTGCATCACGGGTCACTGCCAGTACAACGAGGACTGTGCGGATCACGAGGCCTGCGATCGACTGAATCGCGTCTGCCGACCGGTTTGTGATCTGGAGACCTGTGCCCTGAACGCCATCTGTGTGGGTCGTCGCCACCAGCCGCAGTGCGAGTGCCGACCGGGATACCAGGGCAATCCGCATGTGCAGTGCGATATTCCAGTGAAGACACCAAAGCCACAATGTACCCAGGATGGCGACTGTCCCTCGAAACTGGCCTGCATCAACGAGCGTTGCGCAGATCCTTGTGCCACGCCCCATGTGTGCACTCCGCAACAGACCTGCACCGTATTGGACACCCTACCCAAGCGGGCCATGGCCTGCAAGTGTCCTGGAGACACCGTGACGGATATCTCGCGCAACTGCGTGCCCATCAATGTGCCCAAGGTCGTGACTGGCTGCCAGCACAACTCGGAGTGCGCCAATCCCGAAATCTGCTCGAATGGAAACTGCCTGGATGCATGCCGACTGGAGAGGTGTGGCGTGAATGCCCAGTGCACCGCCAGGGATCACTATGCCCAGTGCAGCTGCCCGAAGGGCTACCAGGGCAATCCGCGCATCGAGTGCTACACCACCGAGGTGGACAGACCGAGGATACCCACGCCGGGATGTTCGCGCAACAACGACTGCCCCAGGGACCAGATCTGCCGCAACGAGCTGTGCGAGAGTCCTTGCGCCTCGGATGCCTGCGGAATCGGCGCCTACTGCCACGTGCAGCAGCGCAAGGCCATCTGCCGCTGTCCACCTGGATACTCCGGCAATCCACAAGATCGCTGTGTGCCACGTAAGTGTATAAATAGGTTCAAAATGTAAAGCCTAAGCTCATTCATGATTTAAATTAAGAACATACTCCCTTGTGGTATATCAATACTTATCTGAATTTTACCTCCCCAGCATCCGATGTCATCCTGGTGGGCTGCAAGTCCAGCACCGACTGTCCCGCGACCGAGGCCTGCATCAACACCCAGTGCGTGAGTCCCTGCAACTGCGGACCGAATGCCGAGTGCACGGTAAGGAACCATCATCCGATTTGCTACTGCAAGCCTGGCTTCTCCGGAAACGCGCAGTTTGGCTGCTCGCCCATTGGCTGCCAGTCGGACGACGAGTGCAGCGGCGACAAGCAGTGCCTCAACCGCGAATGCATCAATCCCTGCCTGGCCAGCGATCCTTGTGCCCTGAACGCCGAGTGCTTCGGTCGCAATCATCGCGCCAACTGCCGCTGTCCCGTGGGACTGGAGGGAGATCCGTTTGTGCGCTGCCTGCGCCTGGAATGCCACTCGGACTACGATTGTGCCTCCAACCTCGCCTGCGTGTCCAACGAATGCGTGAGTCCCTGCGGTCAGAGGAACCCCTGTGCCCAGAACGCCCTCTGCCAGGCTCTGCAGCATCGCGCTGTCTGCCGCTGTCCGGATCAACGACCTCTGGGCAATCCGTACGCCTACTGCGAACCCAGACTCCAGGAGCCAGTGTGCCGCGACGATGGAGATTGCCCCAGCAAGCTGGCCTGCATCGACGACAAGTGCCAGAACCCGTGCACCTCGCTCTCGCCCTGCCACCCAACTGCCCAGTGCAGTGTGCTGGACAGCGTTCCGGTCCGAACGATGGTCTGTGAGTGCGCCGAGTACGAGGTGCCCGATGCCAGTGGAGCGTGCCGCAAGGTGGTGCCACCTAGGCAGCCTGGCTGCGAGAGCGACCAGGACTGTCCAGACCAGGAGGCCTGCATCCACGCCCAGTGCCGCAACCCGTGCAACTGCGGCACCAACGCCGTCTGCCAGGTGACCCAGCACCGCGCCGTGTGCAGCTGCCAGGACGGATTCGAGGGCAACCCGTACGCCTCCTGTCGCTCCATCGGCTGTCGCGTGGACGGCGAATGCGACTCGGGCAAGGCCTGCATCAACGGCGACTGCATCAACCCCTGTCTAATCAACGATCCCTGCGGACCCATCGCCGAGTGCTACGTGCAGTCGAACCGCGCCCAGTGCCGCTGCCTGAGTGGCTACCGGGGTAATCCCTACGAGCGCTGCCGCGTCATCGGCTGCAGCAGCAACAACGACTGTCCCACGGACAAGACCTGCCAGAACGAGCAGTGCGTGAATCCCTGCGTCTACCACAACCCGTGTGCCCCGCGTGCCGAGTGTCGGGCCCAGAACCACCTGGCCGTGTGCCGCTGTCCCGCCGACTTCCTGGGCAATCCCTACGTAGACTGCCGACCGGCTCCGCAGCCCATCTGCCAGCTGGACACCGACTGTCCCGGCCGACTGGCTTGCATCAACGAGCAGTGCGTGGATCCCTGCGTGGTGCTGGAGCCCTGCCAAAGACCTGCTCTCTGTGAAGTCACCCCCACGGCGCCGGTGCGCACGATGCTCTGCATCTGCCCGGATGGCTATGTGAGCCGCGGATCGGGAGGCTGCAAGCCGACGCCAGGAATCAAGGAGGTGGGCGGCTGCATCTCGGACTCGGACTGTCCGGCGGACAAGGCCTGTCTGAACAGCGTCTGCCGGGATCCGTGCAACTGCGGCCTGAACGCCGAGTGCCGCATCAAGGACCACAAGCCGGTGTGCACGTGTCGCCAAGGATTCGAGGGCAACCCCGAGTTCGAGTGCGCCAAGATCGAGTGCAGCATCAACTCGGACTGTCCGGGATCGCACGTGTGCCGCAACCAGCTCTGCATCCCCGCCTGCCAGGGCGAGCAGTGTGGCAGCAATGCCCAGTGCCTGGCCATCGAGCATCGGGCGGTGTGCGAGTGCATTCCCGGACATGGCGGCAACGCCAGGATCGCCTGCACTCCGCTGGGCTGTCGCTCCGACGACGAGTGCCCCACGGACAAGGCCTGCGTCAATGGTAAGTGCAACGATCCCTGCACCACGACCGCCATTTGCGGACACGACGAGCTCTGCAAGGTGTACCAGCACCGGCCGCAGTGTGCCTGCCCAGCGGGAACTGTGCCCGGCAAGAACGGCTGCGAGTCGGAGCGCCATGTGCCCATATGCATCAGCGACGCGGACTGTCCCAGCCAGAAGGCCTGTCTGCGCGGCGAGTGCGTGAATCCCTGCAATGCCACCCAGCCGTGCGGAGTGAACGCCTTCTGCAGCGTTCGGGATACATTACCTGTTAGGACGATGATCTGCGAGTGCCTGGAGGGATACACCGGCAACCCGGCCGTGCAGTGCGACAAGCGATCGCTGTGCGTCATCGAGAAGGGCTTCGTTAGGGATGTGGATGGACAGTGTGTGTGTCCGCCTGGAACCGCTCTGGACATCTACGAGTACTGCACCCCGTGCCGCGAGGAGCAGGGCTTCCGCATCGACGAGAGCGGCCACTGTGTGTGCGCTCTGGAGCGCGGAATGGTGATCGACGAGCGCGGTCGCTGCACCTGTCCCATCGAGCTGGGCTACCGGCTGACGCCCCGCGGGGAATGCCAGCCGGAGGAGCCGCCAGAGTGCACCAGCAACGAGCAGTGCGCCGACAACCGGTTCTGCAACCTGGACACCAAGACCTGCGAGGATCCCTGCCTGACCAAGGTGTGTGGCGTGAACGCCTTCTGCAATGCGGTGAACCACCGGGCCCAGTGCCAGTGCATCACTGGCTACCAGGGCAATCCGGAGCTGCATTGCAACCACACCAACTTCCGCACCGACTTCCCGCGACCCGACATGGTGGTCAGTTGTCTGGCCGACGGCGTCCAGGTGGAGATCCACATCACTGAGCCCGGATTCAACGGAGTGCTGTACGTGAAGGGCCACAGCAAGGACGAGGAGTGCCGCCGGGTGGTCAACCTGGCTGGTGAGACCGTGCCCCGCACCGAGATCTTCCGCGTCCACTTCGGCAGCTGCGGCATGCAGGCGGTGAAGGACGTGGCCAGCTTCGTGCTGGTCATCCAGAAGCATCCCAAGCTGGTCACCTACAAGGCCCAGGCGTACAACATCAAGTGTGTCTACCAGACGGGCGAGAAGAATGTGACGCTAGGATTCAACGTGTCCATGCTGACTACGGCCGGAACAATCGCCAACACAGGACCGCCGCCCATCTGCCAGATGCGAATCATCACCAACGAGGGCGAGGAGATCAACTCGGCCGAGATCGGAGACAACCTGAAGCTGCAAGTGGATGTGGAGCCAGCCAGTAAGTCTACAATATATTTACGGATTTGTTAAACAGTATACTAATTTGATATTTATTTAATTTCCAGCCATTTATGGAGGCTTTGCCCGCTCCTGTATTGCCAAGACGATGGAGGACAATGTGCAGAACGAATATCTGGTCACGGATGAGAACGGCTGCGCCACGGACACCAGTATCTTCGGAAACTGGGAGTACAATCCGGACACGAACAGCCTGCTGGCCAGCTTCAATGCCTTCAAGTTCCCGTCGAGCGACAACATCCGCTTCCAGTGCAACATACGCGTCTGCTTCGGACGCTGCCAGCCGGTCAACTGTGGTGGCTACAACGCCTTCGGACGACGTCGCCGCTCCATTGCGGACAACTCCACGGACTCGACCGCCATTGCCACCAATTCGGGTGTGGAGGGTCAGCTGCGCGAGGAGATCACCATCTCGTCGAATGCCATTTTGACGTTCGAGAAGCGCAGCGGTCAGGGTCTGAATGATGCCAACAGTAAGTACTCCTTGCAGCAGATTTATTAACTAAACACATACTAACTTTATTTTCTGAATCTCTTTTAAACCCAGTCAAACCGGCGGCCCAGAGAGTCGAGGATATTTGCGTGTCGATGGTGGGCCTGATCATTGCCCTGGTCATCACGGCTCTGCTGGCCCTCGTGGCCGTGGCCGTGGCTGTGTCCTGCTGGCTGATGGCCTACAGGAGGCGGCCCAAGACCATTGCGCCACTGCCCCATCCGCCGGAGTTCCCCAACCCGCTGTTCGCCAATCCCGACGCTGTGCCCGAGCCAACGCCGGATTACATCTCCTAAACGTAACGTAACGTAACGTAACATAACGTAACGACACACTGACACAACAACACACACCTAGCTATATCTTTAGTCTGTAAGCAAATCGAATGAGAAAGAGTAAGAAAATTACACATGTGAATATTTGAAAGGCAAGTGCAAAAAGTAATGCAAAATGCAAAACAGATCAAATCGCGAACGATTCTAAAGATCGAAGGAAAAGAAAAACAAAGGTTCAGTTGTGAGCAGCTGAAACTATCAAACAATGAAAGATTGAACTATTGTAAAAAGCAAAAATGACGAAGCATAAACAATGAATGAAAGCAATTTAGTAGCTTAAGAAGATAATTTTATTAATTGTATTAACGTTTAGTATTCTCCCTCCTACTAATATGAGAATTCCGCGTAGTGTTTGTACGTTTAGCTGCCGCAAGGAGTCCACTAACTGCCAAACAGATGAGAGGGAATTCGCCCATAGAGAGAGTGCAGCTACAAACGAATTCTCGTCCTCTAACGACAACTTCTTCATTAGTCGGGTATCCATACTTAATACTGTTTACTGTTATATATATAACTAAAGACTTCCTATAAATATTTAGGGTGTGGGTAGTAGCAACGACACTTTGTATTATAGCACAGACACACGCAACTGCAACTACTTCCTGTAATTTAGAACGCAACTCGCCCGTTAAAATTGAAAACTGCCTTTGATTTCCAACAAGAACGAACAATGCACCCCGAGAATACTCTCTAGCAGTATGTAAAAGATAGTTGGGATCTGTCTGAAGGACTTTTCGCGTGTCTCGCCTATAACCACAGGACAATATGAAAACGATTGTCCCAGTTGGATTGTACACAAGCTCAAGAGTAAACACACACACACACACACCGAAGAAATCAGACCACTCTGCAAAGCTTTTGGCACGTGGAAATAGTTCCAACAAGATCCAGGCACCAACTCAATCGGAATAAGAAGAGGGAAAAGAACTATAACTGCCACTGAGGCGTCATCAGCGCACAAAAGATACTTATCTACTGCATAGGAAATATTAGGTTTGTTTTAATTTTAATCGCAACGACGACTAATGGAGGATTTGATTTTGACCACTCTCCCTCGACCACTTACTTGTACTACACACTCCACTATGATTAACCATTATTTTTGTAGTTTTATAGTCAATTAATATTAAATTGTTGTGATTGTTTTTAATGCAAAAGAGATACTTCCACTAATTTACTAATACGTAGAGACAAAAGTATAGAGCGTACTTAAAAAGGCAACGAACCAGCGCCCCTGCCCCGCCCCTTCTCCATTTTCCGCCAGAGTCAAGCATGCGTTTGTCAACGCGCCGGAAACTATGCAGCGAATTTCCGTTTCCGGCGCCCGTTTCACAGAGCATTTCTTTTCCTGGTGCGATCACAGAGTTGGTGGTCAAAACGGGATCGGCGGGCCTGGATAATTAAATTATTAAAAATGAAGTTTTAAATTAATATTATTAAACGTAAACAAAATGTATAGTCACTACTTTAAGAAGAAAGAGAATTTTCTTTATAGTAAAATACCATACAAAATAAACTCGCACTCAGACACGAACACAAAGAGACAGAATTTGTAAATAATACACAGGCAAACTCTATGGTATTTTTAGTAGCGCATTATTGTGTATAGGTTTCTACACGTTGACTCTCAAATCCGAACTAAATCAAAGTCTCTAACCCTAACCGATGCCAGGCATAAAATTATTTTCTTAATTCCATAACCATAGAATACTTCAACAAGTGCACAAATTTTTGCAACTGCCAACCGTTCACAATTACCAAACACTTTTATTTTTCTTTACAAGAACCGCTTAAAATCTGATCCTAACTAGAATAACATTGAATAAAGACAGAACTTTTTGCACTGGCAGCAAATATAAAAAAAATAATAATAACGAATAAGAACCCGTTCTTATTGTAAAAAGAAAACAATAGTTAAATTGTACTTATAAAGAAATGTATTTAAAAGGAAAAAACGAGAAACGAAAATAATTGTAATCGCTTATTGTAAACTAATAAATAAATAAATATAAATAAACAATCCCCTGGCTACTTGGGTATGGCGGGTGCTGCTATATAATTAAATTAAGTATTCCGCCAGCATTTCAATTGGGCTCGACTTGAATCTGGCCATTTAGCTCATCAAGCAGGCATACTTGATATACTTGGCGAAAATTGTAGCTTCTTCTTGGCGGTCATATAATCTGATTCTGAATTAATATTCCGGCATTTCGTGGACCGAGAACGAGACTAACCCGTAGAGCTGCTCGTATCTGTGCGCTATCAACTGAGGCCCCACACATAATACCGGATCGGGAGAGCCGAGTGGTCGGGCCAGATATGGAGAGAGCGCGGACATATAGCTGAACCCATATGGAGTGGAGAGCGAGAGCGGATCGGGTTTGTGGTGAGCCGCAGCAGTCGCAAGTGTAAACGATATTCGCAAACGTGGATTGGATCAGTTGACATTTGACAGCGCGCGTGTTGGCACGTTTTCGGGGCTTTTTTTCCTCCATGGCTCGACGGTCGATCCAATATTCACAGCCACTACGCCGGGGCCATTAAGTCGTCGAAAGTGCGGTGTGTGCCTTGCCAAAGAAATACAGAAAGTTGAACACCCCGAACTGCAATCTCTATATCAAGTATACGCGGCGTTATCTCGATCCAAACGATTGCCGTTGTCGGGTAATTTAATGTGCGTTGATTATGTTATTAGTCGTATTATGATTGAAATTAGGCATTGTTCGGCGTATGAATGAGAAGCACCGCACGAAAATGGAAGCAAATGAATTAAACTGCAGCCAAAAGTGATTCAAATTTTTGCTAAATGAATGAAATTACCATTATTAGCGTCCATTAATGTCGCTCCGATTATCATAATTAAACTCTGTGATTATCTATCGGTTCGGGCGTGAATAATTTTAAATTGTTTGGTCTTTAAGTGCAGCAGGGAAAGTCAATAAGAACAGCATTTTATGGATGTTTGTTTGGGGCAGCAACTGGGCAAACAAGTGGGTTGTATAATGAAGAATTCAGCACTAGATGGGCACAGCTTTCATTAACAACTCGGAGTGCTAATTTCGTTTTATAGTCCAGCCTGCTACAAGGAAAGATTAATGCCCAGAATAGAACATCTGTTTAATGATGCCGCAGCTTTGTCTACAAGGTTTACGACTTACAATAAAGTATAAGTATCTTATACGATGTCCCATTGTTAGACCTCCGGTCTCGCGTCAATTACCAAAACATTTCTCAGGACTTTGCTTTCTCAGGTGTAATTCCAAGCAGTAAAACCAATTAAGTTGACACACCACACCATAAATGATTTATTGGCCGGCATAGGTAATCAATCAGGTTTTTGGAGAAATTGAGTAATGGCCCCACAAGCCAACAGATGATATTTTAAGAAGCTTACTACTGCGGCACAGTTATGTAAATACCGACCGCTATTGGAATGTTTTTATTCGTGCCTCGCGCTCTAGCTGAAATTTACATTTTCCCTACTTGAGTGCGGCTGATTTTCATATTACAATGGAACCCCCTAGCGTGCCAAACACTTGATATGTGATATACGATATACTGCAAGATGCGTAATTATTAATTACGGCATAGCTGAGCCGTTCTCTGCGAACTCGGTGACCCTTCAAACGCGGTCGTGACCGAAAAGTCACTGGAGCAAATCGCCTGAATATGACGTAGTGCCATCGCATTATTGTTTAAGCGGAAACTTTCAAATTCAGTTGGTTGTTGGAGAGGAGCCCACATATGGGTAAAAGTACCTAAACAAAACGAAAGCAGCCGGAGACATGCTGTCAAAAAATGTGGCTAAGGGAGAAGGGGGAGCCAGGGGCAACTTTTTAGGGCCAGACCGCCGATAAGATACAAATTTGTATCTGTGGAGTCGAGTGTGAGTCGCTTTTTACCTGTGTGAGTTTCTAAAGAGCTCGTGCGACGTTTATCTCTTTCGGTGATAAAATCAAATAAAAATGGGACAAACTCAAGCTTGTTTATTTATATAAACAAATATGAAAAATATATAAAGTGCAAATAAAAATTCCCCACTCGAAAAGTAATCTTAGTCAGTTTTATGGGAAAGCAGTGAGTTGGGAAAGTGAACTTCGCAGAAAGTGATAACAATTTGCTGAGGAGGGTATTAAACGACAAAGCACTAAAATAAAACAAAATAAATGTTGAAATAAATAAAAATGGGTCATAACTTCAGATGGTTTGTGTATACAAATAAATAAATACTCGTAAAGCAAGTGAACATAATTCAAAACGTTGTAATTTCGGGTTGCAAAAAATAATCTCAAGAAAGTAATAGCAATTGGTAAAAACTATATAATTCAAACAACAAAACAACAAAATTAGTCTAATTTTAAACAGCTACTTTTAAGAAAGTAATCACCTCTATTAAAGCAAATAAAGATAACTCGTGCTGGCTTTCACATGATTTAGTTTATTTTGATTTAAAAGCCCAACCTCACGCGGCAAACAACAACAAATAACAACGTTGTGCAATTCAAGGTTTAAATGTGATTTAAAATTGTGTCAACCAGTACTCGCAATCACAGATTGCGAACATTAAAAATGATAGATATGAAAGCGGCCCCAGCATCAGTGGACCAGTGCGAAAACCAACAACAGTCCGTGTTAAATACGATGTTATGATAAAGCGAAAAGCAAGCAGCAACCAGAAGCAAGCAACCAGCAACCTGCAACCAGCAACCTGCAACTAGCAACCAGAAACTAGCAACTCAGCGACCGCAGCAACACGAATTTTCCGTAGAGAGGCCTTCCCTCTCAGCCTTCCAAATGGCGGACAACAAAGAACCCAACCAGGTGGCGACCACGAGCACCACCACACCCGACCAGGTGGTGACCAGTCGTGCTCCACCAAGTGGCTTAACGCCCTTGAGGCACAGCCAGCTCTCCGATAGTGGGGCAGAAAGTTGCAACGAAGGCGACGAGCAGGCGCGACTGATACGCTCCTCGTCATCTCGGGCCCACAAGTTCATCATCATTCCGGCGACGCCGGGAACTCCGCCTGGAACTGGTGCAGGACCTGGTCCACTGCCCTTTCGACAGACCAGCTCCACCACCGCACTGGCATCCATGGCAGCGGCACTCCACAAGCAGCCGATGCACCGCCAAATTTCAGTGAAATCAAGGCCAAACTCGGAGGTATTGCAGCCAGGCCAGGTGCAGACCCATCCACCCACAGCGGCAGAGTCCACCTCCACGGTGACCTTCACCATCGACGATTGCGATGGGCCAGCTGCAGCTGCTCCAATTCCCGCTCCTCTGCCCGTTCCCGCCATCTCACCCACTCCCGCCACCTTGACCTGCACCACCACCACCACCATGGCCGGGGACTCGATGGCCGTCTCCCCACTCAGCATGGAGCTGCGATCTCGGATGGGCAGCCACCACAGCAGCATGCGGTCCGTGGTTTCAGGTTGGTGACCCTCAAAAACCACTCTCCAACATCCCCTCACCCGCATATTGAGTTCCCAAGCACTCAAACTCATATATAATTGCTCATACTCAATTGCTTTGCTTGGTAACCTCTCCAAATCGTTTAATTACATGTACTCAAAAATGCATTTGAAAATAGTGTTATACATGTAATTAAATGTGTCGCTCTTAAGTACTTTAGGTACATTACATTGATTAAAAGTGTGATTCAGTGGTTTAGAACCATAAACTGAAAACGGTAATTAAACTAGTTTCATAATATTTGTTTAGAGTACTTTGCAATCACAATTAGTTTCCTTTTTTAAAAGCTATACTTTGTATAAAAAGTAATCTTTGAATGGCCATAAAAAACAGACTTTAAAGTCGAGAGATGTAGAGTAAAAGCTTTTTCGAATTAGTCGCTTGCGGTTGTAAGCAATTGAGCGGACTGTATAGTTCATTCAAATTGTTTAAAATTATTCAAAATGTTTTCTGATTGCAAAATTGTTTAAGTATTGCAAAATCTTCTCCGATAATCCCCTTCAGGCTATCTTCCGGGTTTGAGCGACAGCAGCGGCAATCTGGTCGGCGGCATATCGATGCCCCCTTCCGGATTACAGGCCCCCAATCCGCTCTATATGCAACCGCAGGCCTCGCTGAGCGGCAGTTCCTATCAGTTTCACGATCTGGCGGGCAACCAGATCTACTCCGATGTGACCTCCGTGCGCTCGCTGGCCTCCATTGGAATCGGATCGACGGATGGACGTAAGCTGGTCATCCGCCGGGTTCCCACCACCGCCAATGAGCTCTTCGACATGGTCAACCCGCAGACGCCACCGTAAGTAAAATATATTAAAAATTAAAAACGATAAAATAAAGTTTTTAAAAAATGTTTCTGATAAGAACCAATCCATAAATTCAGACCAATTTTTTTCTGTGCATAGTTAGGGCCATTAGCTTGACAAAGGGGTGGTGATAAGACGATCTAACATTTGGGGCAAATTTGGCCAGCATTTGGCACCTTAGCATAGAAACTCGGTGTTGAACATTTGGCAAACAGGCGATTTTAACACCCTTATGGCATCTTTGGGCGCGGGTCCACATGATTGCCAACGGGCACGAAACGTGCCGATCGCGCATCAGCTATTTTTAAGCAACGTTCCTTAACGAGATCAATAGTTCGATTTGAGCAGTAGTGTTTGTGTTGACCAGGGCAATTACCACTCCCCATTGTGAGCTCCATAAACGGCGGGATTGCAGGCCGAAACCCGGTGAAAAATTGCCGGAATTTTAGTCAGTAGCGCGCTAACCCACAAACTGTTCAGTTCCCAATCCAGCTGCTCCTCCCAGTATCCTCGGCCACGTCCCCAGATATTCCTGGAACCCAGTTATGGCGGATATATAAAGTGACATAAGAAATTAACAAAAGTTTATCCTGCATAAAGCCAGTTAATATCAAGATGCCGCATCGCCAGGACTACGATGCCCAGTCCTCGAAGCACTCGGAGCAGTCCTTTTACCGCTTCAATCGGGTGGCAAAAGTGTAAGAACCTGAGCGAAAAACTTCAGTTGCATAACGCCTCGAATCAGGCTATCCAATCTGAGTACATATATGATCTTGTGATTTATTTACCCAGAGCATTAGCGGTCAAGCGCTGATTAAACATGAACGATTATAAAATGGTTAAGTGGAGTGTTTATACCAGACTTAGCACTACTCACAAAAGAGAGTAAATATATTGTTTTTTTTTTTTGCCTATATATAGTGCTGCTGTAAGTCTTAAAAGTGCTGATAATCCATTTATTTGTGGAAAATATATTTGCTAATAATATACCTATAAAGTTATTATTCACACAACATGTTTATTACATTTTTATAATGCTTTGATCCACAATGATTTAAATTCCATTAACTAATACACAGATTTATCATAGCTTTTATAAAGAACAACGTGTTGAAAAGACTCGATATGACATGCAACATCAAAGCTGCATATATTCAATATTTCCCCGATTTCATCAAAACACTTAAATGGGGGAAGTCGACACGAACGGCTGTTTAATTCGTGACACCTCCACCCTCATCGCAGCCCATTCAGCAGCCACCCGTGAAATGAGAGCCCCGGTTCAGATTTTCCGAGCACAATGCAACGTCAGTTGGCACCTTCAATGGAATGGCCAGCCCCCATTTTGTTGCCCGTTGCACATTACTGATTACCGCAATTAAGCTATTTGACGCATCAACTAATCACGGTACTTATGGCTGTTCAACACTCCTCCCCTTTTTTCAGGCCCTTGGGCATCGATGACGATGATAGCTACCTGGACATGTCCGACGAGACTGCCCACCTGAAGCCTCGCCAGCAGCACTGGGCCAACAAGATGCAGTTCGTCCTGGCCTGCATAGGATACTCGGTGGGTCTGGGAAATGTGTGGCGGTTCCCCTACATGTGCTACAAAAGTGGCGGTGGTAAGAAGAATTAATAGTGGATTTATATATATTTTTAAAAGCCTTTCAATATTAAGAATGAATCCTAGAGGAAAACTATTTTTACTCTTATCTGTTTCCTAAAAAAGATATCCGATTCAATTGAAAATTAAGAATAGGGGTCAGTCGTGGGCAATTTCTCGAAATTCCCACTGAATTAGAGGCCTTCCCAGGGGAAGGCTTAGCGGAAGTTCATCGTGAGAGAGTATCAAGTGACTAAGAGTGCCGCCAAAAGGCCCCACATGCGACAAGGCAGATATAGAGATAGTTACTTTGATTTTGTGCGACGGTACCGGGAATAAGGGTTTTACTTTCTGGTTTTGTTTGTTGTAGTCGCTCTAAAAACATTTGACAATTTTGCGCTTTAAGCGGCATTTCCGCTGAAGCGTTTAAAAGTCATAAATTAAAATTTGTTTGAGCTCAGAGCAGCGACTCAGAATAGAGCGGTCACTGTCATCATTTCGACGGTGTCTTGATCACGCGAGCTCGCCGACCCGCGTCCATCTTCATTTGCACTCGGAGACTCGGAGCTGGGGCCCCACTTACATTTACATTCCTCGCCTTTTCTCAGGGGAATGGGTATCGTAATGAGCCATGGAAAACTGGCACACGACCTCCTGAAAATGACGGGGCGGAGCGATAGACGAGCGCCTTATGCAATTTGCATTTGCTTATGTCAAATATTTATAATTAATTTAAATTATTTGCTTAGCTGCTCCCGTCCATGGCTGCACACATACATAAATGTTTATCTCTGTTTGTCGTTTACAGGTGTTTTTTTAGTACCTTATTGCATAATACTGTTCATATGCAGCATTCCGCTGCTCTTCATGGAACTATCTGTGGGCCAATACACTGGTCGAGGACCCATCGGAGCATTGGGTCAACTGTGTCCCTTGTTCAAAGGTAAGTTGCTCTTCTGATCCTAAAATTGATGTTGCAGATGGCATCCTGATTAAAAAAAATAATTATAAAAATTATTACTTATTCTTAAAAGTTTTATTAGGTCAGTTCATCATTTAATTGTAGCTGGGGTAATCGGCTTTTCTAGTTTTCAGTTAACAGGTCGTATGATCGATAATTAGTGATAAATATTACTTATACGACAAGTACAACAATTAACTTATATGCCAAGTACATATTTATGTTTTTTTTACAATTTTTAAAACTTCTGTTTTGTGATAAATTTCATAGCGTCATTTGTAAAATTGCGTCACGCTTTTCAGAACTTCAGAGGCCGCCAACCAAAACAACGCAAAACTAGGCTTGCCCAAGTACCATGACAAACAGAACACAGTGTCGCTGTTTTGGCCAAGTCCATGGCCAAGGTCGTCTAAGTGTTTAGCCAGCTTTTTGAGCACTATTTCAGTTCTGATTTCCACCGAGTATCCGCATCCGTAGACAACCTTCCCGTGCGATGCTCCACTTGCACACAAGCGGAAGCTAATTAGCTGGGTTCATTGTTGTGGAGGTGGCGTGAAAACGCGAAGGCAAAGCGGGAAAATCCCCCTCCCCCCGTTTCACCACCCCCTGGGTTGAAGGCTACATCTGTCATTACTGCCGTGAATCTAGCAAAAAAAAAAAAAAATAATGCACAATGCATTTAGCTGTTTTTGCCGTTGCCAAACGCTTAATTACTGTCAATATTTTGCAAGCAAACCACGCCCACGCGACCATTGCAAGGCAGAGCCAAGCTAATAAATATTAATAACGTGTAAAACTATTTAACCAAGATTCGCGAGCGACTTCGAACGGATCCAATTGTCGCCGTATGTGGCCGACACATGGCCAATTATGCAGATGAGTGCCAGTCTAGACATGTGATTCCAAACGAAACCGGTCCGACTTTCATCTGGCCTAATTAAGGCTAATTTTTTGTATGCTCAACTCAATGCAACTGCCATGTATCTCCATAATGTCGAGCTGCAGCTAGAGATCCCCGATTTGGATCTCGGCGATGTCTCAGGTCTCCTATTCATTTGTCTTGTTTCATTTTTTCAGGAGCCGGACTCGCCAGCGTGGTCGTCTCCTTCCTCATGTCCACCTACTACAGTGTTATTATAGGCTACTCTATATACTATTTCTTCACCTCGTTCAAAACGGAGATGCCCTGGATTGACTGCAACAACAGGTGGGTTTCATGGTACTCTAAAAAAAATTGCAGTTTCTGCTAATGTCGTATTTTAATAATCAGATGGAACACACCAGACTGCTGGGTGCCGCAGCGCAAGGGGATAAATGCCAGTGCTCCGGATACTTCACGAACTCCCTCCGAGGAATTCTTTGAGTAAGAATTCCTTAATCCTTAATATTCCTTTTAATTAATTTAATTTAAATAACTAATTTTGTTTAAATCCCCCCTCTAGAAATAAGGTGCTCCAGATAAGTGGTGGGCTGGAGTATCCTGGTATGATGCGCTGGGAGCTGTTTGCCTGCCTCATCTGCGCCTGGCTGATGGTCTACTTCGCCACGTGGAAGTCGATCAAGTCATCGGCGAAGGTGCGATACTTCACGGCCACCTTTCCGTTCGTTCTGATCATCATTCTGATGGCGAGGGCGGTTACCTTGGACGGAGCGGCGGAGGGACTGCGCTTCTTCTTCCGACCAAGGTGGTCAGAGCTTAAGAACGCCAATGTGTGGATCAATGCCGCCTCGCAGAACTTCAACTCGCTGGGCATCACCTTCGGATCCATGATCTCCTTTGCCAGCTACAACAAGTACAACAATAACATTCTGCGGGACACGGTGGCAGTGAGTGCGGTGAATATGATAACCAGTCTGCTGGTTGGAATCTTCGCCTTCTCCACACTGGGAAATCTGGCCCTGGAGCAGAACACCAATGTGCGCGACGTCATCGGTGACGGACCGGGCATGATCTTTGTGGTTTACCCACAGGCGATGGCCAAGATGCCATATGCCCAGCTCTGGGCGGTCATGTTCTTCTTCATGCTCCTCTGCCTCGGCCTGAACTCCCAGTTTGCCATCGTGGAGGTGGTGGTGACTTCTATACAGGATGGGTTCCCGCGGTGGATCAAGCGTCATCTGGGATATCATGAAATCGTTGTGCTGTTCGTGTGCGTCATCTCGTGTCTGTTCGGAATGCCCAACATCATCCAGGGTGGGATCTACTACTTCCAGCTGATGGACCACTATGCTGCCTCCGTGACGATAATGTTCCTGGCCTTCTGCCAAATGATCGCCATCGCCTGGTTTTACGGCACGGGAAGACTGTCGAAGAACGTCAAACAGATGACCGGCAAGGCGCCTTCTTTTTATCTCAAGTCCTGCTGGCTTGTCCTGGGACCCTGTCTTCTCTTTGTAAGTAAAACAGTTCGCCAGCTTTTAGAATTTAATATTTTATTAGGAATATAAATCATATGTTATTATAAAGATATGGCGAAAAAAAACTTAAAAATAAATTTCATAACTGCAGGCCATTTGGGTACTGAGTCTGATCAACTACCATGAACCCACCTACCACAATGGACGCTACACCTATCCGGACTGGGCCTATGGAATAGGCTGGATGTTCGCCTCCTTCTCGCTCATCTGCATACCTGGCTATGCAGTAATTAACTTCCTGCGATCCAGTGGAGATACCTTTTGGGAAGTAGGTCGAAGCCAAAATTGCCAATAATGCTTTGAACTCACTTCTTTTTTTTCTCTAGCGCATTCGAAACACGCTTAGGCCAAACATCTACGAGTGTAAGATCTGTGGCGAGCACCACTGCGAACACGACTTTCCGGAGCAGGAGCAGTTCATGTTGGCCCAGGAGCTGGCCACCGTTTACAAGCCCACCAACCACCACCTGCTCCATCTCGGCCAGAAGTCGGGCTACAATGCCATGCATGCTTCGTCCTCTGCGGATTATTCCAAGTCCCATATGGAGGCAGGTGGGCCAAGTGGTCAGTAGTGGTCAAACTTGCTCCAACGATAGCCATTTCTAAGTATTTTTAACGAATCACCTTTGTAAGTTATCAGCAGAAATTAAAGTATTTAAATAAATTGTAGAACGAGTATATTTCTGTAAAGTTTTTTAAACTCTTCGAGAGCTTTTTATTTATTATTTATAAAAGTTAAATACACTTGAGAACATAATCCATATTTGAGAACAAACGATATATCTGACTATAGCTAATTATAACTTCTGCACATATTGATAAAGTATATCGAATTCCTCCAACTTGGGAACGGCGTTGAAGGTGCTTCTGGTGCGGCAGTACTCGGCATAGATGAGTAGACTTTGCTGGGGAACGACCGGAGGACGCACGCTGAGATAAGAGTCAGTGCCGTAGTCACTAAGCGGACGCAGCGTTATGCCTCGCATAATCTTGGCCAGTTCCTGGTCGCGCTGGGCAACGGCCGTCTGGGCGGGACGAGCGCCTCCGCTGGAGAGTTTGCCCATCTGAACGTACTTCTTGTAGACAGCCATACTTTGCTTGGAAGGCGGACTAATGGTGCAGCCGTAAATTTCCTCCATCGAAGGCAGCCCGGAGGCCAAAGTATACGCAGCCGGCTCCGTCGATTCCGTTTGGTGGGCCTCCTTCTCAGCAAAACTGGCACTCAACTCCTCATCACTGGAACTGTCATCTCCCTCGCTGGAGCTGGACGAATTGCTGTTCATCGAGCCCGTAGAACTGTGTCCGGTCATCGAGGGATTCTGACGAGCCTTTCGCGAGGTCTGGATCTGCCTCTGGAATGGACTGTAATTCGTGCGGAATGTGGGCATGTAACGCAGAGCGAGTTGGCTGATCTCAAAAGCGATGTGCTCGCTAAGATCTGTCCACTTGAAGGACTGGTGGTAATTGGAGTAGGCATCAATCATTTCCAGGCCGCTACTGTGCACGCGAAACAGCTCCTTGACAAGTTTGTTGGAATCGGCACAGGAGTGGGGCAGGCACTCGCGAACTTTGTGGCGCACCCAATCGGTAAGAGGCTTACTGTCCGTTCTGGGCACAAAGGCGTTGTGCATATCGTAGTCGGTCTGCAGCTCCCAGATCGGTGGGCCCTCTAAGGAAAAAAAAGATATCAGTTAATTTGACCAATTTCTAATGGTGGGATATAAAAAATACTCACGCTTTGTCAAACTCGGCTTATAAATACCCAAGAACAGATTTATGCTGTGCTGCTTTTCGGTATCGCTGAACGTGTTGCTGTAGTAGCGACTAAGGGTTTGCATTACATCGCTTCCTTGTGAGCCCCAGGGAGCCGTCTTTCGGTAGGTCTTGATTCTGTGCACTAGTTGTGAGCCGCCGTACTGTAAAGCTAATGTATCGCCGTGCTCCTCATACAGATTTTCCAACATTGTCACGCAATCCGAGTCGAACTCCAACTTGGCAGACTTTACAAAGCCCAAACGCTCCAGTTGATGACCCAAAGCGCACTTGCCAATGGCGAACTGGGCCGAGTTGGTACGATCCAGACAGTCAACGCAGTTAGTGCGTACAATTCCTGTCTGCAAGCCCGGTTCACTGCCCGCCGCCTTAAAGAACATGCCTGTCATCTGGACGATACTTTCCGCATGAATGGCCAACTGCTCCATAACATTCCCTCCGCTTAGACGACTTTGACGCGCCATATCGAAATGAATGTGCTTCATGCGGTGGGGCGGCGGCAAAAACTGGTTCAGATAGCGAATGCTGTACTCTAACTCCTTGGAGATTATGGATTCATGCTTGCGACGCTCCCGCTTTTTCACCAGATTAAGCATGATAAGTGGAGCACCATAGTGAAAAAGCAGACGCTCGAAGTGTAGAGATGGGGTCTGCGCATAGGGATCGCATATATCGAGTTGAATCTGTGGTTTGGGCACCATCTTGCTGATATCCTGAGACCAGTGTGAAGGTATGGAGCCTCTCATCTGGGTAAAAGCGCACATTCTTTGGCCGTCACTTACAATTTGCTCGGTCTCTACCTCGTTGGCTACGTCACCCTGAAAGTTGGCTCCCCGTTTGAGGAAGCGTGTGCCAGCAAAGCGTGAGCTGCGGCGGGCAACGAGGCAAACATTAACGTGCCGCCCAAAAATGCTTATGCAGGATTGGCTGACGAAGCCGTGTGTTATCTCCAGGAGCCAATCTTTAAGCATAATGCCCTCCATGGGTTGCAGCAGGTAGGCATTCCACACGAAACGCTTGCGGGAATCGCTGCGAAAGGCGTAATCCACCCGCTCGTGGGCCTTTGCCACATTGTTGGTCAGAGTGTTCCAATCGGGAAGCGGTTCATCGTTATCCAGATCTACCTTGGCGCCCACAAAGCGCGGCGCGGACTCGTTGTACTGTAAGGTACGCGTCAAGTCATACGAGTATGAAAAGTAAAAGTTGCTGCGCAGGTCAATGTTTTGGAACATCCGCTTGTAGCGATCCTCGTGTGGATGCGGTGGTCGCTGCGAGGTCACCTCGTTTACCCGAACCATTACCGTGTCCTTTATGGTGTACACCAAATGGCGACCAATATGGGCGCAGCACTTGCGCTTGGTCACTAGCAAGAGGTAGTAGCCCTCCAGGAAGCGCACGAACCCCAGGACTCCATAAGCGGACGTTACCTTTGGCGATCCTGTGAGGGAGGCGACAAAGCGTCGAATCTCCAAACTATTAAACTCATTTGCATTCTCCTCGATGCTCAGCCGGTTGTGCGCCAGTCGATCGATGGTGAGCAAGCGAAAACGAGTCTCTCGATTGTTGCTGCCTACCAAATAGAGCCGCTGAAATGGACAATAGGTACCCCATTAGTCACTAAATAATGTTAGCTGGCAGGGATACTCACCGTTCGTGTTTCATAGAGTACTACCTTCTGGATACAGCTTATGAGGGGATTAAATACAATATTCGGGTTTTCATGGCTCATTTTATATAGTTTTTCGGTTTGTACAAGATTTTTAGGCGCTCCACACAAACATTAATCAGCTGATCAGCTGGGCATCAGGGCTGCGAAAAGCAATCAGTGTTGACAACGTAAAAGCGAAAGGCCTGAATTCGATATTTTATAAGATATTTTTTAATTGCATGAACCATTTCTTACTCTCCTCTTAATTCTGCTATCCAATCATTTGTATTTTTCATAAAAATAACAACATTTGTATATGTGTTCTTATCTAAAATACGAAACTGCTAATATTTAATTAAAAAATGTATTTGGTGATCAACTTTGTACTTCGTACTATATTACTTAGGTCCATTTAATCTGAATCTGATTTGTGAACCTGCTGAATATGCCTAAGAAGCGTCCTTCTTTGCTTAAAGGAGCCACTACATTGGGTACACTTGAATGTTCGTGTTGTACTGTGCACAAACTTGTGTTCCTGGAGTGTGCTCCTGAGACCAAAGGACTTGGAGCACTGGGAACACTTAAAAGGGCGTTTATCCGAATGAGTGAGGGTATGATCTTTGAGGTGCTGCTTTGAGGCAAATGATTTTGAACACTGGGAGCAATGGTACGGGCGTTCTCCAGTGTGGGAGCGAAGGTGTTCGGTAAGGTGAAATTTCCTTGTAAAGGTTTTCGTGCAATTTGGACACTTGTACGGCCGCTGTCCTTCATGCGTGCGAATGTGCCGCTGAAGATCCGAGGATTTCATAAAAGTCTTCTTACACTGGGAACAGTTGAACGGTCTTTCGCCAGTGTGTGTCCTTACGTGTGACTGCAATGTGGACTGCTGGGCAAAAGTCTTAGAGCAATGAGAACATTCGTACGGCTTCGCTCTATCGTGGGTTTTAATGTGCGCTTTAAGCGTGACCCTAAATTTAAAGTTTTGCGAGCAATAGGTGCATGGAAAGGATTCTCCATCCAAGTGGGTTCTCATGTGTCTTAACCAGGAGCCCTTTCTCTGGTATCTCTTCGGGCATTCACGACATTCAAATAAAACCCGGTTCCTATCGATTTCCTCATCATCAATATTGTCATCATTGTCATCGGAAGCGGCTTCATTCCATGCATCTCCATCTTCCGAAAAATCCCAGTCCTCTTCTTCAAGCAAAGTGCATAGTGCCTCTTCAATTCCTTCGTCACGGACTTGACAAAAGAATTGGTGGCTTCTCTCGTAGGTTTGTCTTATTTCAAATGCTTTTTTTGCATCCTCCAAACAAGGCGGACATATGGTTTCCGGGTATAGATCTCCTCGACTGACTGCAAACCCGGTACATTGCGCGATCATCTCGGCAATGGAAACTCTGGTTTTTCGCCTGGCATCAAAAATGTTGATCAAGTCTTCCGATCTTTTTAAGCAAACTCGACACATTTGTTCCATGTTCCTTATAAAGGGAAGTGATCAGTAATTAAAACCAAGATTAAACACATTCATACTTACCTGAAGCTTCCAAAACTTCTTGTTTAAGCCAATTATTTTACTAATGATTAGACTCTCATAGGTATAATTTTTTATTCAAAAAACTGGCTTAGAAGTTTGTTTATCTAGTGCGCACTGCACTAAACACCCTGTGTGTGCTCTATCGTTTTATTATCGATATTCTGTACTCAAATTATTAAAAACCAAAATGTTTATCATATCGATTACAAATAAAAAACAAGTTAATGGAGTCCTCGACGAATCTTTTAGAAAATGCGCATCTCCGTAGCAAGATTCGTGGATATGACCGGGATCACAGACTGGAGTGCCGCATAAAGGTCAAGGACTCGCTTCGTATTGGTTTGGGGCAGGTGAAGCAGGAGGTGGAGGCCCTGGAAAGCCTCGGAACAAAGGATGTTACGGGAATGGCCGCCAGAATTAAGCGGCGAAAGCACGCCAGCTCGGAGGATATGTGTCGCCTGTCTCTGGCCTTCCTCCAGGGAAACGAAAACATTGACGCCTTTGCTGCCATTCCTGGCGCCATTCAGGTGTTGGTTAAGGAGCTTACTGGTACGCAGGCGATACTGTAGGAGTTTTGTTATAATCTAAATCAAGTCTTCGATTTGCAGGCCCTCACATTCAGCGCCAGATTGATGCTGTTGAATGCTTGTGTAACCTTACGCTGGGAGAGGCCCATGTCTCCGAAAAGATTGTCAGTTTGGCGGGAAGCTATATGATCACCTATCTAGATGGCAAGGAGGAGCGCCTGAAGCGCTGCTGTCTGTGGTCTTTGGCTAACATTTTGGCATCCTGCGACAAGGCAGGCAGGACTTTGTTGCAGATGCAGTTGGTGCCGAAATTGTGGAGACTCTACAATGAACCCCATGGCTGCCAAGAGGATGCAGGCGTCTGCCTATCTTTGGTGGTAACACACTGTCTGCGGCATGTCAGTGATGAAGATCGAAGGTACGTAGCGCAACATTTGCAACGGAATCGCCTAATGGATCCCAGCAGCGAGCTCTATATGTACATTGTGCATCAAATGGGAATTGTCGGACAGGAATATGATCTAAATGCAGAGCAGGCTGAATACTTGGTGAACTCCTTTGAATCCATTTTGGACCTAGACCCAACACCTGAAAGCCTTAGCCTCATCTACGGAATGCGCGTGATAACCAATTTAGCAGCCCTAGGAGACCGAAACCTAATGGGAAATTTCGTAGACCCACAGAAATTTGTAAAAGCCCTGAATCAACTCTTTGCATTGCGAAATTCCAATCTCAATATGGACTTGATGCGATTGCTTAAGAATTATCTTAGTTTAAGCATCGTGGACTGCGAACTTCTACTGGATAGCTTGAAGATATACGCACAGGCCTAAGGTTATAAGTCTTGCAAATCTCTTTATTGGTCTGAGTATACATAGAAATATTAAGCCAGGGGCTTTAAGTATTTAAGAAGGGGAAACAAACATGGATTACGACTATGGAGGAATTTACCCCGAAGGGATGACAAAATAAAATACAATAAAATAAATAATAACCAAACAAATAAAAAAAACAGGTCTTTGGAAAACTTAGATGTCATCTTCAAAGAGGGCGATTATTTGTCGCCGCTTTGCTTCGTCGTCAGCGTTCAGTTCGCTGCCCTTGTGGACACTATGATTGTGGACCTCTAGTTCGGAGACCGAGTCGAATACTAAATTGCACTGCCCGCAACGGGCTGAGAATATGGGTGCTGAGCCTTGGGAAACGGTGCCGGGAGAAACTACAGCCCTTTGCAGTTTCTCCAAAAACGTAGCCCGCTCCTTGTGCTTGTCGGGAACGATTCCCAAGCCCAGCGATGAGCCAGTGGCCGTTCCACGAATGGGAATGGGCTTCTTTACCGTCGGAGTGGACTGCGAATTGCGGCTCTCTGAGCGCGCAATGGCGTAAAGCACATTGTTCTCCTCTGTTATTGGAGTCGTTGTGCCGCTGACAAAGTCGAAGAGGGCAAAGGGCTGCTCCTCCAAGGGTCGATGTTCGGGAATATCCGAAGAAATTGGCACTTCAGCCGGCTTTTCGCCATTAGAGACCTTAACCTGATTAAGCTTCTCGGCCAGAAGCGAGTCTATGGAATGTTCCTGCAACCAAGTGCAGGTCTTGTGCAGAACAAAAATCATGCGACGGATGAACTCGTGCGGCGAGACCATTTTCTGTCGCCTGATCTCCAATAGCTTGGCTACCTCGGTCACAAACGTAACGAACTGGTACTCCACACAGTTGTCCAGATGCGACTCCTGCGAGTCCTCGAACATGAACCTCTTGGAGCAGGCCGGGCACTTGCGCTCCCTCCACATTGGTTCGGGTATGTTCACCTTGATGTCGCGCAACTGCACTTGATCCTGTTCCATAGGATCGTCCTCCTCAAAGTTCGTCTCGCTGTAATTGTAGCAGTTCTTGTGCTTCCGCAGTAGAGCGTCCTCCTCGTTGTCATCACTGGAACTGACCGTATAGTCCTCTTCCTCGTCCTCATTTTGGCCACTGCTAGAGGGCATGTCCGCATCCCGGGAATGGCGCGGCAGATTATTGAGATGCTGCTGCTTGTTAAACAACCCATTAAGATACTGAATCCTTTGTTGGGAACTGTCGTCCAACTGGGGAGCCGTCTGATTGAGCAGTCGCTTGTGCACCTTGTCCTTGGCGCCTTCTAGTTTAGAGGAGTTGTTTAGAAGAAGATTATGCACGGGTCGCTGTTCCACGTAGCACAGATCTTCAACGGTGAACAGGGCGCTTTCTTTGTCTATCTTATTGGCATCCGAGATGTTCACCCTCTTCTCCTGGTAGAGCTCCGCCAGCTTGAGACTCAGTGCGTTCTTGATGCACTGCTCTCGGAATGTCACGGCGTGCTTGAGATATGAGATGCACGGAGCACAAATGTTGCGGGGAAGGCCATCGTCAGTTGAATTCTACAGTGCGAAAAGTAACGTACAGATATACGTATCTAAATTAAGGTACCAAACAATGGAGTCCTACTTTTAGGCCGGTAGTCTCCTCCAACAAAATGTTAATTGGCTTCTGCCAGTTGAGAAACTCGTTTGTTGAGCCATGCAGATAAGTGGGAATCTTGGCGAAAATCTCATAGTTCGCGGGGCTGCTACAGATGCGGCAGATATTGCCCCACGTCGTCATACTAATTATAAACTTTATACTTAATGCTAATGCCGGACAAAACAAACAAATAAAATTTTTCGACGCCAGCTAGTGTGGCTCTACCAAGAAAACAAAATTTTCACAATTCGCCCTGTTAGTAACAGTTAAGCTGAATAACATTCGTAGATAAAATTTATAAAATTGTAGTTTGAAAATTATAACTGTCCTTTTTATTAAGCTTTTTAAATTTTAAGCTGGGAATTAATATAGTTGCACATTTTTTATTAACAATATAATATTGTTATTTTTGTAACTGCGTTTAAAATTACCTATATGTGAGAGCATCACTGTCTGTTAAGTTTAGCAGTATTCAGTTGGTCTGAGTTCCAAATCTTCTGGCAACACCGGTCTTCAGCTGTAGAAATTGCATAAACAAACCTCGTTACTGGAAAGAAATAATTAAAATGTCGTTTAATATAATGCAAAAACTGACCATGCAGTGCCTAAAGGCGGACCAGCCACTGATGAGTAAGTGTTCGTTCCAAAAAAACAGATTTTTTAATTCAATTTGGTTCTAGCTACCGTGCGTAATGCCAGCAAGAAAACCGGTGGTAGTACGCGGAACAAGAAGGGGCACGCGAGGCCGAAGCATCGAGGATGGCGCGTTCAGGATGGACACCACGTCTCAGAAGGCACCATCCTAGCCACCCAACTCACCACACGCTTTCACCCGGGCTTAAATGTAAGTAGCCTAACTGGGTGTTGACCGGGGATTAACCTGTGCCTCTAACAGGTGGGCTTCGGACGCAATGGAACCCTGTTTGCCATGGAGCACGGAAAGGTTTATGTGACCTGCGAGCCCATCGACCCCAACTGGGATCACACTTGGATTCAGCGCAACTACGCCGGCCGCCAGGACCAGACCATCTATAAGAAATTCTTTAATGTTATACCTGAAAATCAGCACCAGCGGTTTCGGTTAGTGGAGGAAATCTAAAAAGTTTAATATTAAATTTCACATACATCAATTACATATTTACATTTTTTTTGATTAACAGATACCGTAACATATGTTAACTTAACAGACGGTTATTAGAGTTTCAAGCCTTGATATTGCTCAGAAATCTATTTTCAGCAATGACAAGAACCTTGGTTCGAACTTGTGCTACCGGTATTTTTGAGTACATTTCTATCCACCCAGCTGGGGTCACACTGCGTGAAGCGCAGCCAACTTCGCTTCTTTCTTTCCATAAATTTTAAAGATGGTGAGTGGACGTCGGTAAATGTGGTGCACTTAAAATTTGGTTTGTGGGCAGTAAAGCGGTAAGAGATGATTAGAAAAAATAAATCAACTTACCGCAACCTGCCCGCTCGCCGACCGTTATGTAAAAGTGAGACCTACGGCTGGAGGGAATGCCGCACGTAAACATAACCTCTAGCACGTGTGTAGAAAATGTGAGCAACTATGAATAAAAACACGTTTATTTTCTCCTTTGCAGTCGAATATCAAGCGGAAGAAGACCAGGAAGCTGCGTGGTCATGTGAGCCATGGTCACGGCCGTATCGGCAAGCACCGCAAGCATCCCGGAGGTCGCGGTAACGCTGGTGGCATGCATCATCACCGCATCAACTTTGACAAATACCATCCTGGTTACTTCGGCAAGGTCGGCATGAGGAACTTCCATCTGCGCCGCCAGCACAAGTTCAGGCCCGAGATTAACCTGGACAAGCTCTGGTCCCTCGTCGGAGCCGAGAAGTTCGCTGAGTTGGAGAAGGAGAAGAGCACCAAGGCCCCCGTCATCGACTTGGTAAAATTCGTAAGTATATAGCTGCAAAAAGAGCCTAGATTCTTTACTGCTGCTGCTACTGCTTTGAACATGAAGAGACACCCAAGGCGATGGGCGGACTTAATGCGACCGTACAATTGCTCTCACCGTGTAGAGGACAGCCTTTCAGATCAAAGCAAGCAGAGTTAGAAAAGAATTCAATGCTCAAACCCTATGTCTGGACCTTAATTAATGCGTGCTCTAATCTTACCATAGGGCTACTACAAGCTGCTGGGCCGTGGTCACCTGCCCGCCCGCCCCGTTATCGTGAAGGCCAAGTACTTCTCCAAGAAGGCTGAGGACAAGATCAAGAAGGCCGGTGGCGTGTGCTTGCTGAGCGCCTAAGTTAAGGTGAGATTCTGTTCCAAACATGTCATTAATCCCTATTCATTTTTACCGATACAGTGTTTAACTGCCTTTTGTTTCTGTTTTAGATCCCTCCTCTACAAGAAAAAGCAAGTGGACTACATTCGACCATCTAAAATGTATTTGTTTTTTAATAAACTTAAAAGAAAAACAAATATTTGCTATTCCCAAAATCTTTGGTATTTACTAAATGCTTGTGGGGCCCGTTTAGTTATTAACTTTTATTGAAAGTAATTATTTAAATAAAGCGTAATTTAGACAGACGTATTTTTTAAATTAGTTTTAAATAGTTTAGCAAAGCTTTACCGTAACATTTTTGAAAGAGTTTTATAGCCTTGCAGATGGTATTATAATTTTAGTCATGATTTCGCAACGTAGTAAATAAGAGTCCTCAGAACCCCATAAAGTAAAAATATTCTTAATCAGCATTTCCATTTCACCAAGGATAATTTTGGAATATCGAGTTTATTAATTACGATGAAATAAAGAAAAAAAAAATCATAAATATCAATATGGCTGCTATAGAAGTCCCAAAAAGCTTCTGAAAATTAACGTAAGAAAACTATAAAATCGATTTTATCGTCCAAGTATTATTTATTGGATTTAAAGTTTTGTAAACACTTGATTTTTAATAAAATTTTATAAAAATCGCTTATAGCTTTCAGTAAAAATAAAGAAAATTAAAAACAAATCGTCATAGCTTAGATTATTGTTTAGCCTTTATGCATTTTGTCCGACATTTGTGATAACTGCAAGTATATATGCTTCGTCTCGCCGATGCTAGCATCCTTTCTTGATCATGCTAATGTTACAAGGCATGTTATATTAAAGCTATAAAGGGTGTTTTCAATTATTTCAAAAAAAATTAAAAGTAAATATAATATTTCATTTAACTTAAACTTAAATGGGAATAAAATCGTTGGTTTGAAAATACCATATTCGTATTTTTACCCCTTTTAGTGCGATATTATGGCAAGCTTTTCTTACTTCGTCAACAACGGTCACACTGCGAACCAGAAAGCTCGCGGAAAAATTCGGAAGAGAAGCGGAAAAGTTCGATACGCGCGATTACAAAAGGCGGAAGAAAATTACGTGTAGGTCAAGGCCATATACTTACGGGAAACCCTTATCTTTAACCCGTCTGTTAGGGTGTCACGACCTTGGGTCAAGGACATGACCGAATGAGTGGCACCGTTTCCAGCAAGGTCAAAGTGTGGGCAACATGAAAGTGGGCGGGGGATGTTTTTGTAAAATTAGCAACTTAATTATGATCTCTGTGTTACAGCCCCGACCTTGCCGACTCTGCTATTGCATAACTGAAAGGAACTCTACTGCCTTGAAATGACCAACAAAGTACTGCGGAAGGTGACGCACTGCATCTTTGACATGGATGGCCTCCTGCTGGGTGAGTCTTCCCGTGCTTGTGCCTACTTATTATGTGTTAACTGTTTGCCGAATAGACACCGAGCGCCTGTATACGGTGGCCACTGAAATGATCCTCGAGCCATACGGCAAGCCATATCCGTTCGAGGTCAAGGAGAAAGCCATGGGACTCCAGACGGAGCCACTAGCCAGGTTCATGGTTGAGTACTATAATCTGCCAATCTCGTGGGAAGAATACGCCCGACAGCAGCGCGCCAACGCCGAGACATTAATGAAGGACGCTCCCTTGATGCCAGGTACTAATCTCCGTTCTCACTTTGCCGTCACGTTTCAGACACGGAGCGGATATACGAGGAGGTTACCCGGCAAATAGCCGCCTCCTTTGGCCGCCCCTATCCGGTGGACGTTAGGTTCCGGGTCATGGGCACCACGGAGCAGCGCTCGGCGGAGATTGCCATCACCGAGTGCCAGCTGCCCATCACGCCGAAAGACTTCCTGAAGCGGTACTCTCACATGTGCCATGAGCGACTCCATGACGTTTCCCTGCTGGAAGGTTAGCACTACGACCAGAACACTACGCCGCTTTTTCCTCTATAAATACCTTCAGCCTTCTATTGAAATTCTTATATTGAATCTCGTTATTCAATTTTTTTATTTCTTTTTCTTAGGTGCTGAGCGCCTGCTGCGCCATCTGCACGCGAACAAGGTTCCGTTTTGCTTGGCAACTAGTTCCGGCGCTGACATGGTCGAGCTGAAGACCAACAAACACCGCGAGCTGTTCAACCTTTTTAACCACAAGGTGTGTGGCTCCACCGACAAAGAGGTGGCCCAAGGCAAGCCAGCGCCCGACATTTTTCTGGTTGCCGCATCGAGATTCGGCAAGCCTGCAGCTGCCTCCGACTGCCTGGTTTTCGAGGACTCTCCGAACGGCGTGACGGCGGCCAATAGCGCTGGAATGCAGGTGGTCATGGTACCGGATCCGCGTTTGTCCGAGGAGAAGACCTCCCACGCCACTCAGGTGCTGCGCTCCTTGGCGGACTTCAAGCCAGAGCAATTCGGACTGCCCCCGTTCACGGATTGAGCTTAATGAATGTACTTTTTGTAGCCGGTCGACGCTATAGCTGGAAATCGATGTACCTACCAAGCAAATGATTTTAAGTGTAATGTGTTACTTATTATACACGTATTTGTGCATATATTTAGTTAATGCTTTAGCCTTTATTTTGGATTATAATGTTGTTTTCTAAGCGTAAGTACTACTTTCCAACAGCCTCCAGGTTTTTGTGGATGTCGGGAGCAGCCTGGTTGGCCAGGGACAGGGAGATCTCCTTGCCGTTGCCTGGCGGAGATTACATTGAATGTGGGAGACGTAAAAAAACAATAAATTCAATCACTACTCACCATAGCGGGCATAGAGTTTCGGCTGGACGCCGGAGCACTCGCGCACCAAGATTGGCAGGTCGGGATTCTGTTTCTTCAGATTGGGATAGAATCTTTCCACATACTCCCTGAAAAGTGAATATTCCTGAGGGTAAATTATATAACTTAAATGGGATGATTACTGTTTTTACCTGGCTCCCCTGGAAGTGTCTCCTCTGGGGTCAAGTATGATTCGCAGCTCCTTTAATTTTGGAGTGAAGCTGGCCAACCGGGACAGAGTAATACGCATTTTAGGTAAAATGATCTAGATTTTGAAATGATAAAAAATAAACTGTATCTAAATGTCGTTACAGTATAGGGTTGTCAAATATCCTTTGATTAAATGTTAAAAATAAAGTTGTTTTTTAATTCCTTAGCCATAATTTGTCGACATAGGTGAGGTACCCTTTTGCAGAAATATATACTACAGACTAAATTAAATGGAATAAATTTAATATATAACTAGAATTGAAAGCAATAATTATTTTATAACTAACTATCTTTAAATATACGTTAAATTCAATTTTTGTAGGTCAAGTTATTTGACATTGTTTTTCCAAAGACTCATGTCTGCCAAATACATGGAGGTAAACTTTGCTGAAACTTGGCTGTGTTGGAAAGTAACCAACAGCGAACAATATCGATATACTTTGACAGTCCTATTACTCAATTGTCATCCCTAGTCGTATTTGGTAAACACATCATTTGCCTTAAAAAAATATAGCATTTTATTCGAATTTAAGCTATTATGGCGTCAGTTCACTGTCAACTTTGGATGGGGAGCGTGAGTAGCAATGTGCAATGCACCAATTACATGTTCGCCTAACTCTAGGATTGCAATTTCAGTTGGAGTCCTACATGACGGAAAACTTCATAATTGCCGCTTTCCGCAAAATGGGTGAAGATCCCACAACAGTGCGTCTGATGCGTAATAAATACACGGGCGAGCCGGCCGGCTACTGCTTTGTTAACTTCATATCGGATGATCATGCGCTAGACGCGATGCACAAGCTGAATGGCAAACCCATACCCGGCACCAACCCTATCGTGCGGTTTCGGCTCAACTCCGCCAGCAACTCTTACAAACTGCCAGGAAACGAGCGTGAGTTTAGCGTTTGGGTAGGAGATCTTAGCTCAGATGTGGACGATTATCAGCTGTATAAGGTCTTCTCCAGCAAGTTTACCTCAATCAAGACCGCAAAGGTGATCCTGGACAGCCTGGGCTTCTCGAAGGGCTATGGCTTCGTGCGTTTTGGCATAGAGGATGAGCAGAAATCAGCGCTGTACGACATGAATGGCTTTATTGGTCTGGGTAGCAAGCCCATTAAGATCTGCAATGCTGTGCCCAAGCCAAAGTCCGAGTTAAGTGCTGCCTTAGGAGACGGGAACAGCAACTATGGCTATGGAGGCTCCGGAAGCAGTGCATCTACCGGAGGAGGAACGGATTACTCGCAGTATTACGACCCCACCAGTACCTATTGGCAGGGGTACCAGGCCTGGCAAGGTTACTACGAGCAGGGAGGACCCTCAATCACGGATGCTGCAGCCTACTACCAACAGGCCATGTCACAATCGCACTCCAATCCGCAAACTCTTGCCCAGCACGCCGAAGCCTGGAGCGCTCAACGCAGCGCGCAGTACGAGCAGCAGCAACAGTCTGCTGCCAACGGAGCTGAGGACCAGTATGGACTGGTGGAGCACAAATTTGTCCTGGATACAGACAAGTTGAACCGTGAAGCAATGGAGGCCGATCGCCGGCTATATGACGCTCTGGAGAGCTCCAAGTGGCTGCCCATCGAACAGTTGGAGGTGTTTTAGGTCCATAATCTAGGTTTACTTTAATGAATATAAATTAGTTTTTAAAGGAAATACACGCATGATTCTTTAACGGTAAATCTTTTTATCGGTGCTCTTTTTCGCCAAGAAATTATGTAATTTTTGGTTTTCAATGCAACGAAAAAATCAAACAAAATTAACTTTAATGAAGCATATGATATCCGTTTTATTTTTGAAAATGACACAAGTTACAATTTTTGTAATCGATATATCGATGTCGGACCGTATTTTACCGTAGCACACCTCTAGTGAACTATCGGCTAGTAGAATTTTCCGTTTCAGGTGTCGAATTTGTTGAGATAGTTGCGGAAAAGTCCGTGTAATCTTTTAAAATATGAAGCGAGCGCGCCAGCCTAAGATCACCACGCAGGCTCTGCTCGACTTTGACCTGGGCGAGAGTTCCTCGGATAGTGATTTCCTGCCGGACATAGACAATTGCTCAGACGGCTCGAAGGACGAGAGCGATGGCGATGGGAGCAGCGACGCGAGCAGTGGCTCCGATTCTGGATCGGATTCGGATGCCGAGAGCGGGGACTCCACGCTTCAGCTGCGTCAGCTGTTGGCCGAAACCGAGCCGTTGCCTTTGGAGAATGGGATTAACGGAGTGGACCATGCAGCAGATGCTCCAGCGATGGGAATCATTAGTCGGCCGCCTCTCCAGTTGTCCAGTGCTCCGGCTAAGCGGATGTGCTGCGTATGTCTTGGAGAGCGTAGTGACGACGTGAACGAGATCGTGGAGTGCGATTCCTGCGGAGTCTCGGTCCACGAGGGATGCTACGGCGTCAGCGACAACGTGAGCATCTCCAGCACCAATTCCACCTGTTCCACAGAACCGTGGTTTTGCGAGGCTTGCCGCGCTGGAGTTTCGGAGCCCGACTGCGAGCTGTGTCCTAACAAAGGCGGCATCTACAAGGAAACGGACGTTGGCAAGTGGGTGCACCTCATTTGCGCCCTCTACGTGCCCGGTGTTGCTTTTGGAGAGGTAGAGCAACTGTCCTCGGTGACGCTTTTCGAGATGCAGTACAGCAAGTGGGGCGCTAAGGTGTGCTCCCTGTGCGACAACGCTCTGTTTGCCCGTTCCGGCGTTTGTATCGGCTGCGATGCTGGCATGTGCAAGACTTATTTCCACGTGACCTGCGCCCAGGTGGCCGGCTTTTTGATTGAGGCCCACCATGAAGACGACGCCGCCGATCCGTTCTATGCCCACTGCAAGGTGCACTCGGAAAAGGAAATGATTAAGAAGCGGCGACGCAACTACCACACACTTCGGCTCAACATGCTACAGCGGGCCAGGGAAAAGGAGGCGGCAGCTGGAGACGTCGAGGCAGCGGCTCCTCCTCCAAATCCAGCTCAAGCGCGCATTCAACGTAAGCTGCTCAAAATCCAGCACAAGTACGCTCGGCACAAGGAGCTCAAACCCACACCGTGGGTTCCCACGCAGAAAATGTCTCGATTGCTTACCACATCGGCCTCTGCCTGTCGGCGTCTGCTGGCCAAGGCCGAGACTATGTCTGTGGATGTCCAGCATCTGGAGCAACGTGAGGCTCACATCAATGCCTTAACAGACATCCGGAAAAAGTGGCACATAGCGCCAGCATTTAGTGTTGAGTTTACCGCCTACTACATGGACCGCATAGTCCGCATGGAAGACTTCCGCCAGCAGCAACGGAACCTAATCTCGCACAACGCCATCCTGTCCAAGGATCAGGATGTACTTAGAGCTCAGTATGACACAGCTTTGGAGGAGCGCAAGGCAGTGAAGGCCAACAAGGATTCCTTACTTACCAGCATTAAGAGTCTGCACGCCAATCTTGCTCAGATCGCACCCAATTTGACTTTACCCAGCGTCGAGGTCATTGCCCGACCATTGCCAGAGGCGCCACTAAAGACAAGCACACCCACTCCGCCCCAGCGACCCATCTCGGTGCCCACAGCGGCTGCCCTAAAAATGGGCGTGGGCTTTCCATTGAACCACCTTGGTCCGCCGGGCAGTAAACTGGACTCCTCTCGCATGCTTAGCACTCAGGCCAAACAGGGCAAGCACGGCAATTCCTCGGCCAACGTGGATGCTGCTCCATCGGTTGCCTGCGGCATTTGCAAGAGAAGCAAGGATCAGCACCTGCTGGTCAAATGCGACACCTGCAATCTGCACTACCATCTGGGCTGCTTAAATCCTCCCCTCACGCGTCCGCCAAAGAAATCTAAGCAGTACGGCTGGCAATGCTCGGAGTGCTGCGACAAGTCGGATGGTTCCGATGCCGTTACCGAGATCTCTACGGGACCGAGAAAGTCTCGCACTCGCTTTAACAAAGATGGCCACTTGGTCTACGTGGATCGATACTCGCTGGACGATATACCAGTTGCCGCTGCCATCGTCCCCAAAGAGGTGCCGGCAAAACGAGCGCTCAACAAATCCCTGCCAGCACCTGCACCCGAGTACATCGAGGATTTGACCAAGTCGCCGAAACGTCCTAAACTCCAATCGCCACACAAAACACCAACTAATGGTGAGTTCGATGCGAAGAGCTCTACTTTGCACACTTCTTACTAAAGCAAAATCGGTTTGGAGTTTGTTGATTTAATTTATGAAAACTTTTAAATGTTAATTTTTTATTTACCAGAAGTTGAACTTTTTGGTTGCATGTATTCGTGATTTTCAAGGACTATTTGCTTTCAAAACCGTTAAGTTTGCTAATGAAATATGAAAATTGTTTTCCTTAAAAATGTTAATTTTCTCACAATTGGATTTATTTGGGTTGAACAAACAAGTTGTGGTTAGAATGGATCTCAAGTATTACCCTTGGTACTCTACGTTGCATAAGAAAAAAAAAAATTGTGTGTATCACTTTAAATATTAAAAAAAAAGTTGGTGAGTACTTGGGTATCTTTAACTTGAACTTAACGCTTGTAAATTGTTTTTTGATTTTAAGTTAAAACTAATATCACGGATCTTCTTCCGCTAGTTCCTGCCGCCAGTGCCACTCCCACTCCTGCGGCTGCTCCTGCATTGCCCACGCCCAATGCTAGCGCCGTGAATCTATCTGGCTGCGAGGACTCGATAGACGACCCGAGCGGAAAAATGTCCCGCAAGGGTAAGCGCAAGGACAAGCACAAAAACAAACACAACCTTTCGTCGGATACGGAAAAGACCACTGGCAAGGAGCACAAGCGCAAGCGAAAAAAACGATCACACCTCGACGAATCGTCGTCTCACCTGGACAACGTTGCGAACTCCTCGGGCAGCACCATCAAGATCATCTTCAAGGCTCTGAGACTGCCCGGCGAAGATGCTCCGGAGTCTCAGTACTTCTACGTGCCGGCCAACGCAGTGCGTTCCGTGGACGAGGCCTCGCGCCCCACCTCGGTTGAAACGGTCGAGGATAGTATCCAGGGAGCGGAGCAGGCGCTGGCCCCCATTGTTCTACCGGCAGCGTCACCGCAGAAGGTTCGCGAGCCTAAGGAGGCTCCTATCACTGCTGCCGTCCCCATCACCAATCCATCGCCGAAGCGGAAGGTCAGCCCCCGAAAGCAAAGTCCTCGTAAACCGCGCGTCGGACGACCCCGGGTGTCCAACACCAAGCCAAATGTGGAGATCAGCTGTTGCGTGTGTAGTCAAACGGGCAAGTCCAACCAGGTTGTGACCTGCGACGAGTGCCACCGGCACTATCACTTTGCCTGCCTAGATCCGCCGTTAAAGAAATCGCCCAAGATCCGTGGCTACTCCTGGCACTGTGCGGATTGTGATCCCACTGACGAGGATGCACTGCCTAAGAAATAGCAACTGAACTTATTTATTTAGCTTAGGTTTTTTACTATACTGAGACGTAATAACTTGACAGACTTTTCGATATTAACAAAATCTAACATTAAAAATAAAACCGTGTTTAGATTTCATAACAATAAAGTATTATTATTTATTTTTGTGGCCATGGCGTACACTTATTGTTTACTTTTTCGTTAAAGTCAACACTAAAATTTACTTGGCGATAACATTTTTAAATCTGTCATGGTTTAGGTTTAGTATTTGTGCAGGATTTATTAGTAAAACAATGAGATACCAGACCAGTTTTAATTTTTCTTTTTAATGATTTGTAATCATTACATACCAAAAATAAAAGGCAGTACTTTTAAAGTATAGAGACCAATGTAACTTTATTTTAACTTTTTAAAAAGTTATGTCGTTAAGGAGTTAGTTAGTTAGTTCAAAAACCAGATAATGTTTAAAACTCTTCGATTCTTCCATGTTGACTTAGAATGTGCTTTGTGCAATCATTTTTTCTTGCGAAGGTTTTTGGAAACAATGAGAATAAATAAACGGCTTTTCGCCCGTGTGAATTCTGAAATAAGAGCTTGGTTGTTTACAAAAGTTTTTGAACAGTGAGTGCAATGGGGTGGGGGGTTCCTTTTAGAGCTGGCTAAGGAGTGAACTTTAGGATGATGATCATTTAAAAATCTATGTTGAGTGTAGTTTTTCATGACTGCAGTCATGTTACTCATCGACTGAAGTTTCCTTAGGTGCGGATTCGAGGCTTTTTAACTGTTTTCCTTTGGAATGAGACAGTAGTAGGTGGTTTTTATAAGAAACGATTCCAGGAAAACTCGGTGCGCAATCAGAACAATTACGTACATGCATTTTTCTTTTTGTGAGCATGCTGTCGAAGTGTTCTTGAAGTTTTGGGATTGGTTTCTGTATTGTAATGCCTGCGAATGTGCACCCTTAGATCGTATAATTGTGCAAACGATGCTATACACTGGTCGCACTTGAATGGTTTCTCTTCGGTGTGAATACGCATAGGACGTTCCCCAGTGTGGGATCGCGTGTGTTCCATAAGCTGTGCTTCAGTCCTGAAGGCTTTAGGGCAATATGAACACTTGAACGATCGATCCACGTGGGTCTGTAAGTGTTTTTTAAATTTTAAAATGATACGAAAATACTTTGGGCATTGGGGGCACTTTTGAGGTTCCTCAAAATGCTCCTTTAGGTGGCAGTTAAGGTCATACCGGCGCTCGCACACCTTTGCGCATAAAGGGCATTTATGGAAAGGAGGTTCTTCCTTACTATTTCCGTTTCTTTTTGGCTCATCGACTTTCTCATCGCCTTTTAAAATATCCTCTTCGATTTTATAAATTGGGTCTGACATCTGACAGATTTCCTTCTCAAACAACGCGTTGTGGGTTTGGATGTGGTCTTGAAGAGCATCTGGATTGTCGAATGACACGGTGCAGCGGCTACACTTAAAAACTGTTTTCTCTGTGCTAGAAACTATATTTTTCTGGCGAAAACTCATTATTGTCGACTTCTTACAGTGACTTTGGATATGCGTGTTAAGATTAGCAGGTTGTATAAAGGACCTGTCGCATTGGGGGCACTCATAGGGACGTTCTCCGGTGTGAGTGCGATTGTGATTTACTAAATGAGTTTTTTGTATGAAAGTCTTTGGACATTTGGAGCACTTGAATGGTCGCTCGCCAGTGTGAGTTCGAGTGTGTGCCAGTAGATTGGAACTATTGAGGAAGGATTTAGAACAATGCAAGCACTTGTAATTTCGATTTCCAATGTGTGTTTGCACGTGCGTTTTAAGTTGACCTAAAGTGAGAAAAGTTTTGGAACAAAAGTCGCAAATGAAATTTTTTCCACTTTTATCTTCTGGTTTGTGAAGGTTTAAAAAATAGGCGTCATTAATGGGATCTTCTTCTTCCATTTTTCGTTCAGAACTCTCAAATTTAACATGGCTACTATATTGCTCTATTTGGGCGACCTCCTCTTCAACGTCGTCTTCCAATGGCTCATTCTTCACCTGGCACTCGAACTCGTCAATTTCTTCGTAGCTAGTCGGTGCGTTTGTGGTGCAATTCTCTTCATTGTAAAGTTTTTCATCCGGTGAATCTTCCTCGATAATCTCCCCCTTGAATTGGAAAGTTAACTGCTGTTTTATCCTGAATGAGTTTTGCGCATCCTGCAAGCAAGGCGCACAAATGTATTCTGAAAGTGAGTCCTCTTTTTGAACTGGAAGGATCATATTTTCCGAAATCATATCCGCTATGCAAATCTTAAGGTGCGGAATTTCTTCAAAAATATTGACCATGTTTTGGTGTCTATTTAAGCAAACTCTGCACTTCTCTTTCATTTTTCTGAAATTAATAATTCACTGCTTAAAACCGTTGCCCGGGAGTATGCAGTATGCGTACCTACGATTGTTTTTTTCCACGCGTATTTGCCTGGTAATATTTTCCAAGTAGTTTGTTTACTTTCTCTGTTTCTAAACACAATGTTAAATGTTCTGTTATGCATAGGAACATATGTTGCTTTATCGATAACAATCGATTTATGGCATATCGACGTAACAAATCATAAACTGCGAAATGTGGGCACATTGTTTTGAGCACCCTACACTTGGGCCGATGAAAATATCTTTTATAACAAGTGAAAATATTATTTTTAGGTTTTTTAATTTTTAAATTAAAATTAACTATAAAATTGAAGGTTATCCTAATTAAAAACTGTTTATCACATAACTGTGTTAACTTTTCTCTTTTCGTTCGGTGTGATAGTTTGGACTGATACAATGATTTCAAAGAGAAGCGCATTTTGGCCACGACTAGACGGGATCATACTCTAATCCAACGGCTGCTGGAAAAACGGCCACGTAAAACCCAATTTTAACAGGCCCAAAATATTTGGCGTGCCCAAACAAACCCAACTGAATGAAAGTAAACAAAAACTATTAGAATATGCCACAGCGGCAAGCGACGCAGCAGTTGGAGTTGGTATGTGACATGAAGCTGTGGCAATAAATCCGGACTCAGATTGTTGACCATGGACGCCAAGTATTCGCTGCTGCGCGGGGAACTGGTGGATACGCAGAGCATATGGACCAGGTGAGTTCGTTTTATTCACTGTTCTCATCCCTTAACTAAATACTCCATTCTTCATTTTTTTCAGGCACGAGAAACGCGTGTGGTTCATCACACTGATAACGGGGACCTGCATGCTCTACTCCACCCGCACCACAATGCCGCTCCTTGTTCCGGCCGTGGCATCAGCCCAAAAGTGGAGCAAAACCGATTCCGGCACCGTGCTCAGCTCCTTCTTCTGGGGCTACACCCTAACGCAGGTGGTGGGCGGTTACTTTAGCGACCGCTTTGGAGGTCAGCGGGTTATTCTCTGCGCCGCCTTCGGTTGGTCGCTAATCACATTCCTAATGCCGACGATCATCTGGTCGGCGGGCTCTATCAAAAGCTATGCCATTCCCTTTATCGTGGCCATTCGCATCCTGAATGGTGCCCTTCAGGGCGTCCATTTTCCCAGCATGATCAGTTTGACTAGTCAGGTAAGACGTGCATATAGTGATTTGTACCCGAACTTAATTTTTTTTTTTTTCAGAACCTCTGCCCCAACGAGAGGAGCAGCTTCTTTGGCCTGCTCACAGCTGGCTCCGCTTTGGGAACTCTTCTTACCGGGATCATGGGCTCGTTCCTGCTAGACTATTTCGGTTGGTCATACGTCTTTCGTGTGATTGGACTGATGGGCGTTGCATGGGCGCTAGTGCTGCGCTACTATGCAATGGCCGGCGAACGCAATCGGATCATTAACATTGCCACGCCCTCGCGTCTGTGCGCGAATAAGAGTCCGGCGGAGGCCACGGCTGTGCCCTGGCTGCGCTACTTTAGTAAATTGTCCTTCTGGGCCTGTGTGTTGACTCACGCCTGTGAGATGAACTGCTTCTTTGTGCTGCTCTCGTGGCTGCCCACCTACTTCCATGACGGCTTCCCGCATGCTAAGGGCTGGGTTGTAAACATGATACCCTGGATGGCCTTGCCGCCGTGCACGCTTTTCGCCAAATACTTGACTACCAGATTGCTCGCTCGAGAATGGCACACAACGACGGTGCGTAAGTTTATTCAGAGCTGCTGCTTCGCCGCCCAAAACCTGGCACTCTTTGTGATGAGTCGCACCTCGGACTTCCACACGGCACTGATCTGCATGACTATTATCATTGCCGGCACGGGCTTCCACAACAACGCGGTGACGGTGAATCCTCAGGATCTGGCTCCCTTGCATTCGGGCAGCGTATTTGGCCTCATGAACACGGTGGGCGCCATTCCAGGCTTCCTTGGCGTCTATCTAGCCGGACACATTCTGGAGCTTACGCAGAGTTGGCCGATGGTATTTAGCGCAGCGGCTGGCATTAATCTGGTGGGCTGGATCATATTTATCGTCTTCGGGTCGGCGGAAGCCATTGTTTAACATTCTCTTGCACACTTTCTTAATGGAAACTAACCTATTTATTTATGTGTGTGTATATTAGAGTGGTTCGATTTATACTTTTGCATTCAATTAAAAATGCAAGAACTATTATTTTTAACTCTTATTTACGAATGACGATCGTGAACTTTTCTCGTGAGTGTTTAAGCCAAAAAAAAATGTATCGTGGATACAACAATAACTAATAATTTTCAGTCAATAAATCGACTCACTCAATATTAATGTATATATCTAAGGCTATAGTTTTAAGTAGCGAAATCTTTCTGCTCCTAGCGTGATTAAATATAATTGTTTAATTCATCAAGCTATGCCAACTTAGTACATTTGTGTTAAAATTATTTATTTTAGTCCCTCGAGAAAGCCAATTTTTTGGACATGTAGGGTCCGTCTAGGGTGTATCCCAGCTTGCGGTAGTAATTCCTGGTTCCTACACCCGATATGACCGCCAACTTGGTGCTGCCGTGTTCCTCTAAGGCAATTCGCTCAGCTTCCTCCATCAGCAACATACCGAAGCCTTGGTGCTGGAACTTTGTGGGATCGCGGGCATTTACTGGCACCACCGAGCCATATACGTGAAGTTCGCGCACAATAGAGCAGGAGCCTTGTAGCTCCGGCCGGAACGTATCCGGCGAGCACTTGCGCAGTCTGAGAAGTCCGACTAGTATGTCCTGCTCGGGATCTTCGTACGAAAGGAACGTTTCCCAACCGCCGTTGGCCACATAGTCCCGGCGAATTAATTCAATTTCATACGGCCTCACCTTGTTGTGAATCTCCTGAATACCAACCTCTCGCGTCCGGACGTCGCGACATGTTGTTCCCAGATCCTTCATGCGAGCTAGTGCCAGCTCTCGTAGATTGCCGTGCTCCACGCCAGAACTGGAAAGGAACAGTATGCTAGACATTTAAAGATCTCGTCCTGACAAAACTTACCTAACCAACGGCATGGGAATGTCGCGCTGGACGCGATAGACTCGGGTCCAAGGAGGAACAAGTGCCAAAATCTTGGCCACTAAGTCCACCAGCATCGATGGCGGGTAAGACTTGTAGCGACCGGTCTTCCACAGTTCATAGAGGCCAGTTCCTCGAATAACGAGCGTGGGATAGATCTTAAGACCGTCAGAACGGAAGGCGGGATTCTCGAAGTACTCGATAAACTGTTCGATGTCGCGCTCAAAGTCAACGTTTGGCAGGTCGGGCATCATATGTGCCACGATCTTGTAGCCTGCATCCTTTCCCAGTTGAAAGCTTTCGCATACCGCCCGCACCGTATGTCCTCGGTTAGTATCCCTGGCAACGTCCTCGTAAACCGATTGAACCCCGATCTCCAGCCGAGTGCAGCCGTAGTTCAGCATGTCCGATATGTGTCGCTTTAGGCAATAATCCGGACGTGTCTCAATAGTGATGCCAATGCATTTCGTGCGCGACTTCTCCGAGTACCGAACGGCCTCTGCCACGTTGGCACTACTGTGACCCGAGAGTGCGTCGTGCAGGTTACGGATGAAGAAGTCACGGTACTCCTCCGGCAGGCACATGAAGGTGCCGCCCATGACGATAAACTCCACTTTGTCCACGCTGTGGCCTAGCTGCTTTAGCTGCTCGACACGGTGACGCGTCTGAAGAAAAGGATCGTACCGCGCTCGGATGGCCCGCATCGAGGTGGGCTCATAGCCCGTGTACGACTGCGTCGAATACTCAAAATCGCTGTCCGGTCCGCCGGGACAGTAGACGCAGATGTTGCCAGTCATGTTGATGTGAGGACAGCGGTGCGGCTTGCACATCACTGCTACAACTGCAATCTGGAGTAAGTGGAGTGGCAGTGGGTATAAGTAAAGATTGGATAGACTTACTTAAGACATTAAAAAACCAGCTTAACTTACCCCACTTGCTGTGCGAATGGGCTTAGCCCTAAGCTTGGGTAGCAGGATCTTCTTTGCATCCTGTGGCACAGCTGCGATGATGTCCACCAGACGAGGTGAACTGTCTAGTCCGTATTTGGAGGAGACCAAGGATTTCATCCGGTTAAGATTCACATCTTTCTTGGCTTCATGTGCCCGCAGCAGCTCCTGAATAATTTCGCCGATGACAAGAACTTGGCGCTCCTCGCGACTTAGGCCCACTCCTGTAAAAATATTGGTTACAGCGCTTTTAAGGCTATTAGTGGCCTTTAACTTGCCTAATTTCTTTTTCGGCTTCATTTTGCTTGAATTTCACATAAATTGCACGTGTGACGTCGCAGCTGTTTTGTTTTGGCTATCGAGCGATAGATCTAGAGGTGGGCTTAGGAAATTTTGGAGTCCTGGTGTTTTGGCAGCAGAGAACGCTGGTCACACTTACTCGCACAAAGTTTTTGTTTTCGCACCAGTTTCTCGGGAGTTCTGGATAAAAATGACTAGCTGCGTGCCAGCGCAGCAGCAAAAGGACCAGGAGCAGTTGCTGAGGGAACTGGCCGATAGCAGCGACGAGATGGAAGACCCGGACGATCCGGACCAAGACAAGCAGCAGTTGGTTGAACCGACGTTCTCTTTTTCGGTGTGTATACAACAAGCGACTATTTTTATTGCGGACTGATAAGTAGCGCCTGCTGCCTTTCCAATTCGCAGAACAGCAACACCTGCTGGGTATGCAATGGCTATTATGGGCCCAACTTTGGGGAGCCTTTGTGCGGCGCGTGCCATGCCTTTCTCTACAACGCCCAGCGGGCTGAGGAGCTTCTGACGGAGCTCTCCGACGACGAGGACTCTGGAAACGACGAGCCGCCCTTTAAAGACAAGCAGGAGGACGAGGAGACAGAGAACGATGTGGACATAATGGGATTCGAGGATCTGGAGGATCCCCAACCACCGCCCGTCCCACTGCACCCAAATCAGCAGCCAGCGCCGGAAGCGCAGGATCAACAGCCAGCCCAACCAGTTCTCGATCTGCCCCAGCAAGCGCCTGAAGCGGCGCCACCAAGACGCGAATCTCCAGAGCGTGACATTGAGCACGAGCGTGCCGTCAATCCCTTTCTGCTGCCTATAAAGCGCCCACGGGCCATGGCTCCACTGGCCCTACCCCACTATGTGCACGAATTGGCCGATGGACGGGCCCGAGTCCATGAATACAACGCCGCCAGCGGAAGTGGAGCGAGTGGCAGCAGCAGAAACATTGTCAACATAATTCCTGTCGAGGTGATGCTGAAGATATTTGCCTATCTGGACGACATGTCGCTGTGGATGGCAAGTGAGGTGTGCAAGCAATGGCACGATATTGTGGGCAAGAACACGGCTCAGAGCATGTGGAAGGCGTACATCAAGCAGCGCTGGCCGCTGTTCGAGAGCTTGGCCGATAATCCCAACTGGTACCGATTGTATGGAGCGCTGATGTCCTCCTGCTTCTGCCGCACCTGTCTGATCGAGATGAACGGACGGGGTCAGGGGGCGCAGCAGGCAGACCAACAGCTGGACGAACGGGAGCCGGGCAATGTGATGCGCAACAACTTCCTACGCGGCGAGGCCAATCTGCTGAACAGCTACGATTCGGAAGGAATTTCGGCAATACCGCTGGATCGACAAAATAACTATTGGCAAGCCACGATCCTTGGGCCTCCGGGCAGTCCGTACGAGGGCGGAAAGTTCTTCCTGTTCATCTACTTTCCCGAGCGCTACCCAATGACGCCGCCGACAGTCAGATTCCTAACGAAGATCCTGCACCCAAACGTCTCGCGCCACGGCGACGTGGGCATCGACATCTTCCAGCAGCACAACTGGTCGCTGGCGCTGAATGTGGCCAAGGTTTTGCTGTCGGTGCAGAGCCTTTTGACCGATCCGTACACCGAGGTCTGCATGGAGCCAGAGCTTGGCTACATCTATGAGCACGAGCGCGAGCGGTTTGAGCAACTGGTGCGTTCATGGACCTGGAAGTACGCCATGTTCGAGTTGATCGCACCGCGCTAGGAGATTAAAAACCCTCGAGGACATTGGACTGAAAGTTGGAAACTACCCCTCTTTACGTTGTAACTACATATGTCTGTGTATTTAGCTTAGTTGTGCCATCCGGATTGTTTATTTTGGCCTTCCTCTCACTATTTCCGCGCCCCAGGTCACAACATAGTCGAAATTACTTAACCTAATAATAAACGTATGCTTTAAGTTACGAGCTGTGTCGCCTCATTTTGTCCAGGACACCTTGGGGATGTCAAAGTGCTCGGTGAGAGTATCCAGGTGCTCGTTAAACTTTTCTACGCGCTCCTTGTGGGTTGTTTGTGCCTTGTCCATGATCCGTTTGTTTCGCATCTTTTCTTGCTGCTTCTTACTGGCCAATTCCGCCTTGGTAAGCTTGCGTTCGTATCCGCTGGTGCCGGACGACGTCGTGGAACCCACCTCCGCCAATTGCTGCTCTACGTACGACTTTTGGAGCTCCTTCTCTTTGTCCTTGCTCTTGTGCTTCTTTTTTTTCTTCTTAAGATCCGAGTCGTTCTTAAGTTTGAGCTTGCCCTTGGCCACGCATGCGTACTCGTCGGACATGGTTAAGGTGATTATTTTGTTAGAGAAATTCAACAAAAACAACTGGTGCAAGTTTTCCTTTTTTTTTTATAAACAGGGAAGTCTAGAGGTGGCATTCTCATGGTTGCCACGAAAAAAATCGATTACTTTTCCGAATATCTATGTAAAATAAAATGTAAGATAAATCTGTATAGATTTTATTACACATTTATCTACATATTTCTTACATTTGACTTAAGTTAACAAATTTGTTACCAAGTGCCTATATAACGCCATCGTAAAAGAGCAGATGTTTGAACTTCTACGAACTTGTTCCATTCTATAATCAAAATACAGCGTAAAATCACTTGTTGATAATTAAGCGTACCATTGTTGATTTATTTTACGATGATAAGGTTATTTTAATATTTTTGCTGTGCATAATCTGTTTCGTTAAATAAATCACAACTTGATCGGAGGCTTTCAGTCTAAGCTGTTATTTAAAGGCATTAGGATGGGTCTAGCTACCGGTTTATTTTTAATAGTATCCGTACTACTTGTTTCCAGCTACGAGGCTGCAGTTGTCAGGGGGGTCTTTAAGGATCCAGCACATCCTGGAAAGTGTGTTGTTGATGGTTTGATCCTTGAAAAAGGTCAAGGTGCGCGCCACCCAAAAAGGTGCGAGCGAGTTGTGTGTGAAGACAATAGCAATGCGCAGATCCAATCGTAAGTTACAGGCATAGTTCGTCAATTCTTTTTAACGAAAGCCAATTAATTAATTTTATCTAGATGTGGTTCTGTTGGACTTCTTCCTGGTCAAAAATTCGGAGAATACATATCGCCAAACGGTGATTATCCGGCCTGCTGCGAGCGCAAGATTATTAATAAATGATTAACTGATTTTTAAAAGATATACAAATTTATATTTTAATCTATTGAAAAAGTTCGAGAGACTTAAAGGCTTTCCGAAAAATTATTTACCTGACAAGTTGACGTGTTCCCTTGCAATATGAAAAGTGTACATTAACAACCTGTCAATAAAATGCTGCGCTTGTCTAGTTAATTATTCATTTTTTATTGGCCAAGCTAAAAATTAATTTTTTATGGCACGACTACCTGCCGCTATATAGGGTTTATTAAGCCATAGAATAGGATGTACACTTCAGTCCTCGTTGCGAATTCAATTCCGAGTACCGTGAAGACGTTAAGATTACTTCATCTTAAGGTTTATTTTTGTTGGTCGTCGTTTTTCTTTTTAGTTGTTTAGATGTCCCGGACGAAGTGAAAAGTGAAGCCGTCGAATGTGAAATTTTCAGCATGTTGTTATCTATAAGAAAAACAAATATATATTTATAAACTTAGACAGAATGGTCTTAACAAAAAATCAATTATGATATTCAGATTTATCAGTAATTAAATCTGATCTATCACTAATGTTTATTTACTTTTTAATGAGCGGTACTGATTATTGCCACAATAAAGAGAGAGGTCGGAAAACATTAATCGTCGATTAGATGCCGATTCATTATTGTATACACGATTCAGAACTTAACTGATAAGCAGACTAAGCTTCAGAGTTTGCTAGAATGTTTGATATGTTTTTAGTGGTGGTTCTGTTTCACTAGCATTAAGATGCGTCTGGCTACCGGAATTTTTATAGTTGTCGCCGTGTTCCTATTCGCTGTCTCCGAAACAGCTGAAATGAGAGGAACATTCAGCTCTCCAGACCATCCAGGAAAATGTGTGTTTCAAGACCTTATCTTAAGCCCAGGTGAGAAGGCGACTTCCCAAAGCTGTATACTAGTTATCTGCGAAGAAGAAAGTTTTGCAGTAATCCAAACGTGAGCCTGATCTAGAAATATATATATACATTTTAAACACAGAAACAAAATAATTTACCTATAGTTGCGGTTCTTTTGGGACTCCCATTGGTACCACACTTGGAAGGCAAACAGCAGCAAGAGCCGAACATCCCGAGTGCTGTGCCCGTGAGATGATTAACGCGTGATGCTAAATTATAAGAATTGTGTAAACCGTAAATAAATACGTATGTGTATTTTCTGAAATAAATTTTTCATCCAGTTTCATTTCTCACATTTCTAATAATCATCTTTAAATTCGGTAGAGCAATTATACTACACGTAGGACAATGGTAAATACTTGGAAGATATTTCTGTTTTCGGATGCAAACAAATTAATCTTTGAAAAGTTGGAAATAATTATACAAATTTGAACTTAGAGGCTATTTGTTTATTGTGTGGATTAGAACATGGCACTAGGTGGCCAAATTTTTCGAATCTGAGTTTCAGTATGCGTTCTGATTTAAAAAAGATGAGATGTGTCGGGAAAATCTCTATGCTAATCTTTCTCTTTTTAATTATGTTGCCTGGCTTCGAGGCGGGGGAGTTTATAAAAACCTAGCGCATCCCGGAAAATGTGTTGCCCATGGATATGTTTTAAAAGCGAGTGAGCAGGTTACTTCCAAATCGTGTATGCTCATAAGTTGTTCTGAGAAAAGCTTAGCGACCATATACATGTGAGTTTACAGAAAAATGATAGACGTTATTATATACATTATTACCTAAATGATTTTGCTTACATAAAGATGTATTTCTGATGGATTTCCCATCGGTACCAAATTTGGGAGACAAATAGCACCGCGTGCCGATTATACCGAGTGCTGTGTCCGTGAGATGATCAACGCGTAATGGCATCAAAAATATGTTTAATTGCGAAAGCGTTTAAATTACTTTGCAGTGCTGTTGAGTTAATTAAAAATTAAATCGATAATGCTTCAAAAGAATATATATTTTAAAAGGAGTGTTTTTTAAGCTCTCTGAATGCACATTGCACATTTGAGGGCGTGAAAAACTTAAAGTTAGAATGGTTAATGAAAAAATGAAAAAAACAAAACCAAACGGTGATTATCCGGCCTGCTGCGAGCGCCATATTTACGAGGTGTGTTCAAAAAGTATCGCGAATTTTGTGTTTTTTCAAAAAATATTTATTTATTCATGAATATCTATTTTGTCCCCTTCAACGGTTTTTCCAATTTTCGAAGCACTTCAAAAAATCATTTTTTTTATCTTCTTAAGCTCCTCTTTCGATGCCGTCTTTATCTCGTCAAGCGTAGCGTAACGTCGTCCTTTCATGGGCCTCTTCAATTTAGGAAACAAGAAAATGTCACAGGGGGCCAGATCTGGGGAATACGGAGGCTGCGGCATCATTAGTGTGTTGTTTTTGTTGTTATCCTTACTACTTGTTTCGAGCTATAAGGCTACAGTTCTCAGGTCTTTAAGGATCCAGCACATCCTGGAAAGTGTGTTGTTGATGGCTTGATCCTTGAAAAAGGTTAAAGTGCGCGCCACCCAAAAAGGTGCGAGCGAGTTAACGAAATCCAATTAATTTATTTTATTAAATCTAGATGTCTAGATGTCACCCTGTTCAACTTGATCTCAAAGAATCCTTTGGACGCTGCATATCACCAAACGGTGATATGGCCTGCTTCGAACGCCGAATTTTTACATTGACAAGTTGACATGTTTCCCCACAATATAAAAAGTGTAAATTAACAACCGGTCAATAAAATTAAGCGATTGTCTAGTTAGTTATTAATTTTTTTATGACTCCACTACATGCCGATATACAAGCTTTAAGTGAACAAATTTGTTATCAAGTGCCTTGTATACAAGAGCAGGTGTTTGAACTTCTACGAACTTGTTCCATTCTATAATCAAAATACAACGTAAAAACACTTGTTGATAATTAAGCGTAGCATTGCTGATTTATTTTGTGATGATACGCTTTTTTCAATATTTTTGCTATGCCTAACCTGTTCCGCTAAATAAATCACAACTTCGTCGGAGGCTTTCGGTCTAAGCTGCTATTTGAAGGCATTAGGATGGGTCTAGGTACTGGTTTATTTTTACTAGTATTAGTACTACTTGTTTCCAGCTACGAGGCTGCAGTTGGCTTTGGGTTCTATAAACATCCAGCACACCCTGGAAAGTGTGTTATTGATGGCAAAATCCTTAAAAAAGGTGAAATTGCTAGATACTCACGCGGCTGCGGGAATGTTAATTGTTTCGCCAATAGCTGGGCGTCGACCGTAACGTAAGTTACAGGCATAGTACGTCAATTCTTTTTAACGAAAGCCAATTAATTAATTTTATTAAGTTTAGATGTGGTGTGTATGGACTTAGTCGCGGTGAAAGATTCGGAAAGTACATAGCACCAAACGCTGATTATCCGGATTGCTGCGAGCGCGAGATTTTTGATAGAAATAATAAAAAAAAAAAAAGATTAAAAAAAAATAAGCCAACATTAACAACGGACCTACCCTACCCTAGTACCCGGTAGCGGATCGATAAGTAGAATAAGTTCAGTCCCAACTTTTATTCCGAAGATCACGTCTTGATATTAAATTCTAGCCGTTCAATAACTTGAAAATTAACTTCTAGTTAATTATTTATTTTTTATTGGCCTTGTCAAAAATTAATTTTTTATGGCTCGACTACCTGCCGATATATAAGTTTATTAAGCCATACAATAGGGTGTGCACTTCAGTCCTCGTTGCGAGTTCAATTCTGATATACGGTTCAATAGGTACGGTTTATTTTTGTTGGTCATTCGTAGGGTATACAGGAACCCCGATCGCCCTGGACATTTTACAATTAAAGGGATTGAAGTTATGAATCGAGGCCAAAGTGTAACTCACCCAGAAAGATGTGAAGAAATGTTGTGCCTGTATTTGCTCTAAAATACCCTATAAAAGTACAATATATTTAGATGTCACGGCCGAATAAAGTTAGGAAAAGTAAAGCCGCGAATGTAAAAATTCCATCTAAAAGAAAAAAAAATAAAATTTATAAACTCAGACAGAAAAAAATCAATTACTGCCTTTACATTTATGATTAATTAAATTTGATCTATCACTAATGTAACACTTGTTAAAAAGCTTAATGAACATATAAGTTTTCAATGATCAGAGAACTTTAATCGACGATTATGTGTGGGTTCAATATTGTATACACGTTTCAGAACTTAACTGATAAGCAAACTAAGCTTCAGAGATTGCTAGAATCAGTGCAGACTCTTAAACAGCTTAAATGAGAGGAACCTTGAGCGATCCAGACCATCCAGAAAAATGCGTGTATAAAGACCTTATCATAAGCCCAGGTGAGGAGGCGACTACCCAAGCATATGAACTAGTTATCTGTGAAGAAAAAAGTTTTGCAATAATCCAATCGTGAGCCTGACCTAAAAATAGTTAGAGTATTTTTCATCCAGTTTCATTTCTCACATTTCTAATAATCATCTATAAATTCGGTAAAGCAATTATACTACACATAAACCAATGGTAAGAACTTGGAAGATATTTCTGATTTTGGATGCAAACAAATTAATCTTTGAAAAGTTGGAAATAATTATACAAATCTGAATTTAGGGGCTATTTGTTCATTGTGTAGATTAGAAAATGACACTAGGTGGCAAAATTTTTCCAATCTGAGTTTCAGTATGAGTTCTGATTTAAAAAAGATGAGACCTGTCGGGAAAATCTCTATGCTAATCTTTCTCTTTTTAATTATGTTACCTGGCTTCAAGGCGGGGGTTGCGGGCGGAATTTTTAATGACCCAGCACATCCCGGAAAGTGTGTTGTCTATGGATATGTTTTAAAAGCTGGTGAGCAGGTTACTTCCGAATCGTGTATGCAGTACAGTTGTTTTGAGAATAGCTTAGTGGAGATCTTATCGTAAGTTGACGCAGAAATTATTTACATTATTACTTAAATGATTTTGCTTACATAAAGATGTCCTTCTGCTGGATCCCCCATCGGTACCAAATTTGGAAGACAAAAATCACCGAATGCCGATTATCCAGACTGCTGTGAACGCGAGGTGATCAACGCATAAAGGCAATAAAAATATTTTTAAATTCGAAAAATAACTTAATTCAAAATTAAATCGATACCGTTTCAAAAGACTATATATATTTTGAAGAAGTGTTTTTTTAACGTGTTATGTTCGGAGTCCGGAGAGCTAAAGCTTTCTGTATGGGATTACCTGTGCAGATTTGAGAGCGTAAAAAACTTAAAGTTACAATGATTAAAAAATCTCTGCTCAAAGTTAAAAAAAAAAATTACAATTAAAGTATTATTTGCCATACGTAATTTTATGGCTTTTAGGCCCCATGCATCGCATAAGGGTTAGACTACAAGCTCTTTTGCTGTTTCTTTCGCACTTATTCAAAAACACCCCCTCACTCACACTCATGGGAGGTATTGTTAACGGACTGCCCGACCCGACAGACTACCTTATACCTATTCTACCATGGGTGGAAATTGCGGCTGTGCTCGCGAACTTGTTCGCATTCCGCCATTCAGGTCCAGTTCAAATCCAACGGACGACGGAACCACACACCGTGTGTGCTGTGCTCGCTCGAGGCGCGTCTGTAAATATTTTAAAATTGAAAACACATTCATAAATGGTCCAGGCCGAAACACTGCGAGAAATTCCAGCCGCGAAGTGATTTCGAATGAGTGGTTTCAAAGTGACCAGTGCGAGCCAAAGTCGTGTTTTTGGCCATACACAAAGTATTAAAAATCATAACAAAAGCATTTCAGAAAAAAGTGTTAAAAAATTATTTACAAAAAGTTGAAAGCGCGAAGGTGAAAATTCTGCTCACTCTCTTTCTGTTACTCGGCCACTCTCTCTCTTTTTCTGGCGGAAACTAACGGTTTTGACAAGAAGAAGTACCGTAAAAGCTCGCTCACCTCGCACATGCGTGTGCGTGTGAGAGTGTGGGTGCCAGCCTGAGAGTGTCTGTGTGCTCGTGTTAGCATCCTGTAGCAAGTTCTTCACTCAAGGATAACAGTCGTAAAAGCACAACAATGTAATGAACAATATCAGAAAATATCATCATCATCATCATCGTCATTCTCATGGCGAGCGAAAATATTACAATTTAATCTGATTGGGTGTGTGTGTCTCGCAGGCTCTCTCGGCTCACAAACTTTAATGTCCTTCTTTGTCACTTAGTTTTATGCGACAGTCGCCGTCGAATGCGACAATACGAGGGCATTTGCATACGATTTACGGTTCCCGTAGCCTCCAAAAAGGACAATCCTACGGGTTAAGTCCTTTAGGATGCTGCGGTTCCCCCTCCTTGAGCACAAGCACACACACACACATGCAGCTAGCCAAGGGCATGTAACAGGTAAAACAACACAATTGACACCTGTCTCGCTCTGTATTTCCGACGTTCTCTCGCTCTCCGGGCCTCCTTTGCGGAAGGTCCCGTAATACTCGTTCCGTCAATAACAACAGTTGCCACAAAGAGCCATTTCAATGTCATGAAATGAAGTTAGGTTCGGGTTAAGTGAAATAAATATAGAGTTTTTAGAGTAACCGAAACGAAAGCCCAACAAAAAATAAAGATTAGTAGTATAAATTTGTTTGATTTCAATAAAGATTTATTATAAAATTTAAAAACAATTTTTTCTTATCTTCCCTTTCTGGAACTTTAAAATTAAATTTAATGCTATAGAGCTTTACCAAATATTTAAATAGCAGAACATCCTTAATTTTGAAATGTACAACTTCTGCCAGCACATGTTGTTCTACACTTTGTCCTGTTTGTTTAATCCCTTTTTGAATGTCCAAAGTTTAATGGCGAAGGGAGGGGCGAAGGGGTTTTGAAAAGTCGCCAACTTTTTCATTACTGTTGCACATCAAGTTGAAGTTTGTCGTATGCTGGATGACCTTTATGCAAAACGGGTCCAGTCACATCCTCCCCGCAGGACTCGAGCTCCCCGCTTCCTGACGCTTCCAATGCTGTGCATTATTAAGCGCCAGCTTTTGTATTATTCAGCACACACATGATGTCTGTGTTTGGACTGTGTAATAAAAGGCATGCATTATTCATGCAAAGGCTTCACTGTGGTCAGCCAGTTTTTCCCGCAGTTCTTATTGAAAAGCCATTAGTGAAATTCCTGCGATGCTCATTGCGCCGACGCGGCGTATACGCAATCTGGCATTGAGATAATATTTATTCGCGGGGGCCCGCCAGGTGGGCAGAGATTTGCATTAATATGGACGGAACAATACTGGCCATAATCATTACGAATGCAGATAAGTGGGGGCCATAATGCCAGGCAGTTTGGCCTAATTAAAGAAGAGAGAGGGCAAGTGAGTGGAAAGCAGGCAAAACAAAGGCCAAGATTGCCTTGTGGTGATGCGTGAATTTTTTGTGTAACAACAGCAAAATAAAGAAAAAACAACATTGGCAACATTTCGTGGTCGTTTTCAGCGAGTTGATTCCGTTTTTGTTTGTGTTTGCCTTGCCGGAGCACGCGTGTGTCTACGTTACCTTGGACAAGAATAAACCATCCAAACATCCTGCAGCATCCAAGCATCCAAGCATCCGAGCATCCATCTACTTGCCCATTGTGGTTGTTCTTGGCTCTTTTCCACGGCGCGGCCCCACGTTTATCCTCATCTCTTGCGAATCCTTGGCGCAGCAGATTCTAGTTGGTGGCCTACTCTGAAGGTGAGTGCAAACATTCGCTCCCCGCCCGTTTGCTCAATCGATTATTCCCTAACTGTGCTCAAACCTAAATAAGCCAAAAAATCGCTTAAAAGCGAAATGTAAAATTCATTTTCATTCGGTTCGAGCAAAAAATCGAACGCATAATAAAAATTTCAATGAAAACGCCCACATCACCAAATTATTCAATGAATGTGTTTTTTATTCGACACAGATAAATTATTTTATTTGCTTGTAGCGGTTGTCAGTCAGATAATCGATTTTTTGGTGAAAATGTTTACAATGGGGCGATAATGATAATAATCAAAACTCTTTCATTTACAAACGGTGGTTAACACAATCGGTTTTTGTTATAGCATTTTGTAATAACATTTACATAATAAAAATCCTTAAGTATTTTATTTAACTTAAACTATTTTTTTTCTCTGTAAGCCTGCTGGCTATTTCCATAGCAAAAATTTCCGTTTGTCTAAAAAGGAATAGTGCTTTAAGCGATGACGAAGGCAAGCCAGATACAAACAGCGGAAAATGTCAATAAACTTTTCGATTTGTGTCACGTCGGCGTTTCTGCAATATACGTGGATAAACGAGCTTCTAAAGCTGAGATTGAGGTGGCTCACGCCCCTAACACGCCCATAAATATAGACACTCTACAGACAGGGCGTGGCATGATGGGCGTATAATGAAAACAGTTTGTTATAATTAGGCAGCAGTGACCGGCTATTAGTGAAAACTAGTTACTTGCTAATGGCCACAATGTTGCCTAGTTTTGTGCGCTTGGAGGGCAAACGGGTCGTATACGTTATTACCTTTCAAAGAATAATTTGAAACTCGTTTCACTGCTCACCAAGTGTGTGCAAATAAATAGCTTACGTTTTCTGTGTAAACAACTTCAAGGAATCGAAAAGAACAAGTCATCGAATTCCGTTTGGTAGGGTAAACTATTACTTTATTTTAGAGCTCCCTCGTAAACTAGTTCAAGATGTATCAATATTCTCACATACTGGAGTTTGCATTTTAGTGCACCTGTTGCGAGAAACGGGTATCAGAGCTGGAAAATCAAATGTTTGAGCAACAACTAAGTGCAAGTCTCAATCGATATTAACCAGATAAGTCCCTTGATTTCCGATAACAGTTGATAGCCTCCAAAATACACGGATTGCGAACGGTGTAATAGCATTTTCCGTCCCTCCTGGCACATCCGGGGTTATCTTTAATGGGGCAGGGCTTATCGCAGTGTTGCGCGGCAACAACAGCTTTTAGTAGTAAGATACACTTTAAGTTGAAAGGTAATATCGACTTTTTCGTTGTTTACCCAATGAAAGCAGCCAGAGAAGGTTCATCTGTTGTACTGACCTACTAGTTGACTAAGTTTTGACTGTGAAATTGCCATGACTAATCAACCAAATATAATATTCAGTCAAGCATAAAAAGTACTCATCGATTGTATTTTTATAACGAAGCATACATACCTATTGAATTCTATCCCGGGAGTAGCAAACGAGCAGATGGGTCAGAGGATGTCTCCTTCATAATTCATGGCGAACATTACGTTTCGACTACTACAAATCATGGCGAATAAAAATTCGCCCGACTACAGAAACATTTTTATGGCAACCATCTTTGCCAACAGCTCGTAAAACAAGAGCAACAGTCCGCAGTGCTTTACTCTCATAATTTATTTTGCATACACACTCCAACTCGCCGGAGCAACAAGGATACACTCCTTGCAAACACACATGAGCGAGCATTGGGGGAAAATTCAATTTCAGAGGATATTTTTGGGGACCGCAACATCATTCTGTAGAAAAAAAATATAAAAAGCATTGAGTACAATAAATAATATATATATTTCCCTTTCCAACAACGGAAAATGAAATAAAATCGTGTGAGGTTAGGAAAACAACAGTTTACTCGTTAGAGCAGTGACAATTTGACAACTATTTTGACGGCATAAAAACTTTTGTTTCCTGCGAAAAAAAACATATTCGAAAATTTGATTTATGGCGATTATGTATACACAAAGCTAATGTTGATTGACATTTATAAATTGTAGTACGTTTTTAGGTCATAATGTGGCATTGATTGGGATTTTTTTTTAAAGTCTTCTTATGCTAGTCGTGTAATGGTAATATTATAATATACGTTTTAATTTTTTTTTTGGTTCATAAATATCTTATAAATATATGTGCTTGGCAGGCGAAAAGGAATTTTACTGCATAAGGAACAAAATTCAATTTCGTGTGCTGGCTTTTCTGAGTCGCGGCCCCTTTTTTTTTGGCCAAAGACACCGCGTGAAAACTGATGAATAAATAAAGTTCGGCTGTAGTTCGCCATCGGAGCAGTTTAAGATTTTGCCAGCCCACGTGGATGTGTAAAGAGGAGCTGGATGAGGAGGAGGGGGCGGGTGGGTTGGCTGGTGGGTTTGCATATTTTAAGCTGCTCCTTTGCACCTTTTACATTTTGTATGCCGTGTGGCGGGCGAATTTGAGTTTGAGCCGCCGACCGACCGACTGCCCCTGGACCTTCGTTTTTCGCATCCTGCGCCGACTTTTATTTCAGTTTCCGTTTATGTACACATTTGTAGCCCGGCCAACATCACCTTCACCTTTCGCACACACACACACACACACACACTACCAGCTGGCTGCGAGAGGTCACCACCGTTCCCTGCCAATTTATAAATGCTGTATGTACATGTGTTTTCACAAGGCTTTAACTTTGGCCCGGCCCGCAAAAAGTGTAATATTCAGTTTTTATGCTGAGCCCGGCGCTTCTCGCGTGCGACTGAAAACCATCTGCGGTCTCTGTACAGTGCACACTCGCTTACACACTCGCACACACACTAGCACACACATTGGCACTCACATTTCTCGAAAGTTTCGAGGCCCCATGGTCAAGTTTCGGTTGGTCAAACAAAGAAAGCCCGATTTCTTTGCCCAGTGACCAGTCCTTGCCGAATCGGAACTTTTGTGGCGTGTTTTTCGGTCCTCTCCATTCGTATTTGGGTTAATGGCACCACCACACACACACACATTTCCTCATTTTCCATCTGAGGCATTTGTGACCTTTGATAAGCCTACGCTAATTTTAGTGGAAAACCTACAAATGGTGTGCGTGTAAGTTAAAATTAAATCCGCTGCTAATACACAGCGTCGCCGGAATTAATTAGTTTCAGTTAAATGCGTTTAACACGGCCATCAAATCAGTTTCTGTGTTGCGGATTAGCTAAGTGCCTCTTATTGGGCTAATACGCAACTGGATTAGAGATGCTAAATTGAATATATAATCGTGAAGTCATTAGTTTCAATCATAAGTTGGAGAAGCCTTAAACAGGCTGGATTTTTTATTAATCAATAAAATTGATTGATTTATTAACCAATTATATATGCACATAAAATCCCTCTTTTATTCCTAGTTTTTAAAATTAAAGTGTATAAGTCCTTAAACTCACTTCGCATCTCTGGCACTAAATGTTGATTTGATGGTTGTAAATCGAATTGAATAATTAAGCAGCTTGCTGCTGGGAACAACTGTCCATCGGCAATCGATCACATAATTGAGATGCGACTTTGATTGCATCGCACGCTGTGGAAAATCACAGAGCGGGGGAAAAATCCAGGCCTCGGGAGGGGGACGAGTGGATAGGATAGAGGATAAAGGGGTCAGATGGCAATTGGCCTTAAACCGAGGTGGCTGTGAATTGGGAGCAACTGTCGAGGTCGTCACATTTGACCCGCAATGCAGGCAGCCAGGGCTTAATCTGCCCCACAGTCGCATTCAAATGTCAATTAGTGTTGTTGCTGTGGTTTCAATTTCTCCACGCTGCCCTTTTATCTTTCCGGCTTCGACTGCCCACTTTCCCAATCCCCCGGGAAGCCATCGGCATCGAGCATTTGAAGGCCGAGGTGGAAGGGCCGCATCCGGATCCTTGGCCAGCGGTCAATAAATCTGGCCCAGAACGAGTCCCTTGCAAGCAGCCTGGCAAAAACCCATAAACAGTTTAGCTGGCTGGGCTCAAAATTATGACCCCGAGTGCATTGAATAATAAACAAACTTATGCATTACGACCATAAACTGAAGAGCTGTAAAATTAACATAATTCAAGTGGGTAAAATTGATTTATTCGACAAGTGCCTTGACTGCTTAACCAATTTTGACATAATACGCTGGCTGCAAATGACTTAATTCGGAACTAAACATCTTCCAGCAAGAAATTTTAATCGCAATCAGTGTTCCGGTTGCAGCAATCCGGATAGTCATCGTCCCAGTTCAAGTAATCAGTGTAGAGACAACCCTCCGGTGGCTCCTTTTTATCGCATCTAAAATAAAATGTATTTACAAGATGTTCTAGAAAAAGAACAGCAGAAATATTCCTCTAAACGTTTGTGATTTTGGTGATGGTGAAAGTGTAAGTAATCTTCTTGAAGGAATGTTTCTAACTTTCGCTGGTTGGATGAATCATACATAAAATATTATAGTCTTAATACTTACGTGGAGAGCATGCCATAGCCATCCCCAACGCAGAAAACTGTGGTGCAGGGCAGGTTCTTCAAGCGGAATGACTCTCCAGTTTTGAGCAGCACCATCGAAGATCCAATGTCGAGTACACAGCGATCCGGGAAAGCTGCGTTTGAATCTCCTGCTTAAGTGTTTTCGAACTCTTTTATTTCAACTCACCGGAATCCCCGTAGTTGTTTAGGGAAAAATCTGCAAATGCCTGCCAAAAAACTAGACTCCAGATGAGTAAGAACACAATGAAAGTATTCGGGGTTAACGACATGCTAAAGGTTGTTCGATACGAGTTCAATGAATTTCTATGAATGGGGAGCCATCGGCCTGCCTAGTTGCAAACGAGGATGCGTCTGCAGCAATCCGGATAGGGAAGTTCTGGACTCAAGTGGCCACTGTAGTGGCAAGGAGGCGACGCGACCGTCACTCCGCAGCTGCCAAGGGGAAATCAGATTTGCATTTCTACCTACTGGTGGTGCGGAAACTCACCTGTGGAAAACCACCCGTCCGTTGAGTCCGCACACGATTTTGCGGCACTCGTGCGTGGTGTCCTTGATGCTGACCCCCGGATTCAGGACGAGTCCCTCGTTGATGGTGCACTTACCGGGATGTCCTGCGGAGGAAAGTTGCCGGTGGAATTTCGCCTGCCATCTGCGGTTATCTTCACTCACTCGGATCGCTGTAGATTCCCTCGCATTCGGCAGACTGACTCGCGATTAAAAGGCTCCCAAAGAGCGTGACTGCAAGGAAAAGTGAGTAGGCTGCCATGTGTAACCCAAAATGTTACTTTGCCAAGTAGTTTTTCAGAGGAAAGTATTGTTTTACAATTGTTTTGAAAAGCTACTTCGATATCGTTTACCATTTGATAAGTGTAAGCTATTAATTTTAAACGTTATTGCACTTTAATTTCATGTCACAGCATTCGGGAAATTCAGCCTTTATGTTCACATAACCATCATGTTCACAGCCCTTTGGGGGGTGTTCTTCTTCGCAGCTAGGTGTTTCAATTAGTTGGATATTTGAAGTTCAATTAATAAGTAATGGGTATTGACTTACTTGTAAACCAAGGCCCAGCCATTCCGGCCGCACTCAATTTGGGCGCACTTTGTGGGATGACGAACTGAATTGCCGCTCTCGACGATCTCATCTCCCGCGGGGCCTTTAAGAACACACTTGTTGGGATGTTCTATAATATTCAATAATTTTTTTTGAGTAATTAAAAATAATAAAGAAATAGGTCTTAATCCCAAAAATCAAGCAATACCAGTGATATCTATTTTATTTTTCCTACCCCTTACCATCATCTGCAAGTATTTCATAGTTAAAATTGGCTGCCAAAATGACGTGAATCATTATAATCATTAGTGGCAGGATAGCAAGGGCTCGGGATTGCGGCATCCTGTCTGTGTTTGTGTTCGTGTCGCTGGTGTATTTCAGGAAATTTGACTAAAAGATTCGATTTTCTGTGCTGTCTGCCTGTAAAGTGCCCGGCTTGCCTCGATGCCGATTCCGTATGCGCATTTTAATTAAAATCCAGCCAGACAGGCGGCTGGGAAATATACGAGTGTATGTATATGGCCAGGACGAAGGGAGGATATGCTGATGAAGTTATCGAATATGTTAATGCAGTTATTTGCAGCTGCATTCAGCTTGTGTCATCTGTTGATGTTGTTGCATAATTCGATTAAGTGCGACTGTCTCCGGTGCCCTTTGCCCTTTGCCCCTTGCCCTTTATTCTCCTTCTCTCCTCTCTTCGCCGGGTAAATGCAAATGTTGGTTTATTTGCCCGTCTGTCTTGTGTAAATTGTGATTGTTCGTGTGGCACTCAGCAGGTCGACCCTAATCCATTCGGAGCAATGCCACCCAGAAGGCAGACAAATTTGTGGTCCACCTAATTGATGCCGCTGTGTGTACCCACCACACACATCTCGTTTGGGTCACCCACAGTATTGAGCCAAGAACGAGCAAATGCGATTCTAGCCGGTGTGTTGTTTTGATTACCTCTGGCCCAGCTGACTGCCTGACTGACTGGCTGACCAATTAGCCAGCGACCTCCATTGTTCGCCAGTTGAAATTAATTGAATCGAGTGGCCTCAGCTGGGCTCGAAATATGCACTTCAATGAACTCATCTCGACCCCAGAGGTTGGCTAATTAACCGACCCACTCGAAGCTTAAATAAACACAGGCACAATGTGCCAGCCACAACACGTTAATTCGAGGAGGAAACAAAGTGTTTAAGGCGTTCTATTCCTGGCAAACTTAAGATATTTAAGTATTTATTTACTTGACACGCCTTAATGTTTGGCTCAGGTCGTTTTATTCCAGGTGATAATACATAATTCAAGTGCTTTGAATAAAATCCCAAAGCAAAAGCTATGCAAATATGGGTGTAATATACACAGGTCAGGACCTAAATTAAAATATATATACAATTAAATAAATTTAAATTCAAAAACAATGTATACAATTTAAGTTCAATTGAAAATGTATTATCAGCTTCAGTTGACAAGCAAATTAACGACTTTGCCAATATTTTCGCTGGCCGATGGATTTGTCCGTGGCTTCCTTCTTTAAATCTTAGCCAGATTCGAATGACATGATTATTCTTCATGGCAAAATGGTATTATTTGGTAGACTATTGAACCAAGTTTGGACTTAAATATATTTTTAAATTCCCTAAAATAACCCGTGAACACAATTATTCCATTTACCTAACTTTTTCATTCCGTTCTGTACACCTGAGCAATCGAATTCCTGTTTCCGCTTTGGCATAAATAAAGGCCGAAAATATTTGGATCGATAGAGCAATAGGGCCATCTACACACGCACTTGGCCGAGGTATTTGCATATATAGGGAATCAACACGTATACGCCGGCATAAATAACAAATTGGCCAGGTGAAGGCATTATTCGTTGGGTCGGGATTGGATTCGATGGAGGTGTCCAAATAAGGGTCAAATGGCCGGTCAACTTTTGGCCTGGCGGCCTCTATTTTTTCAGGGGATCGGAGGTGACCGACCGTTCAAGTTTTTCCTCTTTTTTTTTTGTTTTTGGGTCCTGAGGGTAGAGATTGGTATCGAGGCTCGGAGTTTTGTGTGAATTTCTGTTTCCTTTTTTATGGACGCACATAAAAGCACACATCATTATAATTTCAATGATATTAAAGAACATATCAAACAAAGTGAATGAGATACAGGCGAAATGCTTCATTTTTATTGCTCTACTTTTTCGACTTGTGCCTGGCATTATGTTTTCGACGCTTTTAATTTTTGTGACGCCCGCTGACCTCAGGTGCTCACCTGTTCACCTGCCCACCTGCTCACCTGTTCGCCTGCCCACCTGAGCACACACTCGCACCCAAATTGCTTCCTGTCCCAGACTCCCAGTGAAATGTCTGCGTTAAAAGGCCAACGGCCATGTGTTTTATTCGGCATTTATTTACGTTCGCCGGCAGCGAAAGCCCCCCGCCCAAAATAAAAGGGCGAGAAATATATGCGATACAAGGAATGCTTTTAAGCAAAGTCATTCATCCAAACACACGTATATTTTTACGGCTGCCTACATATCTTTGTGTATTTGTAATTCTAGCTTTCCCCGTATTTATAGTCGAGGAAACAGATATGACTGAGGCGCAGGCATGAGCAACCTGAAGGTCAGGCACATGTTTGTTATATAAAGGTTTCCTTTTAGCTTTCACTTAAAAGAAAGTCATTTTACCTTACACAAAATCGGATAAGAATATTCCGTCACATTAACTTTGAACAGTTTTTATTTTAGCTACGCCGTGCATAATGTTGTTGAATATTTTTCATTCAAAATAATTCAGAAAGAAATCTGGTATTTGGTTATTTTCATTCATATTAAGTATACGCACTGTTTTCGATCTCAATTTAATTTCCAAAAAATACAATGTTACAATAATTGGCCAGACGTACAGTGTGTTGCCCGTATTTTATATATATATAATTGCATTGCAAAATTGAAATATTCAATAGCGTTACGCTCAACTGAATAATTCATGCCCCAAAAATAAACCGAGGAAAAACAACGAAAATTTCAAACACACGCACGCACACTGAGTGAGTGAAGTGCAGTAAACAAAACTTTCGAATCCAGCTATTTATGCTGGATAACAGCAAAATCCTATTTAGTCAGTCAAGTTGCTATCCCTCAGTTTATATATACAACCTTATACACTGGAAGAATCTGATTCAAAAGGTTAGCTAAAGAGAAGAAAATATACAAGAAAAGTGACAGAATTTTAAAACTTCGAAATTGAAATCACAATTTGCTTAACAATTTTTTTTGTGTGCATATTTAATAGTCAAATCAACTGCAGCGTCCACTGCAAACGACCTTGAAAATTCTAAAATTGAGTCAATTGTTGTTGCTGCTGGTGGCTTCCCAGTTTGTTTGTTCATCCTGTTGTAGTTGCAGCCATTGTTTCTGACAGCTCCTACACACTGAGTTATTAAAATTTGCTTTTGCAATTGCAGTCTATAAACCGCTTAGCCTTTGTTTCACTTCGAGCAGCACTCGAAACGCTCTCGAAAACAGATCTCTGTTTTGTGTCCAAAAAACGCAGTGGCAACAGCTGAGAGGAATCCAATTATAAACAATTCGAGAGCTGTGAAAAGGGAGAATGGAAATGCACTTTTCAGCTATAAATAATAATTTCTTGGGTTCAACATTTTTGGAGCAAAGAATTCTCTTCGGTAGACGAAGAAATCAAGATGCTACTTAATAAATATTGATAAATTATTCTTTTGTTTTACTTACAGGTGAGTACTTTTTATGGATTTTGGTTCTACTGGAGTTTGATCTGGCAAGTAAAATTATATTTATGGCATAACTTATTCAGGGCTATTATTGCTAACTCGATTTGCTAGAAGAAAATGTAATCCGTTTCCCTTTAATTAATAAATGCGAATGGAGTTACAATTGGGGTTCTTTAATCTATTCCCCAAAAAGTTACACCGTGGCCCTAACCTTCGTAATTGTTTTAGGGAATTATTATCAGGGATCAAAGGGATATCAAGTCGCTGTAAGTCGCAGGATAATGGACTTGTGGCTGCTCGCCTGTGTGAGTGTGACCGAACAGCTCGGATTAACCCAGACCCGGGAATTTATCCTTGGCATTTAACAATGCTTGACTTGCCCTGCCACTCTCTTGTTTTTACTGCTGTTGTTGGAAACCGCGAAACTGCGCTTGTTGAATTATTTAAGACACACAAGTGCGCACCAGCGAACAGAACGCCCACCACCCACCAGCCACCGCCCACTTCCACCACCCACTTTCATCCACTGCCACCCAGCATCAAGTACAAGGATAATGCCAAGCAGATAAAAGTGGCCGCAATGTAGCATACATTAAGGCGTCGGTGGCGACGCCGCCACTAAAGTCCTCTTTGGCAGCGGCAGCTTGATTATGTCTCGGGACTCGAGACTCGCGACTCGAGACCCGAGTCACTCCGCACAAAAAGAAATTAATTAATTTTTAAGCGTAATTAAATGCAAAGCAGCACTCGGCGGGGCGCCACCCGCCACCCGCCCCTTTATCCTTCCTTCTTTGCCGCCTGGCTGCACTGAAAATAATTAGTATTCATAATGTAATTAGCTTAGCTTGTTATGATTTGATTAGCATTTAATTTCAGTCGGCTGTCTAGGAAAATTATGGATAACTGTCTTGCCGTTAAGGAAAGCAAAACATTGGGGTTGTGTTTAGAAATGGAAGAGATAAGGTTTTAAGCCTTGAATTCAAAATAAAAGTTTTGAATTTAAAAATAAAACCGATTGATTTATAGATGTGAATATTTATTTTATTTGGCTCATTGACCATTTCATATATAACTATTCCCCAGCTATATTTTTCTCAATTTTACTTTCCCCCACTAACCTTGAGTTTTTTACATCCGAATTTGTGGCAAGTGCAGGTCGACTTGGCTTTGTTTTGCTGGCCATGAAGGCGCAAGGCTAACAAGTGGGCGGGCAAGGACGCGAAGGATGCGCGCCAGTAATAATTTTCGGGCCTCGAACATTTCTCGAAGGAAGCGATTTCTTTGAAATGAATTTCGAGCCTCCCTCGCCGAGCGTTTCTCCTTCACGCAATTAAAAATTCCACTTGAAAACGGGCCCCCAAAAAAAAAAGGTTATCCACTCGAGCGCAGTTAATGGGCTTCGAGTTCGGTTTCAGTGGGATTTCATTTTATTTATTTTTTCTCTGCTTTCTGTTGTACTTTGTTTGCTGTGGCCCTGCGAATGATTGGCAAAGGGCCGAGTGCCCCAAGGTGGCTGGAACTTTGTCTGCCGCTGACTTTTGCATGTAGGCTGGACTTTCAACGCCCATGAGGAACCCACGAGGAAGGACGAAAGAGACGGGAGAAATAAGGAACTTAGTGGGGAGGTCAGGAGATCAGGTCCCATACGAGACCCCTGAGAAACCCGAGAAAAATCGAGGGGCAACAATGGGGCT